TAAAAGAGAGTATGATTTATAAAGACGAGCTAATGGAACGAGACGTGTAGAAATTAACAGTGTTTTACCACTATGTATTAAGTCCAAATCACAAAGGAAATTAACATTTTGGACCTTAATATGTTGTTAGCGCATGCGTGAGACAGTTCACATCACAAGTAGGGAACAAGAAAGCTAGAAATTGGCTTTCCCTCATAGACTTTTTAAATAATCTGTTATTTTTTTAGCAACTTACATTGCATTACTTATTTTAGTCTTGTACATCAAAATCATATTTTAGTCTTAAATAACTCATAATTAATTAGCAATTAATCAAATTTAATTAAGAATTCGCTTTCTAGCTCACCTTTTTCGCATTTAGAAGCCAAAGCATTGTCTGTTATATATATTCAAAAGAAATGAAATCCTTACATCACAGACCAGAGAATGAGAAATGAGGTGACAGACAGTGACTATCAAGCAAATAACACCTCATCAAAATATTTTAAAATTTCTTGTGGAAAATTGATTCTCCATCGGTCGTGGACGCTATTCGAATCTATAGTCTTTTTTTTTTTTTCAACCTTTTCATTTTTTGTAAGAAATAATATTCTTACTATCTATTACTTCTTTTTTCTTTTTTTAACCGTGATGTGAAATTGAAATAGACAAAAGGAAAATGAGAACGATGCCAAGAGTGCCTGCCACCGCTAAATATCATTATCGAATAATAATAAATATATATGTTTTTAATATTCTTTTGGGATAGGCATTTTCTATTTAATACCGACTGATTTTATAAAATTTTTATATTGGAACCAAAATTCTGGACAGCATGATTGGTAGAATATTAAATAGAAAGTTGAAAACAGGTAAGAACTTAAGGTAAGGTAGAGTGGTTTGGTTACATTTTATATAAATGATGTTGATGCGTTTGTTTATAATATTACTGGGTTTCTAATATGTATTTTTTTACTTTTAGGATTAAAAAACAACATGTCATTATTAAATATTGTTTTAATGTTTCAAAGTTACCTTCTTTATAGGTATTTTGAATCCCTAAAGTAAAATAAAATAACTTTCGTAGACCTGACTGTATATAATAAGAACATTGAAATGGCTATTGATGAAACCACTTTTGCTGAACCAATCGCCAACAAGACAAATATAAACTTTTTTAAAACTTTTCATGCTCCTGCTTTCCTCTATCTTTTTGATTGACAGATTCCTAACCTACTTGATAAGGTTTGATGATTTCAAGCATTTTGGCAAAATTTTTTTACAAATTAGTGTACCCCATTGATTTGATATTTTCTACGGAAAATTACTATAAAGTCCATGACATTTGATTAAAATTATTACTTCATTCACACTATTTTCTGATATTGTTGTTCAGTCTTTGGGGTTTTATCCCATTAAACGATTTAGTTTTTTCATTAAAAAATTTTCATTTTTTCCGTAAAAAGAGGGGCAAAATAGTCACTTTGTAGCAAATATAAGCGACTAACTAGTAACAACATAATAATTGAGACATAATACTATGAATTAAGTAGTTTAATAATTCTAAATCTTTGGGATTTTGCAATAGTTACTTTATATATTAGGTATAAAGTAGTAATTTCAGAAAAACATCAAGGACTTTATAGTGATTTAGCTCATTTTCTAATGTAATTTAGGTCACTTGCAAGCTATAGCATAGCAAATATTACCATGAAAAAGAAGATATTAGGTTAATAGTTTAATTATAAATTATCAGTTTTGTAATATAAGAAATAAGGAATTAAAGCTCAAAAAAATATTCGTCCATTATCATATACACGCAATTAACGAGTAAATGGGGTAATTAAAGAAGAAACGATATAATCGTTGAATTAGTGTAATTGACTAACTGTCCAGTTGAAGTAAAAGGTAATTTTGTCCCTGACAATGTAAAAGTTGGGAAACCTCCGTTAACTTGTTAGTTAATTTAACGGAATCCTAAGCAGCATTATGGAAGGATTAACGTGCAGAGTTTGAAAACGTTTCAGGGACTAAAGTGCCTACTACACGAAACTTCAGGTTTTTAGTAATTTAGCCATAGTTTCAGGATAACGCCACATTTTACTGGGTTGGGCCTAAGTTGAGGAGTTCTGACTTTTAATGCATCTGTTTTTCGGCATAGTCGGTGATGGCCCATGTTTTTGTAAAGACAAGCCCACGTTGTCCAATCCTGTGTTCCTGGATTAATAGGTCCTTTGTATATTTAATCAGCTGAACGTGGGCCGAGCCAATGGGCCGAACAAAACAATCATATTGTCATTATTCATTGATTGTGTGTATTGAACAACCGTATTGTCGTTTTAGGTATTTATTCTTTTTTTTTTTCCTCTGAAAGAGATATCATTGTCAATTTTCAGTGGTTATTAATTATTAATTACTATTAATTTTGGAATACCTGAGAAAAAAATGTAATAATATATTGAATAATAACACAAAATTGGGGGCAGATATAAGGGAGAAAACGAAAGTTGGCTTAGCCATCCATCAACAACGACATGGTTAGGCTGTCAAATTCCAGTGAATTTCAAGTTTTCAACCGTCAGATCATTTTCTACAGGGGTATGCACGATACTGCGAAATCCGACCAGTTCCAGAAAATTATCCCGAATTTTTCATCCCGAGAAAAACTCGAAATTAATTTCATAGTTCCGTCTCGAAAATATTTATAGGACGAGACTGGTTTTTTGATGAAAATCGATCTGTACCGACCCAAATTCTGACCCATCCCGTCCCAGCCGGAAAATTGAAAAGTCTCATCTCATTTGTTATTTAAAATTCTAGTTGTCTTTTTTGTAAGAATTTCAAATTATACCCCTAAAAATCATTTCATATATTTTACTTTAGGTTTTTTTTTTTTTTCACAATTCCAATTACTACTAAAGTAATAATAATACGAAAAAATAATATGCATTTTTTAAATATAAAGTAAGTCAAGTAACAAACATAATTTTCAATATGGATTTTTTCTTTGTTATTCCACAGTATATGTTCAGTAAATTTTTTTTAATAAATTTTTTTATTAAATAAAAAATAGAAAGATTAACCAATACAAGAAAAAATAGTAACTTCAATTAATCTGATTTTTGGATTATTTATTATACTTAATACTATCATTATTTATTTTTCAAATGATATTCAATATTAAATTACGTAGTAGCGAATTTAAATCAGCTTAAAAATAATAGTGACAACAATGACGATTTAAAATTCATAAAATACATATAAAGTTAAATTGTATATAATTTTTATATTATTTTATTTTATTATATTTATTAAATTGTAATAATTTTTATATCTTTTTATATTTGTATTATATCTTAACATTTTATTTAACTAGAAAATAACTACTTAAAAATCTTCTATTTATTAACTTTAATTAGTAGATCCATCAATGATTGAATTAATTATTTAATTTAGTTTTTTTAAAACTCAAACTTACTATAATGAATCAAACTTATATAAATGAATTTTGTTTGATTGTAATTGATAAATATGGTAATTTTTTTTTATCTTTTTTTGATGAAAAATAATTTAATAAAACTATGAGAAATATCGATTGATTCCCAATCTGATCCATTCCGTCATGTCCCATAGACCTGAATTTCTGTCTTGTTCCATTCCAAAAATTGAAACGGAATGGGCGAGACTACATATCTATTGAGACAAGATTGAAACTTCATTTTTTACGTCCCGATATTTTGGGATCCCAATCCAATCCATGCACACCCCTAATTTTCAAGGTAATATTCTATGGTTGTTTGTGATGGAATCTACTTTTAAAATAATATTTTAATTTTTGATTTAATTATAAACATTAATTTTTAAATTTCCGCATTTCTATATAAGCATTAATTTTTACTTTCTAGTATATATAATTATATTAATAAGTATTTATACACTAAATCTTTACCTTTTGTCTTGTCTCTATTGATTGTTACTTTTATGTATTTGTCCTCAATAAATTCTTTTTGGATCCACCTTAAATATAAAGAATGCAAGGTCTTATGTTTGTATAAGCTTGATCACAAAAATTTTTAATGTTTGGTGAGTAAAGAGAGAGTTACTCTTATTGTCAATTGTTAGTTCACGGTATTATTCCGGAATATTAAACTTCTTGAATAGAAAAGAAAAGAAAAAAAAAAAAGAGTATTCTAACTCATTAAAAAAAGAAAAGAAAGTGTTCACTGTACCAGTATTATACTATAGCCTGCTGCTACCTATTATAAAACCAAAAATATCTAAGCTGGCTTTTTCTCCAAATCTGCAACTTGCTCATATCCATCCAACTAAAAAACTTAAAAAAAAAAGTTATCCTTGTGTTTTTATAATTTGCGAACTGGCAATTCCATCTTATTGTGTGTATGATCAAATCTGAATGGTTGATGCGTTAGTTTCATCCGTACAATGGTCACAGTTGAACCGTTGATTTGAAACATCCAATAACGGAAAGTCAAAGTTTCTGTTGTGCATGACTAGATGCTGCGTCAGTGGGCCCATAAACCCAGTTGCACAGCTACAAATTTAGATATGATATCCACGTAAAGCTGAGTCAGGTTGCTACCAGACATTTTGAGTTTTGAGGTTTAGTCCTTCTCGGATTTAGCACAAATAATTAGAAATCCGAATCCTCACATGCAAAAATGAACACATATCCAAAATCAAATATTTTTAGAAACAAATCCAAAATATAGTATAGCTAATTTAATTTATGGATAAACTCAATTTTTGAAGACAATACAAGATTATGAATTAATCCAGTCATGGTGGATGGATATATATGGTTGTTACGTAACTAAGTAGAAATAAATAGGTGTATACGTGGCAATACTTAATTGGAAAGTGAGGCACATTTCGTATGAAATTTAGAGCATGGTTGGATTTTACGGAACGCTTCTATCGCAATTAAAATTAAAATTTAAAATGGTAATTACAAAAAGAAAAGTGTAAGATTTTCTGCTAAGGACTCAAAACCTTCCAATTCTCAAGGAAGGACTTTTTTAAGGGCAATATAAGTATCACATCTTGCAAGAATTTCCTACCACAGCCATTCTTTCAACCTTACTCTTCTTCTTCGTCTCCTTCTTCTTATATTCCTTTTCGGTTTCCAAATGACTATTCTCATCAGCCAGCCTGAGCTTGGTCCGTGTTTGTTGCTGTTTCTGTTGATTTCGTTTTCATTTTCTCTAATGAAGAATCTCATTAATTAATTTTTTCTGTTCCTTTTTGTTATTGATTTGGTTAATTCAGGGCTACATGGTGAGGAACAGAAACACCAGGATCATGTCAAGGAATTAGTCTTAGACGGTGGATTTCCGGTGCCGAAATCGACATCAGCTGATGCATTTGATGCGCCTGAGATTAATTCATTTGGAAATTCTTTCAGGTTTTATTAATTATTTCATTTGTTTACTAATTAAAATTTGTTTTTAACCTATATAGAGAGATTATTTATCTCAAATATGGAAATTAATGGTGCAAATATGTTTCAGAGATTATAACGCTGAAAGTGAAAGGCAAAAGACGGTGGAAGAATTCTACCGCCAGCAACACATCAACCAAACCTATGATTTTGTAAGGAAAATTAATATTAGTATCACATAGTTATTTATTTAAAATTTGAATTTGTGTTTATGTTGAGAAATTGGAAATGTAGGTAAAGAAGATGAGAGAAGAATATGAGAAGTTAGATAAAGCAGAAATGAGCATTTGGGAATGCTGTGAGCTCCTTAATGAAGTTGTAGACGATAGTGATCCTGACCTTGATGAGCCCCAGATTCAACATTTGCTGCAATCGGCTGAAGCTATTAGGAAAGATCATCCTGATGAAGATTGGCTCCACTTGACTGCTCTTATTCATGGTAATATTACGTGCCCTAGTAGCCTGTAATAGGAACAAAAAGGGAATATCCTCCTCATGATCTTGTTATTCATTTGTCTAAAACTTATCAAGTTACCCACAACCGGATTGTCCCACCCAAAACTTCTTATTATGGGTCCTACTTTAATTTTGATTTGCTTCTGTCACTGGTATCTTTATCCTCATCAAATTTCTATTCTTGAACTGGTGCAAAAATAGTAATTATTTTTCTTGGGGTATCAGATCTTGGAAAGGTTCTTCTTCTTCCCCAGTTTGGAGCACTTCCTCAATGGGCTGTTGTAGGTGAGTATTTTATTTCTTTTCTTAAAAAAATAAAGATTTGGTTTCAAGAAATATTTATTAAATATTTAATTATTTTATATTACAGGTGATACATTTCCTCTTGGGTGTGCTTTTGATGAGTCTAATGTGCATTACAAGGTATTATGCATAATGCAATGAAATATTAATTAATATATTTATAATCATCATTTATTTATTTAAAATGAGTAACAAGTTTTTCAAATATTTGCAGTATTTCAAGGAGAATCCAGATTCCAAAATTCCAGAATACAGTACCAAAAATGGTATTTATGAGGAAGGATGTGGACTAGAAAATGTGATGATCTCATGGGGGCATGATGACTACATGTACTTGGTGGGTACTTTGGACAATTCATAAATTAAAAAAAAAAAACTAAATGAAATATTCTAAAGTATGATTATTAAAATCCATATAGGTGGCCAAGGAAAATGGAACCACTCTACCACCAGCTGCATTGTTCATTATCCGATTCCATTCTTTCTATCGTAAGGATTATTGCTTTTTGATTATATCTTTTAGCTATAAAATATTAATTATTAAGAAATTAATCCAAGAGATTCATTAATTAAAATATTTCATTTGCTCGCGATGATTTAGCCTTTCACAAGGCAGGTGCGTACACACACCTAATGAACAAGGAGGATGAAGAGAATCTCAAGTGGCTTAAGATATTCAAGTAATTATATTAAGCTTCACTTAATTTCACTTTTATATATTTTATTTATTTATTTATTGCTAATAATGAAATTAATCTATATAATAAATGATTTTTCAGCAAGTATGATCTCTACAGCAAGAGCAAGGTTCTTGTTGATGTTGATGCAGTGAAGCCATATTATCAATCCCTGATTGAAAAGGTTAATATTTGTTTGTTTCCTTAATTTGTTGGTTAATTGTTTTCTTTTACCTCCTTTTGATTTTTTTTTTCTTATAAATCTTTTTTGCAGTATTTCCCTGCAAAGCTTAGATGGTAAATTATGAGGTGTGACGGGAGATAAGAAATCGGATGATTGTTGGGGAAATGTGACTAATAATATCAAGATCGATGTAAAAATAAACTAATCTATTTATATTTATGTACTCACGGATGTATCAATACCATAAATGAAAGAATTTTTGTATTGTGTTCCCCCAAAATTGTTTCTTTTAATAAATTAATTTAGTTCCTTTACTATTTGCTAAACTGTGATTCAATTTTTCTATCTATTTTATGTATTTCTCGTGTAAACTTTTGGAAGTTTGCCACTATATCCTGTTTTTAACATAATTCTATAATTTATAGTTTTTGGTGGCATACCATATATAAATAAAATTAATTTTATTTGAAATAAATGAATTGTACAAAATTTTTGTGAAATTTATTTTTACAATTATTTTTTTTTGTTTGATCTGTTAAAAATGAAGATTTAAATTTTACGAATTCAATTCCATAAATTTCTATATTATTAATTATATTAATAATAAAATTAAATTCTACCAAGAAATATGAAATTTTCAAATGAATTGATTTAAACAATGTAAAACTTTATAATAAAACTATCATTTTCCTAAACTTTCTAATATTCAAATAAATTTTAAAATTTAAATTTATTTCAAACACGATAAATCCATTCTAAACCAAATTTATTTTGGAGTATTCATATTGCAAATTTACCATTCATATATCCAAAAATTTTTAGGATAATTTCAAATTTAAATTTGAAGCAATTTTATAATTAACTAACATAGGAAAATTATTTTTTTTACTTTCTCCCTATTTTAAGCTACTGTGTTATACATTGTCCATTCGTTAGTCATATAGTTTGTTCATGCATAATAAACTCCAACTTTAAATTTTAGCATCCATATAGGTATCCTTTGCATGGGCGACGATCTATTTTGGTATATAAAATAGAGACCTATTTATCTTTTAGTAAATTACAAAAAGATTTAAAAAGCATATTGATGACGTGTAGTCGTAATTTTTTATTCATTATCATTTCAAATTTGATTTTAAGAAGTAGAAATTCATAAATTATTTTTAATTAATGATATTTTTAATGTTAATTTTGAAATGCGTACCTAAAAAACATGATACTGCATAATTTGTTAGCCAGTAGCAATTAGATTCTCGATAAATATGGCATCACTTTGAATATATTAGATTCTCGACAAATTACCATTTAGAAAAAAATGTCACTTTTTATTACTGGTTTACAGAGTTTTTAAACCGGCGGCTTAGTTCAAAAATTGAAAATCGAAATTCACTTATTTGAACTGATATGCACCGAAATAAGTTTTGAAAATAGGCTGAATTGATCGGTTTGTTCGCTTCACATCTGTTTGATCGAATGGTTCGATTTTACTCAATAATTGTTTTATAATAACTGATCCAGAGATTGAAAATCCAAAATAATACGGTTTGGTTTGCTTTTCGGTTTTTCCAAAAGTTTGCTCACCCCTGCTGGTTTGTCAATTTTTTTTTCAGTGAAAAAGACAGGTACACCCTTATTTGTTTTGGTGCAATTGAAGTGCCCGAGTGCAATTTGGACCCAGATCTAAGATAAGCCCATAAAATTTGGGCATTTTATAGCCAGTGTTATATTTATAGAACATTTTGGGCCAATGCTATAGTTTGACGTTGACGAAAAAACCCAGAGCTCAAGGTATGTAGTTTAATTCCTTTCCGACTAAGGAAAAAGACGTTAAAACCGAAAGACACGTGCCACCTTTACCTGTCCGTTACAGTTACACTTGCACTTTCCTTGGCATGTCTGCTTCTTCTAATGTCTGTACAGTGCCATCCAACAAAGATTTCTTAAACGGCCTCAACAACGTCCCATTTATTGCCACTGTCTTTACTCAAAACCCCAATCCCTTCCACAAATCCATCCAAACACTATTTCAAAGAATTTTTAGGGTTTTATAGCTATGTAATGACTATCATTTCCTTGCTAGAATGGCCTTTATTCCTTTTTCTTTCTGTTTGTATTTTCTTTTTATCTTTTTCTGCTATTCTTTTGTATGTATAAATCCTTGTTTAAGTGTTACTGATTTTCACGATGACGAGTTTTCCATCATCGGCTCTGATATCGTTTCGTTCCATGGAGATTATACTCCTCCGTCGCCACCTCCGCCGGCACCCCCACCTCACCCTCCCTCCGTGTCGTGCCATGAGGATCTCGGCGGAATTGGCTCTCTCGACAAAGTTTGTAAGCTCGATTCTAGCTTGAATTTTACTGATGATGTGTATATAGAAGGAAACGGAACCTTGGATATACTTCCTGGTGTTGTTTTGAGTTGTCCTATTAAAGGCTGTTCGATTCTGATAAATATGAGTAAGAGTTTTATTTTAGGCGAGAAGGCTATGATAACAGCGGGTACTGTAGCGGTGACTGCTTATAATGTGAGTTTAAGTGAAGGTTCAGTAGTAAATGTGACTGGCTTGGCGGGTAAGCCGCCGGCGCAGACCAGTGGGTCTCCTTCGGGGGTGCAGGGGGCTGGCGGTGGCCACGGTGGAAGAGGAGCGAGTTGTGTGTCGGATAATACGAAATTACCGGATGATGTTTGGGGAGGTGATGCATATTCATGGTCGGAATTGCATGAACCGTGGAGCTATGGGAGCAAAGGAGGGACCACGAGCAAGGATGATAATTACGGAGGGGAAGGGGGCGGGAGGATTGGGTTTGACGTCACCAGCACAATCGAGGTTGGGGGTGCTTTGTTGGCTGATGGGGGCGATGGTGGCATCAAAGGTGGTGGGGGGTCCGGCGGCAGCATCAATATCAAGGCTCAGAGAATGTAAGGCCCTTTATCTATTTAAATTCAATTATGGGATTGACATGCTTCTTGTCGGATAACACTGATGTATACTTGTTTCGGCACTTGTTTATTGCTATGGTTCTGTTTTATGATGTGTATTCTAGTGAAACATTCTGCAAGAAACTGTATATTTCCGTTTTTTTTTTTTTTTTTGTCAAAGGTGTGGGTGGGGGGTCCGCCGGCAGCAGTCAAATAATCAAGGCTCAGAGATGTAAGGCCTTTATCATTGTAAATTCAAGTTATGGAGATTGAACATGCTTCTTGTACGGGATAACACTGCATGTATACTGTTTCGGCACTTGTTTATGCTATGGTTCTGTTTTATGATGGTGTATGTCTAGTGAAACTTCTGCAAGGAAACTGTATTATGTTTCCGTTTTTTTTTTTTTTTTTGGGGCGATTCGGTTAATGAAGTTGGAGCATGTTGCGCTAATTCTAACTGATGATTGTTTAATCAAGCAAGTTATTTACTGTGTTTTCTCCTTTTTCCTTCATTTCCGTTGCGTGTACTCTATTACTTTCCTTGTGCAGAATTACCTTTGTAGTCATCGTATGTGTTTTGTGGAGAAAGGAATTTAGGTATGACAAATGGTAGGCAGGAGTGAAGTATATGTCAAAGCACGAGAATATTGAAATGTTCAAAACTTAAAAAATCAATTGTAGTAGGATTGGAGCAGTTCTCTATTTACATGCGGCAACCCTGTGTGGAACCGTGGATTCTTTTTTCTCAAAAACAAATGGTGGAAAGGTGACCCCAGAACCCAAAGCCCGTTTCTGTTGAGGTGTTTCCATGTCCACGATGGTTGTGGTTCGACGTTGATTTTTTTTTTTTTTTTTTGGGCGATCGGTTAATGAAGTTGGAGATGCTAATCTAACTGTATATGATTTTTAATCAAGCAGTTATTTACTGTGTTTTTCTTTTCCTTCATTTCCTTGCGTGTACTCTATACTTCCTTTGCAGAATTACCTTTGTAGTCATCGTATAGTTTTGTGGTAGAAAGAATTAGGTATTGACAAATGGTAGCAGGAGTGAAGTATATCAAGCACGAGAATATGAATGTCAAAACTAAAATCAATTTAGATTGGAGCAGTTCTCTATTTACATGCGGCAACCCTTTGTGGAACCTGGATCTTTTCTCAAAACAAATGGTGAAAAAGGTGACAGAACAAGCCCGTTTCTGTTGAGGTGTTCCATGTCCACGATGGTTGTGGTCGAGTGAGTTTCTTAAGTGTCCCAGACATCCATTATTGATAAGTACATGGTGTCAAGTAAGGGAAGCATATGCAAAGAGCAGAACATTTGAACAAGTTGACTTTAATTTGGTAAGAAAACGGATGTCAAGCTTTTATATAAGTTGCAATACTAGGTAATTTGTGGTGCTTACAGCGTTGATGAACTCTAAATAGGAGGCTTCTCTTTAATTCCTAGAGTGTCTGTGTTAGATATATCACTTTGGAGACATTGTCTGGGATCTTAACCCTCCCTGTTACTGCTCTTTTACATAAGGATATCGTTGGTTAATTCATTATTCAAAATGTTGTCCATAAGTGGCTTGGAAACCTTGCCAACTAATAATATTCTTCTATGAGGAGCAGGACTGGAACGGGTAAGCTAAGTGCTTCTGGGGGTAATGGATTTGCTGGTGGTGGTGGTGGGAGAGTTGCTATTAATGTTTTCAGCAGACATGATGACACAAACTTCTTTGTTCATGGTATGGCTCGGACTACTACTTTGTTTTTATTACAATCATCATCTTCATATTGCTGCTGTCATCACCATTGTCCTTGTTCTTGTCTTCAGCACAGATAACTTTAGGTTTTACTGATGAAACTAAGGAGAACTAAATGGGGAATTGTGATAATATGATAACATAGGGGAGGGGAAAGGAAATTTCTTGTTTTTTTAAAAAAATTTAATGTTTTACTCCCAACAGTTACTTTAGTTGTGGCTGAAAGGAATTAAATTATTTGGATGTTTGCTGAAAAAGGTTTCTTTTTGGTAATATGAACTTGTGGCACTTGACAAACATGACCTTGGTGTGGATCTTCCTGGCTGATGCATAGTTCATTTCTTTATCAGATGTTATAATAAATATAAGGAAGAGGAGATGTATGACATCTGGATGATAGTCTTAAATTATAATTTGAAGTATTCTAATAAAACAATATCTAATGCTGATTTAGTTGTCCAAAAAATCCTATATGTGCAGTGAAGATTTGTATCACATTATATGGTATTTGAAATCTTCTTAGATCATAGTGCTTGGTTCACTGGAGACTTGGTATGAACATGGATGAGATCCCTGCAAGGTTTTAATCCAAAGCATTCATTTTCAATCTTATGGGAACGAATAATATCTCCTTCATGTTCAATCTTTGGTGATATTTTCCTTTTCTTTCGATTGTATACTGTTAGTAACTTTAAACTACCATTGTACAAATTACTTCCTGTGCATTTTGTTGCCCAGTTTTTATGATAAAATCTTTGTTGCTTCTTCTCTCTGTGTCACTATAAATTCTCAAAGGATTTTGGACACGTTGATGCAATTGTCTTTTTTCCTTATATAGCAAACCATGCCATATGAGCTTTGCTGTCTCATTTACAGGGGGAAGGAGTTTTGGTTGTCCTGGAAATGCAGGTGCTGCAGGGACATATTATGATGCTGTTCCTAGGAGTCTTATTGTTAGCAATAACAACTTGTCCACCAGTACTGACACACTTCTATTGGAGTTTCCCAAACAGCCCCTTTGGACGAATGTTTATATTCAGAATCATGCCAAAGCTTCTGTTCCATTGTTTTGGAGTAGGGTTCAGGTTATTGACACCTACTGTCTTGTGTACTTGCCATGAATCTATTCTGTTTATTCCCCTTCAGGGGGATGTTTTGTCTTTGTCGTTGCTTCTTTGCATGATGGTTCTTTTCATTGCTCTCTGAACTTGTTGATTAGGACTATAGGATTGTTGTCACGTGCGCTGGTGATTGGTGAGCATGACATGTTTTTCTTGTCTAGATTGTTAAGGTTAACTAGTTATTATTATATGCAATCTGCTAACACTAGCTTATACACGGAGGCAGTGTTGTGAGTTGTATGCAGGTTAATTCTTTTTTCTTTTTTAATAAAAATGGACAAATCATGTAGGCAATGTAGCAGCATCTTGTAGGATTTTTTTGTTCCTGTGTACAAAATTGTGTGAAAACTGAAAAAAAAAGTCTCTACATGCACAGTTTGACAATTCATCAACTGCAAATTGCAGAACAAAAAGTTACAAAATACAGAAGTCTTGATATGTAGATACAAACTGATTCTATTGTTCAGGACTTACACACAAGATTCAGGATTATAATGACACAAACCTTGAGAGAATAGGATTATATTTTAATTCTTTAGCGTGTTTATAGATAATGAATACTACAAAGTTGTGCCTTCTAATTCTAAGTTGTCTAGGATTATATTTACTTGTTTTTCATTACACTTCAAGCTCATGTTCATATGCAATCTACAGGTTCAAGGACAAATTAGTTTATCATGCAGTGCAGTTTTGAGCTTTGGCCTTGCGCATTATGCTTCATCTGAGTTTGAGTTGATGGCAGAAGAGCTTCTAATGAGCGACTCTGTTGTTAAGGCAAGTTGTCAAACTAAATGGATTTGTATTTGTCTGCTTCAAGTCCATTTTACACTTTTACTTTTTTAATAAAAAACAATTGAATAGCTGGAATTGTATAAAAAATTGTCTTTTGTTGAATGGTGTCCTGTGTTCTCTCCTTTTTGTGCTTAAGTGAAGTTTTTATGTTATATATGGAGGTACATGGATTTTTTGTCTGCTCTACCAGATGAAATTACCTTCTTGATGTGTTTCTCTTTATTTAATTTCTGTACTGTAGCTGAATCTGTTGCCTTGGAGAAATAGATGACATGTGAATTTTTTTAAAGATTTTTTCTTTTCTGAATAAGACTCATGGTCTTCATTGTTACTAATTTCAATGAATTAGATATATGGCGCTCTTCGTATGTCTGTCAAAATACACCTGATGTGGAATTCCAAAATGCTTATAGATGGAGGTGGTGATGCAATTGTCGCGACATCTTTACTTGAGGCCAGCAATTTAATTGTTCTCAAGGTACTTAGCTACAAAAACATTTATCCTTTTTTTTTTTTTTTTTTTTTTTTTTTATTGTCGCGACCATCTTTACTTGAGGCCAGCAATTAATTGTTCTCAAGGTACTTAGCCTTACAAAAAAACATTTATCCGTTTTTTTTTTTTTTTTTTTTTTTTTTTTTTTTTGCTTTATGAAATAATGTTCACGTTTCTTTTCATCAGGAATCCTCTGTGATACATTCTAATGCAAATTTGGGAGTTCATGGCCAAGGCTTTTTAAATTTGTCTGGACCAGGCAATATGATTGAATCGCAACGCCTGATTTTATCATTATTTTTCAGTATCAGAGTAAGCTAAAGGGTCCTCTTCATAATTTGAAATTCTGCAACTTAATTAAAGTGCCTTTTAGTTAGAAGTTCAACTAAAATTATGAATTAAACAGATAGTTTGATTCTTTATCGCCTTAGTATTTTAAAATTGGATAGAGAAAAGAAATTGATTCATTTTTAATTGGATTACTTGTTTATTCCCGCCATTGATGTTTTCTTCATACTATGAAGGTTGGACCTGGTTCTGTTCTCCGAGGTCCCTTGGAGAATGCCAGTGATGATGATATGTAAGTACAAACAGCTTGGAACAGTGAAACCATGCCATTTTTTATTTGGTTTGATATTTATGTTTGACTCATGATAGGAAACCACGGCTCTACTGTGATCTTCAAGAATGCCCCATGGAGCTAATTCATCCACCTGAAGATTGTAATGTGAACTCTTCACTGCCCTTCACCCTTCAGGTTTCCATTTGCCAGACTGAGCACTAAGTACTTATCTTGGTCAGATTGGTGCATGATTAACTGTGGTGTGAAGGACTCTCTTTTGTGTTTCTTATAAATATTTGGCTTTCTTGCTGCCACAGATATGTCGAGTTGAAGATATTATTGTTGAAGGCATGATAACAGGATCTGTTGTTCATTTTCACTGGGTCAGAAATGTAGTTGTCCGATCTTCTGGAGCAATCAGTGCATCTGGTCTAGGTACAAAATATCTATTTCTTTTCTATTTAATAAGGTTTGACGCTAGAAGTGATTGGCATGTTGACATGGAATTGAAGCTTTTAAAAGGAAATTTTCTCTAGAAATTCTTTTCCTTGTTCTACACATGCATTTAAAGTTCATGTCGAGCAAGACAGAATGGCATTTCTGGGCGTAAATTTTCTTATACTGAATCTTGATCTTTATCTGAACTTAATGTAGGGTGCACAGGTGGGTTGGGCAGAGGAAAAGTTTCTGACAATGGTCTTGCTGGTGGAGCTGGACATGGTGGCAGAGGTGGGGATGGATATTACAATGGAACTATTGTTGAGGGTGGTGATCCATATGGAGATGCCGGATTGCCTTGTGAACTTGGTAGTGGTAGTGGAAATGGTACTCTATCTGGTTCAACTGCAGGTGGTGGTATAATAGGTAAGTTTGCAGATTATGATGAGCAGCTAATTCTTTTACTTATTTAATGCATTATACATGAGACTGAAACGAGGAATATGGAATGAAACTTAAAGGTCTATTCCGATGGAACTACTTTTTTACCTAGAGGTCTACTCATGTACGTCACATGGCTGTTTTTGTGGGGCTGATGCTCCATCTTGTGTGAAAACTTCCCTTCTTGTTTGGGTGTTGTAATTCATTCTATTGAGATAGTAAGCTCTAAATATGTTGATAATCATTCCTTATTCTTTAAGAGCATGAAACATACGCCTTCATATGTTTTTCCTTTTTTAATTTAATATGATCACCTGTATTTCTTATTAACATGATTTGGTCAGTAGTTGGTTGATTGTTCATAGACATATGTTGACATTTTTTCTATTGCAGTAGTCTTATTGCACTGATGTGTTAAATCACCTTGTGGAGCGATTTTTGTGATTGGAGGTGTTGTAATTTGTCTATATAAAATACTATTTTTGAAATATAGAAGGTAATTAACTATTAACTATTTTTGAAAATATATAAGGTATTAACTATTTGTAAATTTCAAGTAAGGAGAAGAAAATAACGTGCCAAAATTATGCTTACAATTTTGTTGTTTCAATTTGGGAAATTCAAGCATCACGTGAAGCATCTTTGCTTTGTTTTAGTAGTTTTGTGTTGATACATGAATCTTTTGAAAGCATTAACAGAAGCTATGAGCTTACTCTTATGTTAATAATTAAAAGCATTACCTTAAGCTGCCACTGTGATTTCATCTTGTGTTGGATTACTGCACCTTTTTTTTAGCACAACTTTTGTAGTGCCAATGGATCTATCCCATGCACTTCTTCATGTCCTCATTCTACATTCTTCTTCCAATCACTGCAGTATCTTGTTCATTAGTTAGATTTTGGACATCATTTAAGTTTTATAATCCTCTTCCTGCCTTTGTCCTTTTGAGCTTTTGTTTTTTTGTTTTAAACTTTGATTACCTTTTTTTTCCTGTAAACAGTAATGGGTTCTGTGGAGCATGCACTGTCAAGTTTATCTGTTTATGGTTCACTTAGAGCTGATGGGGAAAGCTTTGGAGAAGAAGTCAAGAAAAAGGATGATAAGATGATTTCAAATGCAGGTCCTGGGGGTGGTTCTGGTGGAACCATTCTTCTATTTATTCATACCATGGCACTTAGTAATTCTTCTACCATATCAACTGTTGGTGGGCATGGGAGTCCTGATGGGGGTGGTGGCGGAGGTGGTGGAAGGGTTCACTTTCATTGGTCGGATATTCCAGTTGGAGATGAGTATATGCCAATTGCAACTGCAAATGGAAGCATTCAGACTTGGTTTGTATTTAGCAGTGAATTTGCGATACAGAGTTGTTTGTGTTCATGCATGTGTACTATGTATATAGTGCTTATTGTCATGATTTTTTGCAGTATATGCTGATTTATTGCTTTACCTTTTCCTTTGTTATAAAAATACTCATGGAATCATTATTTTGAAGTCAGTTGGATTTTAAGCTTCTTTGTTCCCTAATGGCAGGGGAGGATTTGGCAGAGGTAGGGGTCGTGCTGGTGGAAATGGGACTGTTACTGGAAAGACCTGCCCAAAAGGGCTTTATGGTATCTTTTGTGAGGTAATTTTTCATTTACATTATGCCATTCAAATAGTTTGAATAGTCAATGGCTTTATCTCCTATCTTTTGAAATCTCAATTTTGTTGCCATATATTGGTAACTCAATTAGCCTTCAATCATCAAGGGAACTTATTCCTAGTGAATCAGGTTCTTATTGTTTATTTTTAAATACTGTTCTTGCTGATGAATTTGTCAAAGATCTTTTGGTTATGTTGGAAATTTTTAGAGGGGAGGAGGCTACCAGGTTTGCACCCTTGATCTCTTTCACTATGAGACAAGCACTTGATTACTTGGCTACTAGTCCAATGACATGAACAAGTCAAAGTTGCTTAAATTAATTCCTTCACCTTTTCAATTGCTACTTGCTTCCTTTTTTTATCCAATAAGCAAATTGCATTGCAGGAATGCCCTGTGGGGACTTTTAAGAATGCCCTTGGATCTGATAGAGCGCTTTGTTCTGATTGCCCGTTGCATGAGCTTCCAAGTCGTGGCATTTATATTGCTGTTCGAGGTATTCAAAAATTTTGCTCTATGTGTTTCTTTACACTAAAGTTGACTGATTTTTCTGCGTTGTTTTTCACACAGCCAAAAAGAAAAAAAAAGGGCATAGTCTCTTGAAAAAGTGCCGTTCTAGAGTTTTTTCAATGATGAGTTTTACATGTTTGAACAATGAAAGTTTTTGTCACATTAGTTCAAATTTTCACCTCCTTGTATTTCTGTATCCCACTAATATTACTCTAATTTTTTTTTTTTTTCAACAGGTGGTGTCACTGAAAGACCTTGTCCATACAAGTGTATTTCTGACAGATACCACATGCCAAACTGTTATACAGCTCTTGAAGAGTTGGTATACACTTTTGGTGGTCCATGGTTGTTCAGTTTTATCCTCTTGGGTCTTCTTATCCTGTTAGCTCTAGTTCTTAGTGTTGCACGGATGAAATATGCTGCCTGGGATGAATTGCCTGCGCTTGTGCCTCCTCAACATAGCTCTCGAATAGATCATTCCTTTCCATTCCTTGAGTCACTAAATGAGGTATTAATGTCCATAATCCAAACATTGTTTTTTATTTTACCAGTTTGATAGATTAAAAAAGCTCATTGCCATTTATTACTTATTGTCTGAGGTGATAATACTGTTGCCTTTTAGGTATTGGAAACAAATAGAATTGAGGAATCCCAAGGTCATGTGCATAGGATGTATTTTATGGGTCCAAATACTTTTGGCGAGCCTTGGCATCTGCCTCGCTGTCCTCCTGAACAAGTGACTGATATTGTGTAAGCTTTCTTTTGATCTATCATATTTTGGGGTTAGATTTAGTGTCTTTATGTGGTACTCAACTCCTTATAGTCACAGGTGTATGAGAAGGATATGTATTTTTGTGATCAGTATATCACAAATCACATTTGGACGACTTTTTTAATGTGACATCTGCATGGCAGGTATGAGGATGCATTCAATAGATTTGTGGATGAGGTCAATGGTTTAGCTGCTTATCAGTGGTGGGAGGGATCGATATACAGAATTCTTTCTGTTCTTGCATATCCGCTTGCATCATCCTGGCTACAGCAGCGTCGCAAAAAGAAATTACAACAACTTCGTGATTTTGTTCGATCTGAATATGATCATGCTTGCTTACGATCTTGCCGCTCACGTGCTCTGTATGAAGGGCTTAAGGTTTGTTTTATAGCTGCATTCTGAAAGTGCTTTTGGAAAATCTTTTGTTTTCTCCCCTAGGGAAGACTTGTGTTCGTCAAAGTCTGTAAACTTGAGTTTTCTTGGGACATGATAGATGTTGTGATAGTTATAACTTAATGATGCAAAGGATTTTAATGATAGATATTTATTTCAGCTAATAAGCTACTTCTCTTCCATTCTTTAAATTAATCACTTTTAACATTTTGAGGGACCAGCATATCTGGGGTGTGATGATGATTTTAAAGTTTTAGAACTTAAAATGGGGGTTTATGCATAATTACTATATGGATCTCTCTAGCCAAATGCATTAACCAGACATAACGAAGATCATATTTTCCTTTTCTAGTACTTGGTTTCATTTGTTGGTTTTGGATGAATGCGTCTCTCATATGTGATTTTGAGTCATGTAGGGTATCTTCCGCGGAGCATTCTTAGCAGCCTGTGAAAATGCTAAAAGACCCAAATGCAGCAGAAAACAGAGTTAAATGATGAGTTTTGAATTTTGAGCATCATAAAACAGCAGGCGACAGAAAAAAAAAAATATCACTCTTAAAAATATATTATTTGAAGAATGGATGTTAGCACATATACAAACTTTGGGTAAAATCAGACAGTGACAATAATGAGAGAGATTGCAGTAAGCATTTAACTGTATTTTCAACTGAGTTCAAGCGTGCCACTTGCAATGTCTCTAACATCATTTGTTTGTGAATTTGTGAATATAGTAATGCAAAGGATTTTTTGGGCCACTGTTTTACTTTGTTTTTATATGATAATTAGCTTTGATTGTCCCCTTGGCCCTGCATCTGCATCATATCTTGATCTTTGCCTACTGTTTACCTCATATTGTCAGCAACAGCTTCCATATTAATGTTGATGGTGTTATGCTGCAGGTTGCTGCGACTTCTGATCTAATGCTTGCATATGTGGATTTTTTCCTTGGTGGAGATGAAAAGAGAGTTGATCTGCCTCCTCATCTTCATCAAAGGTTTCCCATTTCTTTAGTTTTTGGAGGAGATGGAAGTTATATGGCTCCTCTCTCCCTTCACAGTGACAATATTCTCACTAGCCTCATGAGTCAGGTTTACCATTTTTTGTGTTTCTAGAGTTATTCATTTTCATGAATCCTCAAATCAACCCTCCCTTCTTTGAACACACACACATGCGCATTAACCTTCTTTTCTTTGTTCTTTTCTATTAGATTGAAGTGCTGATGGCTTTTATTTGACTATTTTCCAGTCTGTTCCTCCAACCATTTGGTACCGATTGGTGGCTGGACTAAATGCCCAACTACGTTTGGTTCGATTGGGACACTTAAAGATTACTTTTGGTCATGTTATTAGCTGGCTTGAAACACATGCAAATCCAGCTCTAAGTGCATATGGAATACACATTGATCTTGCTTGGTTTCAGCCTACATCTTCTGGATATTGCCAGTTTGGCCTTGTGGTATGTGCAACTGGAAATGAGGATGCTTCACAATCAATTGAGAGCCAAGATGGATCTTTTGTACCTGTGACACAATCATGGTAAATTTTGTTTTCGAACTTTTGTGCCTCCATTGTATTGAATTTGGCTGAAAATTCTCACTTGAATTTGCAGTTTGCTTGAAGTGCATAGAGGTAATCAATTGAGTGAACAGATGATGACACACAAAAGGATTTTTGGAGGCCTTTTGCATTCAAAGAATTTACGAAAGCTAAAATTAAGGAGGACCATATGCTATCCTTTTTCTTTCATCCTGTATAATACTAAACCCATTGGTCATCAGGTAATTGAAATGCTTGTATTGTAATCTTGGCAGATGCTGATTTTATTTTCCAATATTTGTATGAATCTCGATGATGTTTTTCTGACACCCTTTATATTGTTGCTACAGGATCTTGTTGGTCTGTTCATCTCGATACTTTTACTTGCGGATATTAGCTTAGTCCTGCTAACTTTGCTACAGATGTATTCTATTTCACTGCTCAATTTCTTATTAGTTTTGTTTGTCCTTCCTTTGGGCCTACTTTTTCCATTTCCAGCTGGAATCAGTGCCCTGTTTAGTCAGGGACCTAGGCGATCAGCTGGTCTGGCACGTGTATATGCTCTGTGGAATATAACATCCTTAATCAATGTAGTAAGTCGTGAATTTCTCAATCCATTTCTTAAATATTCAACATACCATGCATAAACTTTAAATTGGCCTGGAGATAGCCAGTTTCTCCAAACAAGGTGAATTCTTTGTGACCACCAATTTATACTGGCAATGGTTTCAATGTGACAGCATATACTCCTTTAATTTATTGATCTGATAGCCAGTCCTGGAAGCCGCGTCCACTGTTCATCTTTTTAAAATTTTCAACATGTATTGAAATATCTAATTCTTTAGAAAGGTTATCCTTGTGAAATTGGGAGATATTACTGGCATTTTTCCAATTAGTAGGTTGCACATTGCTAATGCTAAAAGGACACACAGATGTCAAATAAGGGCTATATATATATATATGTGTAGTTGTTCATGTGTGTATGAACATTTGATTGCATACTATACACACAAGCATGCAAGAGATAAAGACATTTGCAAAGATTAGTAGAAATTTATCTTATCTTTGATATTAAGAGTGACAATTGCAGTGAATGGTCTGTTTTTTTCTCTTTCCAGTTCCGAGTTGTGTAAATGAATTTCCAATCAGAGTGCTTCTACTTGTATTTTTATTTTATGCAGCTTTGTTTCTTTGAACCGATAAATCATTCTGAACTTTTCCTTTTCTTAATTGTTTTCTATATGATGGTAAAGGGACATATATTGTTTCATTTCCTGAAATCATATTTCTCTTTTCCAATAGGTAGTTGCCTTCATATGTGGATTTGTTCATTATATGATCCACTCAAGTAAAAAGCATTCAAACTTTCAGTCCTGGAATTTTAGCGTGTAAGTAGCTTTTAAATAAGTTTCATCATCTATATTTTCTTGCTATTTTAGTGAAGAGTATGTCTAGCATAGATATTTACCTTACAGTTTGTGCTCGTGTTTGTGGCGAGGTGCAGGGATGAAAGTGAATGGTGGATGCTTCCTTCTGGATTGGTTTTGTGTAAAATAATCCAAGCACGACTTATTGATTACCATGTAGCTAACCAAGAAATTCAAGATCAATCTGTCTACAGTAATGATCCAGAAGTATTCTGGCAATCATGAAGGTGTTTGATAAATAGGTACATTTCCAAATCAAATGCTTTTTCTTATACCTATATTATATAGTCAAATGTGTTTTTTTTCCCAGCTTAGGCAACCTAAAAAAAGAAAAGTAAATTGATTAGGTGAAATATAGAAGAAACTTGGATAGAACAGTGTAATCCTTGATTGTATGTGGGAAATAGGTGCCTATGGATCGGAATAGGTTTCCCCTGCTTTGGATAGAATAAGTGTGCTCTTTATCGATTTCTCCAGTTTTTTTTATGTAGCCCGTTCAATACCTTATCAGTTTACTATATGGAAATTTTTGCTTCCGTATCGTGCATTAATGATATGTACGAGTATGAGGTTTCTTAGTGATGAAGAGTGTAAATTTGTGATGTTAATACAACTTCATTCTATGAGAGCAGAGTTTTATTTTATTTTACTTATGGTATTGCCTGTTTGTGAGTTGGTACATCCAAGTTTTCCTTAAGCTTAATTATTCAGGTCCAGCATTTGTAACACTGTTAAAGATCTTTTATTTCTTTTTGTCATTTCTTCCTCTGGTGGTGATATCGAGCTGGAAATAAACCATTCGTTTGTTAATTGTCTTAATTCGGGAACCTTTCGTGTATTATAATCACTAATAATCGTGTCATCCTTCATGATATTTGACTACTTCAACTACATTTTATTTATTTAATGGTAAAGTACTAAACACGAATGCTGGGATGAATAGGCAGGAAGCCTTTTTCTATTTGCAAAATAAAATTTCATTTTTACTTATTTTAATAGTTTCTTTTGCCGCCAAAACGAAACCCAAAGTGGGAAGATAATGACCGCTCACCAGCTGTCATTATTCAAGAAATTTGTAGAAGCAGATCTTTTGCGTGTATTTTTAGAAACTAAAAAACGTGGCTGAATGCAACCTGAAGAGTCAAATTTCTGTAAAGCACTTCTCAGAAGGACAGAAGCCACGTTAAGTCTGCGTGTGAAACACGTTAAAAATGACTAATTAAAGATTACTTTTATGCGAGCAATTGCTCTTTGTTTTGCTGCTTGGAAGAGAGTTGTGACTGGAACTCTGGGAGGAGATTGTATCAGATTCAGAATACGAGTTAGGTACATTATATGTAACAGAAGATAATGTATATTGCTTAGAAATGGGCTTGATGCATTTTTTTTTTTAGTTCGTTCTTTTGGGAATCCAACAGTACTTAAATTTAATTTAATAAATTATTTGACTTTCTCTATCTATTCATTAAGAAACCAATATCCTCAACTACCAAATGAATTAATCAAATCCCTTTATTTTTATACTATATGCTTTAAGATTTCAATATTCTCACCTACCTTTTTTTTTAATCACTACACTAAGTTCTCTTTTGTAATATTCAGTTATTATACATTATTAGTTAGTTAATGTGCTAAAAAATAAAAAAAAATAGAAGTCGTAGAACGCAAAGCCTGTGTAAAATTCTATCTTTAAAATAATAATAATAATAATAATAAACAGGATAGCCCGTTTCACATGATTAGTTAGTCTAAGAGAGAATTTATTTAGATAAAGTTGAGTAATTCAAAACTTAATAGTCATGAACAATTGGGATTAGAATAAGAACTAAATTTTTAATCAGTCAAGAGATAACAATTAAAATAAAATAAATGAATGGAGTATGACTTCAAGAGCTGACACATATATTTAAAAATAATAGGAAAAACAAAATTAAAAGAATAAGTAACAGAATATAGTAATGTACTATATGAGGGTTTGGTTCGCATTATAATATTATACATGCCTTATTTTAACATTTTTGTTAATTTTTATTTCTATTTCAATTTTTTTACAGCAATAATATCGTGAATTGCAATTAAGGATATATTATAAATAAAAAATGTATATCCTTTTGAAACTAAATAAAAAAAAAATGTATATAATTTTTGAAAGAATATATATGTCTTTCTCTATTAATACATTACCTCAAGAAATATATTGCCATGCTAGGATATTAGATTACGTAGCAACTAATTTATTTGGTCTTTGGCCTGCGTGTTTTGCTCCCATATTTGAATATCAGCGCGGAATTATATTTATTTTTATTAATCTTCCGTGACGATTTATCCATATTCCTCCAATAGTCCAACTGTATACGATTAAAATATTCTTAATAAAAAGAAAAGATAAAAATAGAATGAGGGAATACGTGGCAGGATTCAATTGGCCTTGATTGTAGATTTACCTAACCAATAAGCGGGAGGTTGATTAAATCCTCACAGCCGGAGCCCGGAGGCTACTGAAAGGGCTGCTGCTGATTCCGTTCTATTTCTCTCTCTGAATAAAACGAACAAACCAAAATAAAAGATTCCATCCACTTCGGGGTTGGAGTGGGACCCATACATTATGCGATATTATTAATTAAATGTACGTCGACAACTCCAACAGAAACAGCACCTAACACTCCAATACTTCTAAATCTGGTTTCTGGTTCCTTTCCCTTCCTTTAACAGCAGAAACAAGAGAAGCAATCATCGTGATGGGGCGAGAGAGCGTTGGATTTCCACTTCTGGAGGAAAATGTTTCCGCCGATAAGGACAAGAGTTTGAGGGGGAGGAGGAGGAAAGCTCTCTGCTTCTTACTTGGTTTCTTCATCATCTCAAGTCAGTTTGAAACTCAACGTGTTTTTTGCTCTTTAGATTCTTTCTTTGAATCAGAAATTCGGAAATTCACAATCTGAATAAGTTTTAAATTTGTTTTTCCATAAAATTTGCAGAATTCATCAACTTATCATTTAGAAAAAAAAAAATATTGTAATTAATTAATAATAATCTGTATAGTGTGAGTGAGTGATTGCTGTTAATCATGGTAAATTATATGTAGGACCTACTGTTCCCTGAGGGTAAAACGGTAATTACGTTAGTGTTGTTTGGGTTTTGCTGTTTACTGTGCTTCTGTTACAGTGACAGAATTCATGTGAGAAGATTCATTTCAATGCTAAGCGGAGTGTTTGAACTTTAGTTGCAGGCATAACGACATTTGGAGGCGATTTAACCAGCTGGTTGCTAAGGGAACGGAACAACTTGGAGAAGAGAATTAAAATTAATGATGCTGATGTTGTGGAGTCAGAGCAAGGCGTTGTTGCTGCTGATGATGGCAGATGTTCTGAAATTGGGGCATCAGTGCTTAGACAAGGTGGGCACGCTGTTGATGCTGCAGTGGCAACAGCATTATGTGTTGGTGTTGTTAATCCAATGGCAAGTGGAATCGGAGGTGGAGCTTTCATGGTTGTCAGGTCTTCCTCAACTTTGAAAGCTCAAGCTTTTGACATGAGGGAAACTGCTCCCTTAGCTGCTTCAAAGGTTCGTAGTTCTGTCTTTCAGTTGATATATGCAAATTTTGACATTTCTTGCTTTGACACCCTTTGATGCTTTTAAGTTTTTGGCTGTTCCTGTTTGGTGTAAATGAATTCCACAATATTTATTTAGAATTTTTTGTTTTCAATTTTAGTATATGAATGTGTTATGTAATTTAATATAGCTAAACAAATTTAATTTTTTATAAACGAATTTTGTATTTCAATCTCACTTAATAGTAAACAATGGGTTAATTTAATTGTTCAAAACCAGAACATGTATGCAAACAACATTCAAAACAAGTATTCAGGTCCGCTGTCAATTGGCGTTCCGGGTGAGATTGCTGGCCTGCGCGAAGCTTGGAAACGATATGGACGTTTGGCTTGGAAGAATTTGTTCCAACCTGCCATTAAACTCGCCAAAGATGGCTTCATCGTTGCTCCTTATCTTGCATTATCAATAGCTCGTTCTGCAGAGAAAATCATGAGTGACCCTGGATTGCGGGAAATATTTGCACCAAACGGAAAGTTGTTACAAGCGGGTGATAAATGCCATAATTTAAAGCTGGCATGGAGCCTTGAGGCAGTTGCAGAGCAGGGGCCACAAGCCTTGTATAATGGTACTGTTGGTGAGCAGTTGGTGGAGGATATAAGAAAGGCTGGTGGGATAGTAACAATGGAGGATTTGAAGAATTACAAGGTGGTTATAACAGATGCAATGGCTGCAAATGCAATGGGCTACACTATATATGGAATGCCACCTCCTTCAAGTGGGACGGTTGGGCTTTCTCTGGTGAGCTATATCCTTTCTCATCCCTTTTATAATTAGTTATAGTAATTTAGGATTATTCTAGCTACTTTCAAATGTTGCAGTATTGCTCAGTCAGTATAATCAAATTATTGCCTAAAGTAACTTTCTAGATTGGATTCATCTAAACTTTGGACATCAAACAGGTCTTGAACATCTTTAATAGCTATGGAACTTCAGATGCTGCAAAAGGGAATCTTGGTTTACATCGATTAATTGAAGCATTGAAACACATGTTTGCTGTTCGAATGAACTTGGGCGATCCTCAATTTGTAGACATAAAGAAATATGTGTCCGAGATGCTTTCCCCCTCTTATGCTGAGCATATTCGAAAAAGAATAATCGATAATACCACTTTTCCTCCAGAATATTATTTTCATAGGTATTAGTTATTCATAATATTACTGATATAATCATCAATAAGTAACAATTCTAAAGCTTTATTTCTTCCTTTTCAGGTGGAGTCAGCTAAGAGATCAGGGAACTAGCCATTTCTGCATTGTTGATGGGGAGCGCAATGCTGTATCTATGACTACTACTGTAAATTATGGTTTTGGAGCTGGAGTGCTTTCTCCATCTACTGGTATTGTGCTTAACGATGAGATGGGTGACTTCTCAGCACCGACAGAGGCAACTCCTGATATGCTTCCTCCAGCTCCGGCTAATTTTATTGAATCCAGTAAGAGACCTTTATCTTCCATGACCCCCCTTATTGTCACCAAGGTATAACTTATAGTCTTGTATATAACAGTTTCATTTTCATTTTTCAATTTTTGAGTTAGATCTTCTGGGCCCAATTCGCTAATCAAGAACAAGATTGGAGCTTCTCTTTAAGCTTAACATGGTAAAATTTGCAGGATAATCAGCTAGTAGGGGTTTTAGGTGGTAGTGGAGGAATGGACATCATTCCAGCAGTAGCACAAGTTTTTATTAATCGTTTTGTCTTGGGGATGGATCCTTTAACTGCAGTTCAGAATCCAAGGGTCTACCATAAGGTTTTTGAAGAATATACATATATATATACACAAATTTTTATTTCTTCGATTAACGTCACTTATTTGAAAAGACCATTGACTTATCCTTGACTTTGTGCAGTTAATTCCCGATACTGTTATGTATGAGAATTGGACAGTGATCGATGGCGATCACATAGAGCTTGCTGAGGAAACAAAGAAATTCTTAGAGGAAAAGGGACATCAACTGGAGGGTAAAGCAGGAGGAGCTATCGTCCAGCTCGTCATTCAAAACCTTCAAAAAACCGTTAATATGGGCCGTAAAAATGGAAGGGAATTAAATGAACCCAGAATTTTATATGGAAAACTCACTGCAGTAAGCGATCCTAGAAAGGATGGGAGACCCGCAGCAGTTTGAACCGTAAGAATTTTTTGTGATGGGAATTCCATTTCCAGAATCTCCAAGCCAGTATATAGGACATTATTGCATGTATGAATCACATTTGGATTACAACTTGTAAAAAAATTCCATCGTTGCATATAAAATGCTTGGTTAGCACACGAAATTCCTGCAAGTTAAACATACATTCTTTGAGACTCATCACCGTTGAGCATAAGCTAAAGGCACCAAGGGAGGGCTCATAGCAACAGTAAGAATTAAGGGAATTTAAATTTATAACCTTCTACTAAATAGATATCTGAATACAAAATTCTTGGGAATGCTATATTAATATCACCAACAAAATTATTAAACCACCAAGATAAAAACAGAACAACATTAATACCAAGTTTTTCCACTTACCAAGGGAAGATATAAGAAATTTTGTGAATTTATAAGCTTATTTTACAATAGACAACAAGAAACATAAAAAATGCAAAACCATCGAAAATCCAGGAGTCTGCTTAATCAACTCTTTTCATGATGATTTGTCCATCAGCTGAATTGGCGCCAGGATGTTAGACTTGCTTGTCTCAACAATGCAACCGTTCATGACCATCTCCTCCAACATGAAATGCGCCTTTTCTAAATGGAACATGATGTCTAGCTCACACTGGGAACATGAAATCGATATTTCAAGTGAACCAATAGTGAAAAATATGGAGGAAAACTGAGAGAGAACTATTTGTAACACAAAAATTGCACGAGAACACTTACCACATTGCCAAAATGGCGATCCATGGTTTCAACTAAGAGATGTATGAATTCTAAAATTGCAAGCTCATTCTGCAACAAGCAAGCAGAAAAAATGTTGAGAAACACTTGGCAGGACTAACAATTGATAACCATACAAAAACAGAAGGAATTATGGATTGCTCATTCTCTAGCTCCGTAGATTATTCGCTCCATAATTAAAACACTGCAACTGAGACCATGTCAACTCTCATGTTAAGTATTTGAATTGCCACCGAAAGATTGAAATGTTTCATACAACCAAATAATATGCATAATTTTCATACAACCAAAGCTTGAAATGTTTCATACGTTCAAATAATGTGCACAATTTCCAAATGATTGTATCTTTGTTACTATTTCTGTTCCATAATACTTGTCAGATTTAGAATTTCACGTTTCTTGAGAAAACCGTTAAATTTGTTTAAATTACAATAAATTTATTGAGTAAATTTGACCATATTACCCTTAATTTATTAAGGTAATTCTTTGAGAAAACCGTTAAATTGAAGTAATAATTATTTGTCATTTATAAAGGGTAAACATAGAAAAAAAAAATTTACTGCTCTTTGAAACCATAGCGAAGGTGACAAGTATTTTAGAACAATCTATGATTTCAAATGTGTCAAATATTATGTAAGGTAGTTAGCATGTTTTTACATGAAAGATTTCATAAAACACAAAATAATTGGTATTTCTGAATGTAAATAGTTAATGCCAAAATCCTGGTTCTGCTAACATAGAATTCCTCAAGCAAAGCACCCATTTTGCAATTTTAGGAGGAGAAAAAAATATAGAATAGGAAGGAACTTACTTCATCATTGTCGACTCCAACCAGGAAAAATAATGATGCATAGCGCCTATAAACAATCTTGTAATTGCGATGCTCAACAAAAGAACACTGTCATTTAGGATCCAAAAACGATAACATCAATGAGAACTGTGAAAGTTCAATAAAAATTTAAAAATTTAAAAACCCTAACCAAGAACAATCGAAACTCAGAACAAGATTTACGAAGGAGGCATTAAGATCAGAGGAAGGAGATCTGGTTCGTTGATTGAATTACAGAGAGCGTCTGTATAGCAATTAAAAGTAATTACGAAGGAAAAAAAGGAGAAAGAAAACCTGTTGCTCGGTGCGAGCGAGGCATTTGCGAACAATTTCGCCCTCAAGAGCACGGCGTTCTTCGAGGGTGAGCCACTCGTAGTATTGGGCAAGACGTGTTTGTCCTTGCTTATTAACCATTAATATGAATCTAATTCCCATTCCTCCTCTTCTCTAATTTACTGAGTCGACGATCTCTTCTTCAACAACAACCTCAGACAGAGAGAGCTGTGATTTTATTTCTCCAGCAGGGGATCAAGGCAGGTAGCTCTGTAATTGCATTTATTAATTCATTATGAAATGAAATTACGATTAGGGGGGATTTTTATTTTCTTCAGCACTTGGATTTCGATATAAAAAAAAAAAAAAAAGGTCGTCTCCTGTAATTATGAGGGAAACGATGACACCTATTTCCCGTCGTTCATATTGGGCCGATAAAATGGGCTAAAATTTTATAATGCTTTGAAAAAGGGCCCAAATATTTCTACTGGGCCAAAATAGGCCTGATTTTTCATATTGGGCCCAAAAATTTTCTGATTTAGGCCCCAAATGGGCCTGGTTTTCATATTGGGCCGAATATGGGCCTCAAATTTCTAACTGGCCCAATAAACTGGGCCTAGTTTTCCAAAAATGGGCCTAGTGTTAGGTTTATTGGGCCCACTAATTGGGCTAAAATGGGCCTGACTTTTATATTAAGCGGATACATTGGGCCTAAAATGTTCAACATACCTGTTTTTCATATTGGGCTTCTAATTTTTTATTTAGGCCGTCCAGTTTACCGATCAACTCCGGCAAATAGAGATCGACATCTTGTATTATGTAGAAAAGCTAGCGAAATAAATGAAGAAAGAGGCATTGAGATCTGAGAAAGGAGACCTGTTACGTTGATTGAATTATAGAGAGAGTTTGTTAGCAATTAAAAGAATTACGAAGTAAAAAGTAGAGAAAGAGAAGCTGTTGCTCGGTGCGAGCGAGGGATTTGCGGACAATTTCGCCTTCGAGGGCACAACGTTCTTCGAGGGTGGGTTACTTACCCGTAGTATTGGGCAAGACGTGTTTGCCCTTGCTTATTAACAAATTAAATATGAATCTGATTCCCGTTCCTCTTACTCTTTAATTTACGCCAAATTTGGTTCTAGAACTAGAATTGCATAATGAGCTATAGAAGTTGGGTCTGATTTTTCTTAATGGGCATTTTTCTGTGTTTGTATTTTTTTCATATTAATATTTTTTTTGATAAAAAAATTACACCTAATACTCTACAATTTGACAATCATCCTCATATTAGGCTTCCAGAGACAATTTCGAAAATAAAAATAAGACGAACCTAATCATACTTGAAATCCATTGACAGTGAATACAAAATGATTTCTGTTCTTTTTTTATTCTACGTTGCCCGTTACCCTTGACGAAAATACGAGGAAACATTGAATCGTTTAACCTGACTAGTGTTACTGTAACTCGGTTGGCTGGATCTTTTTCGATCCACGGCTAGCCTGCCTTTTAGAGCGCTGATACGAATGACTTTCGTTAGGAATATGGCAACACAGAGCCAAGCTGAACCATCTTCTTTTAGTCAAAGTCTGTTTTCTGGATTTGCATTTCTCTAATGCATCATCAGATCCACTTTTCTTTAATGACTTGCATTTCTCTACTACATGAGCCCCTCGTTGCTCTAATGCATGCTCAGATCCACTTTTCTTTAATGCATTCGTTTCCCTCTGAAAACAAATTACAGAACTTTACCTGGATTTTCTATCAAAAACAAACCTACAATGCCCTAATCAACATGGTAGTGGTTTTTAATTTTCATTTCAAGCCATAATGGGAAATCAATTAATCAAAAGGAAAATTTGTATAAAATCACAAAGTGGGAAATGCTTTTAGTATAATATAACATAATCCGTGTCATCATACACTGCAGTCCGGCCAATGAGCTAAATTTTCTCATTCATCTTTGTCATTATTCACAACAATAAATGACTTACCTCAGCAAACAAGTCTACCATTTCCTAATCCACTTAAAAAGGCAAAGATAGTAACAATCTTATAGAGAACATTACAGTTTCTATCTCAATCACATGGAGCTGACCTCTTTCTTTGCCACAGGGCCATCTGCTTGTTTCTTACTGTCTATCAATAGGCTTTCCTGTTTTCCTTCTTCCTTTATTTTGGCGTTATCTTCTTTCTTGTCTTCAATCACATCTTTATGACACCAAAAACTGGGCTGATTTGTTGAGGACAGAAGCCGTGCCCACATCCTATCTGTTATAACCACCTTGTTCTGTTTCTCGGTGATTCGCTGAAGAGCAACCAACAAAGACAGACCCACTCAGTACCAAACCAAATTTTGAATTTAAGTTAAGAAAATGACACGTCATCTCATTCACTAATGAAAATATAAGAACTTACATGGAAGGGTATATAAGTTTGTCTGCCATTCACAAGACCACTTGTAAACCCAGTGTAACCAGCCATTGCTCCATGCACAGCACTTTGAGCAAGAAGCGTGCAATACACATTGTCAGATGCATTGCTTGGAACAGCACGAATCATATATGTAGGATCTGTCAGGGAGAAGGATAAAGCAATAATTAATTACCTCAGTCAAATAACAAGATTTTCAAATTAAGTCCATCAGTTGATCTATGTTATTCGAACCTATATATTTGAGGTTTATAGTCATCTTCCTCTTCTTTGCAAAGAAATCCTGCAAAAATTGGACAAACCAATAAATTTTACAAGAAATGCCGTTGAATGCTCCTCTGTGATAATACTGACATTAGAGCAGAAGAGTTTGAATTAGAACCAATACCTTGATCTTCTGTGATATCCACAACCCAACATCTTGGAGAAGCTTGTTTCCTGAAGCATCCTGTTGGGTTGATTGCATGGTCTCAGTAAGTAACTCCTGTCCAGCACCTTCAGCTATCACAATAACCATGTGCCCGTTCTCTTTAAGACATTTTTCTATGTATTCAAAAAGGCCACCTTCCCCTTCTAGATAAAAAGGTGACTCTGGAATCAAGCAACAATCCACATCTCGGCTTGCAAGAGTAGCGTGCATTGCAATAAATCCTGCACAGCCAAACAGATTAGTAACAAAGAAGAGTCATTTGTTAGACAGTTACTTTCGCACTAATTTTACCAAAATTAAGCTCTTGCAATAAACAAAGTCCACACTACAGTCTGAATTGACAGACATATATTAAACATTCAAGATGGCGGCTAGTACTCAAAACTAAGCATGTAGAACACCCATAAAATGTTGTCAATATGCAAGTATGGTGAAGTTCAGCTTCTTACTATCTGATGAAGTTCTTTATGGATTTAGGAAGTAGAACAGGACCAAGAGAAAGGGGCGTCCTTCATTAGGTCCAGAATTAAATTTTATAGACAACTATCTAGGTGATGACAAGACCTAGAATTAAATGTTCAGACCAGCCAGCTTGGGTGAAAAAGGTAATGTTCGGTTTGATTCCATCCAATCCTATATTTATTCAAGATGGAACAGGTAAGGATGCTTTAAGAGCTAATTGAATTGCAGATGTCATCATATAGGAGTTTACCACTGTAGCGACCCATTAGCTTCACAAGACCAATACCATTCTCGATACTTTCAGCTTCAACATGTGCTGCATTAATAGCACGTTGAGCCTCCTCGACAGCAGTGTCAAACCCAAAGGATTTGTCGATGACCTATAATGTATAAACAATTTTGAGAATGTCTTAGCATAAGGTACCATGATTAACTCAGAAATCCGACACTTTGGTAAGTCCAACTGACTTACTGGAATGTCATTATCAATTGTTTTGGGAATGCCAGCAACTGCAACTTTGAGACCTCTTCTTCTAACTTCCTGCGATGTCAAAGATCAAAACTTACAACAAAAACACCAAAAGAACGGAAAAAATAAAGATAAGATGCATTCTAATAACAACTAATCAAACGACTTATATGCTTCTAGAGCATCTAAAATCATGATCAGTAAGATACTGCTAATGAAAATAACCTTAAATTACCTCAAATATCACTGATGCTCCTTTCTGAGTTCCATCCCCTCCAATTATGTAAACCTGAGTTGCAAGACAAACTAACATTAATCATCAATCGATTGGACAAGCTGATAACTCCCGAATTATGGAGAATAAAACTAATAAATAATATATTTCAACCTGATTAATTCCCCGATCCTGAATGCTATCGACTATCTTTGAAGTATCATGGCCACCTCGTGATGTCCCGAGGATGGTGCCGCCACGTTTATGAATATCATTTACAACCTTAGGTGTCAGAGGAATAGTATTTCGAGCATAGAAACCCCTGTATCCCCCCTACAGATGCCATTAACTTGTCAAAAAGATGCCAGTGGATATGCAAAACAAAGCATTCAGTGAACCTAAAATATTTAATGGCACTCTCTTTTTCACAAACACCAGGGAACTATTGAAGAAGAAAAAGGGAAAACAGGGAAAAAAAAACCCCTTAAAAATTACACTTAACGTTAACAGCGCAAGAGAGAAGATGTAGGCAAATGAGGAATGCAGTTGAATAAATATTGGAGCGCAGATCAGGCTATTTACTTACATCTATTCCCAGAATTCTCTTCACGCCATACATGTGGTACAAGCCACATACAATTTCCCTAATTACCGTGTTAAGTCCAGGGCAGAGACCCCCACATGTAACAATGCAAGCATGAACTTCATCTGATTCAAAATAAACCTGAGAATATCGGATAAGTGTATTAAGAAGATGCAACGCATTTAGTGTTCCATCACTCCACAGTATGCATGACGCGCATAAAAATTACCCTTTGGCGAGGTCCAGCACGTCGGAAATGTATCCCTCTTGGACTATCCTTATGAACAACAATCTGAAAAAAAAAAAAAAAAAAAAAAAAAAAGCATGCAACTTCATCTGATTCAAAATAAACCTCGAGAATATGCGGATAATGTGTATTAGAAGATGCAACGCATTTAGTGTTTCCATCACTCCACAGTATCATTTGCACGCGCATAAAAATTTACCCTTTGGCGCAGGTTCCAGCACGTTTTCGGAAATGTATCCTCTTGGACTATCCATTATTGAACAACAATCTTGAAAAAAAAAAAAAAAAAAAAAAAAAGGAAACACAAATTTAAACAAAGGCCTAACATTCACTTTCTATTTTCATTTCTCCTATTCCTGTAAAAAAAAAAAAAAAAAAAAAAAAAAGGAAACACAAAATTAAACAAAGGCTAACATTCACTTTCTATTTCATCTCCTATTCCTGTAGCCCCATAACCAACTACATCTTAACTGGTCACACATTCAATCTCTGTAATCAAGTACCACATCTAGGGTGCAATTTATCACAAACAATTACATCATGTAAAGGATAAGGGGTTTTACCTTTTGTGGAACAGTGTCGTCCACATGGACAAAATATTGCCTAGGAAAATAGAAAAATCAATACGGTAAGCTAAAAACAATTAATAAAAAAAAAGGGTGCAAACAGATGTTGCATAAACAGCAAGTAAAATTACAAGTGTGAAGGAAGGTGAATCAACTCACTTAACAACTGAATATGCAGGATTGTCTTGTAAAGGATTGGAATAAGTCTACAGTAGAACCAAAAGAAAAGCAAATGTAAGCCATGGTTTAAATAAAGAATTTCCAACAAAGAACCAAACAGCCAATTAGCCAGAAAAATGAAACGAACAGCAACAGCATCATGTGCTCTCAGGAAAGTTGTAAAATACAGCTTTCGCTGTCAAAATTTGACGGCAAACCAGTTTATCATGGTACGAATCTATCTGATCATATTATCAAATGTTAATTACATAGCAACAAATTATAAATGCCGACAATATAATCTAAGTAAAGAGTTTCAAATGCTAGCATGTCCATACCTATATTAAAATAAATAAATAAATAAAGCAACCGTTAAATAGATATAAAGGAGATTCTCTATCCCGTTTGGTTGCTGATAAGACGCAGCAGACGCAGAAAGTGTCAACATCCGCCTACATTTAGATTATAAATTTATAATCAAAAGCAACCATATGATTAACTGAGTTAAGCTCGTCAGTATAAGGAAAATAAATCGATTTCACTTTAACTTCCTATCCCTCCATTTTCAAAAAAATCAATCAAGCAACCAACCACGACATACGTATATAATACGTTGGCATTTTCCTATTCATATATACTTATATACGCGTACACGATAAATATTAATATATACAATAAAAAATTAGGGAAAGAAAACTGTACAGGGAGATCAGGAAGGTAGTCAGTCAAATGAGGAACATCTTCGAGAACATAACCGTAATCGCCGGTCACGATCTTCGGCTTGTAGTTTCCATTACCGCTAGACATGGCGCCTCTGGAGAATCCGATCGATGAAAAACCAGCACCTAAATCCGATGTAGGACCACTAAAACTAATCGAAGAAGAAGAGAAATTCCGTGAAGTGGAAATCTCCGGTTTGGAAGTTTCCAGAAAGCGAGATTTCAAACACGATATTGACGAATGATTAGCAGAGAAAATAGAATCCATGCATCATAAAAGAAACTCTAGAAATTGGATATACGGATGCAGAGACACCCATACTTATAGGAACCACTGTTGACCAAATGAAAACATACGACCACAAAACCAAAATTAAAAATAAAATATTAATGTTTAGACAACACAGGAGAAACAGAAAAGGATGCGCTACAAGTTTGCGTTTTGGTTTCTGATTGCTGGTTTTGAATGGTGTTTATAAGCAGCCAAAAAACAGGTGGCCATTACTTGTTTCACTTTTAGCAGTGGTTTTGGCTGGTTTAACTTGAAAATAGAAAAATTTCCAAGAGAGAGAAATAAAGTTAGCGTGGAAAAGGCGAAAGAGAGACAGAGAGGGAGAGAGGGAAGGAGGGAGGTAAGGTCGTTTTGGGGAATTTAGATGTTCTAGATTTTCATTTTTTTTTTCAGTGAGAAAAAATTAAATTAAACTAAATTAAATTTGCCTCGTTTGGCACAGTTTATAGTTTCGTGAGGGAAAATTATCTATATTTACTATTGACCTTCCAATGGTTTCGGGCGGCGAGAGTGATGGGTTAATAGATTGGACATTCGGGTGGGTCTTAACTAGAAAGTAAATGTTTTTATATGCTGAAAATGACGGACGGGTCGGTCTTGATTTTTCTTGTTTGAATTTGGACTGGCCGAACGGATTGTCTTGATAGTAATAATTGTACTAAATGCAGGCTTTGATCGTACTAATTGTATCAAATGATTTTGAAAATTTAATGTGTTGGTCTGCTGTTGTTATTACTAAAACTATGATAATTATAGTGTGTGGGAATAATGTCATATTAGTAACAATTTGGGCAGTCAGCTGAAATATAGAATCTCCATTTTTTTTTCCCATTAAAACTTGAGCTGAGCATTTAATGAATATAATCCCTGAAAGGAAGAAAGTAGTATAACCTAAACAATGATAGATTAAAATTAACAAATGATTTTTTGGGGCTAATGTATAAAATATAAAAAATTTTGAGGGGAAAAAAAAAGATTTTGAGAATTTGGGAAGCTTCCTCCTAATTATGTTTAATTTTAATTATATATTTGTAGGATATCTTTGTATAATCTTGTACACTACAATATTATATATTTTCAAGTAATGTAATTTGTTGAAAAAAATGGCTATTTCAATATATTCACAGTTAATGTTGTATTTATTTTCATATTTTTATATGCTATCAGCGACAGTGAATTTACACTATAAAGGGATTAATTGATCGTTCATTTTTCTTTTCTCATCAATTTTCTATAGATACCAATGTGTTTTTCCCAATTAATCCCTCTTAACATTCAAAGTAAACTATTTTTACTAAATTCTATTATATATTGATCCTCCAAATTTTTTCTTCTAGATTCACGACTGACTATAATTTATTATTATTATTATTATTATTATTATTAAAATTCAAGCTTATCACTTCATAATTAGTTGTAAAAAGAAAGGGTTTTAAAAGAATATTCAACTGTGAATGTAAAAAGAGTTTTAAATTTTTCCTTTATTTCAACTTTCATATATATATATTTAAATTTTTTTTTTTATCTCTTTAGTGATGATGTAGAGTATTGCCAAATCTAAATATAATGTTATTATCTCGACTCAATGAATAAAAAAATATATATATTGAAAGACTAAAAGACGATAAAAGTTTATTTGATATAAACGTAGATTGTTTAACGGAAATTCTTTGCCTATACTATATTCATCGTCACGTTTATGGACCAAATTAATCACAGTAAGAATTTTTTTAAAAGTGTTCTAACTTTCTCTTTTTTTTTTTTTTTTTTTTATTTTTGATATAACGATAGATTGTTTTAACGGAAATTCTTTGCCTTATACTATATTCATACGTCACGTTTATGGACCAAATTAATACAGTAAGAATTTTTTTTAAAGTGATTCTAACTTCCTTTTTTTTTTTTTTTTTTTTCAGTCTATGGTTAAAATACCATTTTTTTTTTTTTTTTTTTTTCAGTCTATGGTTAAAATACCATCATTTAAAAAAAAAAAAAATTTATTCTCCATGAATGGGGCCATGGACCCGTCTATGTAAAATTTTTTCTTGTTTAATAATACTTTGTGAAACTTGCTATTTTCGATTGGAAAAGTAAAATTTGTAAAATTAATTATATTTTATAATTTCTTATATTTTTTTGGAGGAATTATTATTTCTTATATTGGAAAAAGTAAATGTTGTAAAAATTAATTGTATTTTATTATTTCTTATCTCTAAACAAGGAAATAATATTTATAGTTCTAAGATATTTATAACTTATCTTTATTTTAACTTTCATTAGAATTCAATTTAATTATGCTCAATTACAGTCGAATTAAATAAAATTTTTACAATTTATATTGTATTATTACAAAGTTTTAATACTTAATTATTCTAATATAACTAAGAATAATTTAAAAATTAAATTAAATTACTTATTTCATTGATTTATTAAGTGTTGGAGAACATTTTTACATAATAACTTAATTCAATTATATTAATTAATTAAATCGATTTTTTACAAAATATTATTAACGTTACGTTAAAAAAATATTCTAGATGAGTTAGAATTATTTAATTTGACTATTTTTTTATTACTGTAATTAACATGTGGACTCATTGAAAAGGCTACAAATATTGACTATTACAATTCAAAAACGACGACCTCAAACAGAGTGAATTGTCAAAAACAAAAGTCTAAAAATAAATATATGATAAGCTATTAATTTATGACTAGTCTGTATCAAGGCTGTGGATGATCGATTAGTTATCAAACGATGAAATGACTAATTTAGGTGAACAATAATTGAAAATTACAATGCAGTTTGGACTAAGCCTCCCAAAGCGGTGCATAAAAATTTATTAAGCTACGAATATTTCATAGTGGAAACTTTTTGGATTGCGAAGCGCCTAGTAGCCAAGTTAAAATAAAATTAGATACTAGAATCGCACAATATTTCATGTATTAGCAGTTAATCTTTTTTAAATTAAAATTTTAAAATAGTTAGCCTTCTTAATTATTATTTTATATTGAAATGATAAATTGAAATTGAAATTACATATAAATTACACGTACATTTCATAAATTAGACTCAATTTATAAATGCAATACCTCCAATTTTAAAATTTAACAAAATTTCAACATTGTAAAACACATTCTATGATTGGATAAATAACTATTTGGCTCTTCATATTTTAGTTATATTCATAATTTTATCTCTTATATTTGTTAAATACACCAATTATTTTGAGATTTAGTCATTCTATCTAAAAAATATTCATTATCAATAAATCAATATTTGCAATTTTCACTAATTAAATTCCATGAATTATTATCTTTTAAATTATGGAGGGAGCTGGAGTTCATAGTTATGGTGTTTGATTTTTACGCCACACATAAATGATGCAGGCACCTGTCATGTCTGCTGATTTCTTATCACAATATTTGGCGGTAGCGGAAGATAAGGCAGCTGTGAAGGATAGCGGAAGAGTGTCCTGGTTTTATGCAAGTGCTTTGAAATTCAAAAAAGGCAGGCGAAGTGCAAATTTTAAAGCTAAGAGATCTAGGTATTGCAGGATGTATCCAGATATATTGACTCTACAAACCAGAAGCAAAAGCTCACCTTGAAATGGAGGTCACACCAACAAAGCGTTTCATATTCCATCAACAGTCGAGGTAAGGGCTTTTGTTGATGTGGGGTCCCTCCGACATGTGGGACCCACACACATTTGAAAAGAAAAAAAAATATAAAACACGTTTTTTGTTTTGGACAAATAAGAAAGAAAGAAAAAAAAAGGACGGCGCCAAAGAAAGAAAGAAAAAAAAGGAAAAGTGGACGAGTGATTAACGCGTCAACTGCATCCCCTTCTCCTATAAAAAGGAGAAGGCTTTCCTTCATTAATGCGTACAAAAACAAAAGCATAGAAATACAGAGTGTATAGAAAATTTTAGGAAAGGGTTCCTAAAATTGGGAAAGAGAGAAAATAGTGAGGATTTTAAAATTTGGGAGTGTTTTTTGTTAAACACTTCTAGAGTACTCATTATTTTTGTAATCTCTTTGTACCTACTATGGGGTGTTTTTGTTAAACACTTAGAGTACTATTATTTTTGTAATCTCTTTTGTACCTACTACTATTTTTAGTAGAAGAATTATTCGGAGTTTTTGTCTCGTGGACGTAGCTCATAACAGTTGAAGGGTAATTTTTTAATTTTTACCGTGATTATTATTTCTGGTGGATTCGATCGTCAATATCCAATACGAAATCATTGGAGATATATGTGGTAATAGTAATTTTATTTTACTTTTACTACCGATATTTTTCTGCGGGCCCCACTCGGGATCAGTTATAATCCTAACACCTATTAGGTTTTAGAGATAAGATTTTACTTATACATGGTATATGATGGTTCCATATATTAGATAAATGAATTGTGAAAATTAAGATAGGATGTCTGATCTTGTAAAATAACAGGTAATTATATATAAAAAAAAATTAAGACAACATTAATAATTATTTATTTCAAAATAAGAAATTTAAAGGCGAGTCTCCTCATGATCCATGATCTCACGCGCATGGAAGCAGCTCTTAAACAAGTAATCACATGGATTATATGACGTCTTACATTACATGATTCAAAAGAATTTTCTTTTCTTTTATTTTCTTCTTTATTTTATTGAAAGAAGGCACGAGGATTGATGGAAAAGGCAGACCAAAGTTATCCAAAAAGTCATATCCCTTCTAGAAAATATAAATTGACTCCCTGCCACCTGTGCAGTCACACTCACCCCTCTGAAGACTCAGGAAATTATTCATAAAAAAATTCATTAATCCTGTCCCTCGTCACATTAAAGAAAAACAACAATAATAGTGTCCACAAATTTTTCTTTCTTTTTTTCTTTTGAAAACGAAGTAGTAATATTTTATTTTCAGACAAGTACATTAATCACTCACAGTGTGAGGGTTTAATTAAAAAGTGCTTGAACTATCGTAATACAAGTAAGACAGTTTGCCATCAAGTTTTGAGGTCAACTGATGAGCAACAAACCCATTATAATGATCATCATGAGCTGCAATACAAGCATCAATTACTCTTCTTGACATGTGATCTTCTTCATAAAATGGCTGTTCCATATATTCATCAAGCGCCATCCACTGAATTGATCAATCCAAATATCAGCTAATAGAATTAATACACGTCAACAACGACAAGCTAATCAACTAGATGGTTCTACGTACCTTGGCAGCTTGTAGTTCTTTCTCATCTACTGTGATTTCATAAGACAATGGCTTCAGCACGCAAACGAAGAGTATGTCTGATTTATCAAATGCTACACGATGAGCGTGTCTGCATGCAACCCATTAAAAATAAAATTAAGTTTTTTTAAGATTTTAGAAGCATGTCATCATTTCAGAAATAACCAAATATATATATATATATATATATATTATGATTATGACTATCACCTGAAAGCACCAGCTTCGAATATTGTGTCGCACCTTATGTAAGCAACAAGATGTTGGTGACGTTAAATGTGGTAAATATTAAACTATTAAACTATAGTAAACGAAAACAGTCAGAACAGCCAAAGGGCAAAAGAATCAAAAAAATCCTTACACCCCAGTTTACTTCCTTTACCTTCTCTATAATCCTGAGAATAATCTTCAAACCAGCATAAGTTGGAAACCAAAGCGTTACGTGTATGGTTATTGCAATCAGAAAAAAATTTAAAATTCAGTTTGAAAGAATAATACTTTGTTAATATAACCTGTCGGCATCTTCCTAAAACGCCAAGAGCATATATACCTGAAAGCAACCAGCTTCAGGAATATTGTGTCGACCTTATGTAAGCAACAAGAGTTGGTGACGTTAAATTGGTAATATTAATATTAACAAAATATAGTAATGACAGTAGCCAGAAAAAGGGCAAAAAGAAAATCCTAAAAATCCTTACACCAGTTTCTTCTTTTACTTCTCTTATAACTCCTGAGAATATATCTTCAAACTAGCATAAGTTGAAACAAAGCGTTACGTGTATGGTTATTGCTCTTCAGGCAGAAAAAATTTAAAATTTCAGTTGAAGATAATTACCTTGTTAATATAACCTGTCGGCATCTTCCAAACGCCAGAGCAACTGCAGGGGCATTTTTCTTTGACCACAAGAACCTAAAATGTTAATTTTGTAAGGAGATAAATTTATAATAGACTATAAAATCAGGAAAATAAAAAAGAAAGATTATGTAATTATAATTAATAATATTAATTAATACGTCTCTTTTGTCATTGATGACAAATCCTCCCACACCAATTTGGTGTGAAGGGCTAGAAGGAAGTAAGCAAGGCTCATCGGGAATCCAATAAGTTAGCATCACGTAGCCTGGTTCAGCATGGTGGTAGTTAAAACCCTCCTAAAAATTAATCCGAGTAGTTATGAATATAGAAGCTAAACAAGTAGTAGTTTGCTTGGATGTTGATATAAATATGATTTAATCATAATTAATGCAATTGGTACCTGTATTGCTATTGGAATAAAGTCTGCTTGTTCCAATAGTATTTTCAGCCATATTCCCTTCTTTCCCTGCATTAATTCCACATGAATTTTGAGTGTTCTCTCAAGCAAGCAAGTACTACTTGTTCTTTACGTAGATTCTTGTGTGGCCGATTGTGTCACTGGAATTATTATGCTTTGAGCACATTTGGGTAACCATTTTTGCCTGAATTTCTACAGACATTTAATATATTTGTATTTCATAATTATCAACATTTTTTAAAATTTTTGTAGTATTATGAGAGACTATTTACTTCTGAAAAGACACTCTCCTTGAGTGGGAATTTTTTTTTTTTCAATTAATTAGGAATAAAAATACAAAACCTCACACATTAATTTTTGTTGTTATTGATTTAATAACTAGCTTAGAATTAAAAAGAAGAAACAACCCTTGGTAAGAACCTAGACTCTGCTTGTTTATCAAAGGAAGATATCAGAAAATCCTTCTATAAGTGACAAAATGGAATTTAAAACAAAATGGGGGAATTTTGCAGAATTTTGAGTAAAGAAAACAAAATTTCGAAGTCATGTGACAAAGTATATATGCCATTTCTTTGGATACCAAGTAGGTAAACAAAACAACATGTCCTAACTCCCATAGTTTACTATTTTCTTGCCGACCATGCATGAACCTGAACAACAAATCCAATAGGCAATAGTATAAGCACATGACATGTTTGAGCGGTGCAGTATTATATTATATATGGTAATACTCATGTGGTAAATGTGTACAATCTGTGTGCGAACTGCCATGTGGTCTTACCTTCAACTTCCAATTAGACAAAGAAGCTCGAAGGGCAGAAGCGAAAGCGTTAACGCTAGAAGGTAAATTGTTAGGATCAATAATAATTCCACCATATTCATCATCCCATGCATCAAGAAATTGATCCACTTTGAAACTTGGAGATGATGTTTCTGGGGACATAACTCGAATTCCTCTGTTATTTTTTAGCAGAATATTGCGGCCATTTCTAAGAGATGGCATTAAGGAAAAACCATTTTTCCCCCTTGAAATTCTAGGCATCTCTCTGTTACTGTAATGCCAGCAACAGTTTCCGTTGAATGCTGCAATGGCTAACGCCATTATTATCCTTCGATTAATTAAACTGTTGATTCTGCTTCTTGCCTGAGATTTCCTGTTGTCTGTGTGTGTGTGTGTATATATATATATATATATATATATGTTCGTATATAAGAGAAAAAGTAAAAGGTGAATGTTTCAAGGGAATAGCATATTCGTGATCTATTGTATGACAAATTGGAAGAAATTAATATCGGTATCCTAATTTACTCAATTCAACCAAACAAAAGAATGGCCAGATACTTTGTCTTGGCTAAAACATTTTTAACAATCACAATCAAAGAAGCAACTGTGATTTCCACTTGCAGAGATAGTACATATTCCACTGCAGAGATCATGATTCGATTCTATCTTCGCATTTCCAGGGTTCTCCCTGCATTATATTTCACGCCTTCACGGTGAAAGGAACTAATACTAAGCAATTTTTTATGTGGCTGATGGGAAAAGAAATAAAAAAAATATGGACGGAAACTTTTCCTCTTGTTTAAGAACGTCACAGAAAAACTTTTTGGCCCAGACCAGGTTCGGTCTTGGCCCAAGTCACATTTTGTTTTTGAATATTATGGACGCGACCGTTCCGGCCTATATTAACACGTAGCAACAGCTGGCCCATGTAATATTGGTTGGGTTGGTCAAATCGGAAATCCGATTGGTGATCACTATCTAACAATCGGACGGTTGATATTCAATGAATGAACGATCCTAATTTTTCTTTCTCGTCGTCCTTCCCGCTGGCGAAAAATTATCACAGCTATAATGCGCCAAATCCAATTATGGGAGTACGGTGAAGAAGACATAGCAGAACTAGTCATCTCCGTCCGTACAATCTAGGGTTTATGAACCATTGATAGGCGATGTACAGAGTACAGCTTATCCTCTTAGGGCTCTCAAGGTAACCATCTTTGCACCTTAAATCCTTAAATTGAGTCTGTCGTTTTTGTTATTGTAAAAAAGGAAAGGTCATATAGTTATTGGTTTACGTTATTGCTTGGGTTGTAGATACGCTTACAATTCAGGCAGCGAGTACATTTGGTAATTGCCAGCGTTCTTTTTGGAATTGTTTGTTTAATTATGGGTTAGGAGGTATTTATTTATTTGCTGAACTAAAAATTTTTCTGACAACTAATTTTATCTATTGACACAACAAACATTTTTGAATGTCCATGTATGGAAAAGGTAACTAATGACTAGATTACATGTTCCGAATGAATTTTCTCTTTGTATTAGTTTTTTGCTGGTGAGTACTTGTGTTATTTTTCGACTGTATTTTGAATTGGATTAGTGTAAAGAATATGCCGTTTGTCTGAAATTGAAATTGAACAGTGTGAACAGAGCCGTGGAATCAGTAGGTTGCCCTTGAGATTTGGTAGTTCAAGTGCTCCCGCCCTGCAATCATCCTCTTTAAGTGGTCTTTTGAGCTAGTTGATTGGTGACAAGTCCAAATATTGGTTCCCCATTCTAATGTAGGTTTGGAGGGATATACTATTGGTTTGGAGAAATACAAAGTACATGAACATGATTGTGAAACTAATTTGGATTCTGAACTTTATGAAGGCTTTTTTTTTTTTTTTTTTTTGAAACTAACTGTAAGAAGGCTAATGCTGTGTGATTATAATAGAAACTCGAGGTGCAGACAGAAATAGAGGTTCTGTAGTCAATAAAGGAAGATTTGGGAGGTACAACTATCATAAAGCCTTAATTAAGTTAAAGACATTCTTAGTTAGGTTGCACTGGGAACCTTTTTGATGCCCCTCTCACCAATTTTCTTGTTTTTTCTTTTTCCTGATGTTCATGTGCTTAGAGTGACAGTTGTAGTGGAATTGAAGTCTATGTCTTTAACTTTCACGTGCATCAGAAGGATATTGATTTCGACACATGTTTAAGTTGATAAGGTTTTCTAAGTCAGCAGGATGAATGTCTGAAAGCATCTTGGGGTTGGATTTGTTATAAATCTTGAAAAAACGGATTGGGGGATATGAGTTTTACCATTAGCGCTATATTATTATTAATAGTAATCCCAAATACAAATAGCTTGTTGTCTAAGCACCAGCTTTATGCTTTAAAGAGAAATACAAGTTCACTGCTCTAGAGAATAAATTACATGGTAAAATGTGTTCTAGTTTTGTGCACGTGCACCTCAAATGTCTTATACATGTTAGTGCCCCTTTTGAGGATGCTTGTGCTTGCGCATGTAGGGTTCTGATTTTGCCTCGAAAGCTGTATAGCTGTTAGGGAGCTCATTGCGGTTGTTTCACCAGGTGCAGGTGTGATTCTGCACCTTAATCTTTGCTAGTACCCTGCTGTGCAAAATTTTGCTTGGTGGGCTGTGGCCTGATACTTAAATATTTTTCTTCTTTTGCTTATTACAGTTGACCCAGTGGAACTAGTTCGCAATACTCGGTCAAGAAAAGCTGCCATTTTGTCGAATTTGGAATCTAGAGTATGTTAATGTTTTCTTGGTATCAGGCATAAACTTTAGCAATATTAAGAGATTATTACGCATCAAGGTTTTCTTGAATCGCATTTGCTTACGCTTAAGGTGCATTTCTCAGTTGATGGCTGCAGAAGATATAGGTAGACAAATGTTGACATATGGTAAGAGGTACGGCTCTATTTGTGACCATCTATCTGGTGGTGAATTAAAGTACCACATACTGAGATAAATTATTGCTTATTCACTTACTCTGTATGTTTTTCTGCATTTATCTGGTATGCTGCTGTACATGTAGTCTATGTTATCTCATTTATAAGAGAGTCCAAGTATAGTCCAAATACACTGGATGTTTGCTCTTCTGCTTTCTCGTATTTGTATGATTTTACTTTAATAACATGTTTGGGAAAACTTTTCTTAGAGATTATAAATTCAGTTTCATTGCAAGATATTCTTGAAATAGCACAGAAACTGATCTCTTCCCCTCTCACAATGGTATCATATGGAGATGGTATTTCCCACATGGAAGTAATCTTTGACTTCTTTTAATTGTCCCTTGATGATTTTCTGGTCTTCCTTTACTGATATTCTGCAGTTATCAATGCCCCAACCTATGATGCAGTCAGCAGCAAGTTGAAATGAATACATAAGTATATTTATTAATATTTTTTGGCATCAAACTGAGTAAATTCTTCAAGCTTTACCGTTTAAAACAAAAGAAAAACATTTTAAATAAGGAATATCAGATATATCCGCGGTTGTGAATAAATTGGTTATCCTTGGCAATCAGTATTTTGGTATGCCTGGTAATGTTGATGGAACTCTGTTCTGCAGAATGGGTCTTGCTTCCGTATTGGTCATGTCTTCTAAAGTTACTGTCAAAGAAGATTGATTGTATATATATATAATTGGCAGGTTTTGTAGGCATTTCTGCTATGCATCATCTTGTACGGTACAACTGTTGGTTTAGATTGTTTGTGCTATGTTAGTTGGGGATGTTATTTATTTATTTATTTTAACGGATCAGCTTTTGATCATTCCCTAAATTGAAATTGAAAAATAGGTGTTTTTAGAATGACAACTTTAGTCTAGAAGCTAAATTTCTTGAATATCCCTATTGCAATGGATCTTTCTTATAAAAAAAAAAAAAAAGAAGTTATTTTGATGACTATTATACGTGCGTCTGGAGGAGCTGATCGATGTCAACATATACATAAATAGAAGTTTCATTAGATTTGATCTCATTTCCAGAAAATCAAGTAAAAGAATGGATATGATAAATTATAGACATTTTTCATTTTGGTCTTAATTGATAAGGTCAAAACACCCATTCGAGTATAACAGAAGCAATAGCCAGTATTAGATAGACCTAACGTTAAACTTGCTGTGTTAGTATACCTCTAGCATGAGGAGTCATACCCAACTTACATGACGTCTTTCATTTCCAAGTGCACTCTTTCTTCCTTCTTTTAAAATAATATAAGTTGGTTAGCTGCTTTCAGTCCTCACCCCTTTTTTCTTTTTAGAATTCGTACTTGTTTTTCTTTTGTTTCTGAAGTTTTGACTTGCCTCAGTCTTTGCTTTTTCCTATTACTTCCTAATTTATTTTATTATCATTTGATTATGGATTAATCCCTCCATTAGCAAAATGCATAGCTGGAGGGTGCAATATTTGCAAATTTCTAATCATTTGATTGATGGGTCCGAAAAAACTTGATTGTTCTTTGATTTAAAAGGAGGGAAAAAAAAAAAAAAAAAAGCTTCCTATGGGAACATTTATATGGGTTAAGGAAAATCATATACAAGTCTCTTCTTTTTACATTGTTACATGTCATTTAATTGACATCTACTCGATTTTGAAAATTACGTAGTACATACTACCCTTACGTAAATGAAAACAACATGAAATTTCAGTATCTACTTTTGCTTGGTAGATTTATCATTATCCTAGATAATCATCTCAAAATGCCTCTTTTTGTAATTTACAATTTAGAAGGGGGGAAAAAAAAAAAATACAAAACCACAATTTTTATTTTTATATATTTTGGTTTGTTTTAATAAAAGAAATAAATCTCTATCCCCACAGCTATGCCACCAAAGGCAGCATTAATGAAGCATTGGCCTTATTTTGCTCTTTCCACACGAGATTTTCAAGCACAATTATTCAAAATTTGATTTATACCCATAAATTTGTATCATGATGTGGTAGGCTGTCCTGACACATGAAAGTGAAGTATTAAACCCAAAATTAATCTTATTCCTCAGAAGGATGGTGCCATTGTGCCTGTCAAGTGAATTGATGGCTAAAGTTTTGACACTACTCCTATACATACAATACATCCTTGTATGACACAGTGCATAAATTTAATCCACGAGTAAGATATATTTAAGATGTGAAGGAAACTTTTATGTAACGCCTTGCTTTCTATACCATATGTAACACAATATATTCATGTGATGCAATTTCGACAACGTTTGTTGTTTTTTAAGATTAATTAGCTAGTGGTGTAGTAATTTTTGCTCAGTTTTTAAATATCTAAAGGAAAATATAATTATTTAATTTTCAAAGTGCACGATCAATCAAATCGATCGTAGATGTCTTTAATAGCAAATTCAGGAAAAAAGAAGTAAATGAAAATTACATGGACTAAGAAATGAGACCTTGAGATGGGAAATGCTACCCCAAGCTATGAATATATATATATAACTATATATTTATTTATATAGTTATATACACTAGAAGTTTTGAATCTGGCCTTTTGAAATCTTCAATAGTTCTTTAAATTCTAAACATGCAAAATCATAAACAAGAGGCAATGGTTCTCTCTGTAAGAGATATTCTGATACATGAATTATATTATTAGTCTTTTTTTCTATGAGATATACTCCCAATTGCACCAATAAGTTGTTAAGGAATATATGATGCATGTTCTTTGCACAAAATGCAGTATTTTCACTCATTATTATATAATATTCCTTAATTCCCACATTTTATTTTTCTCTATAAAAAAAGAGACCAGAAATTTATTTTATACAATGCCTAAAAATGAAATAATTGCAAACTATGTATATACTCAATATCACATGGAAGGAATCAAGAGTATACATAATACTAAATAAAAACATATAAAAAGAGAAGTAGTGTGTGTGCTCTTAAATATATATCTATGGAGATATGTAAGTTGTATTTTGCCAAATTAGTCAAAGGTCAACCCTATTGGATAATCTCATACTTTTGGACAAAAAGAGAAGCCTAATTATCAAAGTTTGTTTACAAGTTGCACAATTTTGGTCTTCCCTCTATGTATAACATATAGGGCCATGTAGAATATATTCTTTTTTTTCTTTTTCTTTTTCTTTCCTAATTTTTTACTGTTTATAATTAAAAAAAAAGAAATAAAAATGAAAAAATTGAGATAAAAGAGCAATTATAGCCATCAAAACATTATTTTGGTCCCTCCATCATTTACTCTTGACTACTGCTCAAAAAGAATGTTATAAACGTGAATGGTAACATAATCATCATCCAAAAAAAGAAAAAAAAATAGTAATAATAAAGATAATAAATAAATAAATAAATAAAATTCATCCGATCCAAGATACTTTAGGACTACACAAACATTTCTACCATGGACCCACACAAATAGTGGGTTTATGCTCTTCTTCTACCGTAGATTTCGGTATAAACTCTTTTTTTGATTTGTACATATATATATATATATATATATACTCGGATTTGGAATGATATTTAGATAAATTTAGTTCAACAGTAACAATTCTAGATTTTAAATTTTTAACCTTATAAATAAAATTCCTTTAAAAATACAATTTATTTCTAATTATTTAACTGCCTGGAGAGATACTATTTGTACCTAATATATTCTGGAATTTCCCTAAATAGAAAAAAGTAATAAACAAGACCAAAAAAGAGCAAAAATTAAAAAAAAAAAAAAGTAAAAATGAGAAAATAGTACATAAATACATAGCCCTGTTTGGCTAATGTTTATATGGGTAGGGTATGTTTGCTTCTGCTTGAAGTTTCGTAGAATTTTTTTTTTTCTTAATAGTTAACATGTATATCAAATGTGTATGTATTATATAGTATAATGGAAAAATAAAAATTTGATTTTTTTATTAGATGATATGATATTATAATAGTTCTAATAAGAAGGGGTGGTGGTGGTCCATCAAGTACACTGCTCATTTGCCTTGCATATCAAGCAACCCGTAATTCCTCTCTCTTTCTCTCTCTGAAACATTCATGGCAAAAGAATCATCATCGCCACTCCAGCTCAAAACCCATGTGAGTTCCTACCATTTTTTTATTTTTATTTTTCTTTCTCTTCTCTTCTCTTCTATCCGCTAAAACATTTTATCTTTATTACAGTTTTAACTGTATATAGTCCATCAAAATGAACAAAAATTTAACTGTAACTAACCCAATTCCGTCTCTCTTACTCAAAGTTTACTGCCACGTATATAAATGTATATACTGGTAGAGAAATTTTCACACTCGGAAATCATCTACTTCTGAGTTTCGTTGATCTGTTATGTATTATTTATATCATTAAAATACTATTGTAATTAACAAGAAAAGGGGATTTTTTTTTCTTTTCTTTTAATTAAATAAATAAACGAATTACAAGTATTTTATGGATGGGGTTTGTTCTTGATATGCTTTTGAATGTGTGCCTTAAGTAACAGCTGTGAAGGCCGTTTCTTGCCTTTTGCTTTAGTAGTCAAGGGCCTTGAAACAAAGGTGTTTGTGTTATGTGTGTGAGAGAAAGAGAGAGAAGGGTTATTATGCTTTAGAAAAACCAACTGGGTTTTTCTTTTTTTTTTTTTTTTTTAAATTTAATTTTGAATTTTTTTTCTCTCTTCTTCTTATAACTTTCTATCCTGTTTTGTTTCTTTCTCTCTCTATATCTTTCCTTTCTCTCACCCAAACCGCCTACATACTCTACTTAAATTAGCAAAGGCATAAAGGCTTAAAGTTAGGTGTCTAGGATTGAGAGGGTTCCTTTTCCTTTTTTCTTCATGAGCTTCAGTTAAAGTTAGAGACTAGAGAGAGTGATTTCTGGTGTTTTCCATGGTTAAAGCAGGTTTTATAGCTCAATCCTACTGTGACAGTTTCCTCTTTTCCTTCTCCTTCTTCTTCTAGCTTCTCTCTTCTCTTCCTTGCACGAGTTTTTTCCTCCTCCTCCTCCTTCACCTTCTTTTTCTCTAGGGTATATGTAATTTATATCTCTATTTCCAGTTTTGACCCTATTTCTCATCTGGGTTTTACTTATTTTCTTGATTCATCTCAAGTTTGTATATGGTACTTTAAACTACATATTTATACAGTTTCTTGAATTTTGATTTCTCATTTTCTTGCTTAAAATAATCTCCCAGTGTTTGATACAATGTTTCTTTGATACCCATCTCAAAAACAAATCCCAGAATCATATATTTTATGCAAATATTTTTGTTTTAAGTGATTGAAGGTCTAATTCGATCTACTATTTCTTATACATAGTTTGCATATAATCAGATCTCGACTTTCTTGATTTCTGTTCATATATAGATAACTAAAAGGATATGAGTGGTGGGCTGTTGTATATAGTTCATAATAATTTCGCCAAGAGTTTGCTGGAAAGAAGATAGCACAAGCTGTTTGTGTGGAGAAGAGCTAGCGATGAGTAAGAGTAATCTGGGCTCCATCAGCAGCTCTGATCTTATCGATGCTAAGCTTGAAGAGCATCAACTGTGCGGATCCAAGCACTGCCCGGGTTGTGGACACAAGCTTGAAGCAAAGCCGGTACGGACAATAATAATAATAAATATATTCTTGGCTTGACGTATATTTTGAATAAAAGAGAGAACATTGCAAAGTGAAAAATCAAGAATTATGCTTGATGTTTTATTCCGAATCTTTATTATTTTTTTTCCCTCTCTTTTTCTTTTTTAGTCTGAGAAGTAGTAAATATCCTTTGAGCTCAACCAAATTCAGCTGAACTAAAGCTTTGCTTTCTCCTCTCTCTCTTTATCCTTTTTATTTTAATAATTTTTAAATAGCTTTCATTTTAACTTGGATTTGAATGGAGTTCGCAGGATTGGTTAGGTCTACCAGCAGGAGTGAAATTCGATCCAACAGACCAAGAACTGATAGAACACCTTGAAGCAAAGGTAGAAGCGAAAGACATGAAATCTCACCCTTTGATAGATGAGTTCATTCCTACAATCGAAGGAGAAGATGGGATTTGTTATACCCATCCAGAGAAACTTCCAGGTTAAATATTATTTCTGTATTATTTTGCTTCCTATACATTGGATAATTCGTTGTTCAATCTTGTTAGGTTTTCCTGTATTGTATTCTGAGTGTTTTTTTTTTTTAAAGGCTGAAAAAAAGTGATATATATGCAGGGATTCTGTTATGACTTTTGAAGGAACAATTCTATCAGTCTGACAGTTCGTTACACCTAAGTGAACCTAACTTTGATTTTGGTAAAAACTTTTTTCTTGCAGGAGTTACAAGAGATGGCTTGAGCAGGCATTTTTTCCATAGACCATCAAAGGCTTATACAACTGGAACAAGAAAGAGAAGGAAAATTCAAACTGAATGCGACTTACAAGGCGGAGAAACAAGATGGCATAAAACAGGCAAGACAAGGCCAGTAATGGTGAATGGAAAACAAAAAGGGTGCAAGAAAATTTTAGTTCTTTACACAAATTTTGGAAAAAATCGAAAGCCCGAAAAGACTAATTGGGTTATGCACCAATACCATCTTGGTCAACATGAAGAAGAGAAAGAAGGGGAGCTTGTAGTTTCAAAGATATTTTATCAAACACAACCAAGGCAATGCAATTGGACTGATAGGAGTTTAAATACCGGTGAAGGAAGCAGTGATCCTAATAGCAGAAGAGATAGTGGTAGTGGAAGTTGCTCTTCAAAAGAAGTGATTCCTCAAAGAGATGAAATTACTGGAGCTGGTGTTGCTGCTGCACTTTCAAGTTACACTGCCATGGATATGCAACAATTAAAATCTGATCATTTTGGCTTCCCTCCATTTAGGAAAACTTTTGATGAGGTATATTTTCTTTTTATCAATGCAAATTTAAACTATTCCATTCCCATATTAATTAATTCTTCTTCAGTCTAATTCACAGTTCTCATTCAACAGTATGTAAAATTGTCAGCTTGATTGATGACCATTAAATTGGAGGGATCTTATTGCATTTAGCAATTAACATTATTCAAGTTTTTAAGTATCAATAATAACATAAAAATTATTTATGACAAAAGGATATATATATATAAAGAGAGGAATTATTAAAAAAAGAAAAAAGAAAAAAGTTCTAGGGTTACTTTTTCTCAATTTTGATTTTCATTGCTTGCAAGTTCAGCTTGAAAACTCTATGGACCTCACTTGATTATCTTTGTCAGCTACTAATTAAACTTGGTTACCCAAAAAAAAGTGTAAGTAACATTAAAAAGGAACAAGTATTTGAACTGATAGAGAAACAAAATTAAAGACTATTGAAAAAGAACAAAAGCAAAATGCATGTATTAAAATAGACAAGCTAGCAAACGATTGCTTCATGGAATTAGGTGTGTCTATTTTCAGGTGGGGATAGCAGAGGCTTCAACGGGAAGGGAAGCCCCAGTTTCAGGCACGTGCGATGAGATTCGCGACCACCATCAGAGGCAGCCACATCATATGGCCCATGATCATCATCATCATCAGCATCAACAGCCACAGCACCACCATGTGTACCACCAGATTGCTACTGCAGCATTTCACATCAGTAGGCCTTCACATCCTATATCTACTATAATCTCTCCACCACCTCTCCATCACACCTCCATTATTCTTGAAGACGACCCTTATCATGTCTCGAGATTAATGCTTCAAAACGAAATCCAGGTAATTAATAAATATTAATTCCGTACATTCTAGATTAATGGGATTATATATACATATAGCTTTTGATGGAGGGGAGGTCATAATCATCAGGTTTAGGTTGTTTATCAAAATAATATGTTAAATCTCCAAAAAGTCAGAGGAGTTTGACCTAATTCAGGGAGGTTGAAGAAGTTGGTAGGCTGATGATAGGGAGGAGCCAGCTACCGACAACCCCCTCTCTCTCTCTCTCTCTCTCTCTCTCGTCCATATATAATAAAGTTGCAATCTTTAGTTAATTTTTGGAACTAAATTGAGTGAAAATGAATTATATATGAAAATTAAGATAGACTCTGAGTTTCATTCAGAGTTCAACTGAGTGTGACTCGGTACTTCTTCTTTTTTCCTGACTTAGTGTAGGTTGCCTGGATTCACTAACGAGCTAAAGCTCACTGGTGACTCGTACTGTTTTTAATGGGAGCTAAATTGGACAAAATAAACAGTCCTTTCACTTTTCAACTCTCTTTTAAAGACATGATGATTAAGGTTTAGTAATATTTTTTTTACTATTCTTTTGAATTAAATGAATATGTACAGCAGCAGCAGCAACAGCAGCAGCAGCAGCAGCAGCAGCAGCAGCAGCAACAACATCATAAACTAGGAGGAAGGTCTGCGTCTGGTCTGGAAGAACTCATTATGGGCTGCACTTCGACTGACATTAAAGAAGTGAGTATGAACTTTTTGACCCTGAAATCCATGACCCTTGTTTTTTCTTGTCATAATTCCTAACTAAGAAGTGAAGAAAGAAAGAAAGAAAGATTAGAAAAGGTAAGAAGAGATTAAAAGAAGAAAAGAAAAAAATTTAGTTTCTTTATTATATTAGTATTTTAAATTAAAGATACAAACCAGAAACCTTTTCTTTTTCTCTTTATATCTTTTATTTTTCCTTTGGTTTTATTATTGTGATGTATACAGTATAGGTAAAGAAAAATATATACAGACCTACCATGTCTAGACTACTTGAGAGTATCTTTTTCTTATCTCACTGGAAATTGAGCATGATGTTCAAGACTTAAAAAAAAGGGCAGAATGCATATTGAAAATCAAAACACAATAGGATGTAGGTTGTTTCTTGCATTTATATGCTTTTAGTTTTTTTTTTTTTTTTTTTTTTTTTTTTTAGCAGTCAGCAGCAGCAGCAGCAGCAGCAACAACATCATAAACTAGGAGGAAGGTCTTGCGTCTGGTCTTGGGAAGAACTCAATTATGCTCACTTTTCGACTGACATTAAAGAAAGTGAGTATGAAACTGTTTTGACCTGAAATCCCATGACCCTTGTTTTTTCTTGTCATAATATTTCCTAACTAAGAAGTGAAACGAAGAGAAAGAAAGACAAGATTAGGAAAAGGCTATGAAGAGATGTTAAAAGAAGAAAAAGAAAAAAAATTTAGTTTCTATTATTTATATTAGTATTTTAAATTAAAGATACAAACCAGAAACCTTTTCTTTTTTCCTCTTTATATCTTTTATTTTTCCTTTGGGTTTTTATTATGTGTGATGTAATAGTGCAGTATAGTTAAAAGAAAAATATATTACAGACCGTGTACAGTGTCTCGACACCTTGAGAGTATCTTTTTTCGTTATCTCACTGGACAATTGAGCATTGAGGTTAAGCGACTTAAAAAAAAGGGCAGAATGCATATTAGAAATCAAAACACAATAGGAATTGTTAGGTTGTTTCTGTGCATTCTATATGCTTTAGTTTTTTTTTTTTTTTTTTTTTTTTTTTTTTTTTTTTTTTTTTTTTTTTTTTTTTTGTTCAAGGAAGATGGAATTTAAGCAATTATCCTAGTTTAGGTTCAATATGATTTTGATATATAGATCATAGAAAAGGTACCCAAGAATGTAGCAAAAGCATAATAATGTGAAATTACAAGCTGTCATCAATCTTTGAAATTAAACAGCCAGAATCCTTTTTCCCCCTTGTTTTTTCCTGATACAACAGATATAGGAAAAAGAAAATTAAAGCTAAAACTTTCGGCAGATTTTGTTTAATTAGCCTTTACTTAAAACCAGAAAACCCATTTTTTCTCATAATTAATGTAATTATGTGGCAATTAATGAATAAAAATAAAAAAATAAAAAGAAGTTTCCAAATAGAATAGAATGTCTTTTATTTCTAAAGGTAGATGATAGCGACATGAAAGCTTTTATCATGCGTGTCCTCACAAGGAAAACATAGTATCAGACAATCTGACAGTGGAGGAAATTGAAAAAAAAAAAAAAAAACTAAAAATAAAAAAAAAAAAACGGAAAATAGAAAAAAAAAAAGACAAAAGAGGCAACCTTTCACTTGGTTGATAAAAAAAAAAAAAAAAAACGGAAAATAGAAAAAAAAAAGACAAAAGAGGCAACTTCACTGGTTTGTTGTTTTTAAGTGAAAATTATCTGTTCAAAACCCTAACCCTATTTTTCACATGCTTGTACTTTCTTTTTTTTTTTTTTTTTCTTGGTTGCAGGAGTCATCCATTGCAAACCCACAAGAGCCTGAATGGTTGAAGTACTCTCCCTTCTGGCCAGAACCTGACAACCAGGATCATCATGGATAGGAGCAAAAATAATAGAGAATAAACAAAAAAGAAAAAGGAAAAAAAAAACCCTCATAAACAACATCATTATTATCATCATCGTTAGTACTTAATTAAAGCCCTCACACAAGTTCTTTTCAAGAAGAGGCCAAGAAACCATCTCTGCGGTTTGCTCTTTTTCCTTCTTTTTTTCTTTCCCTCTTGAGGGGGCCTGCCTCAGGTTCCAATGGCTCCCAACTGAACTAACTGTACAACAGTCCATGTTGGAAAGAAGGAAAGAAAGAACAAAAGGAAAAAGGAAGAAAAAGATAAGAAAGCAAGAAAGGCTGCTCTCTACTGACAATAGAAGGAGAACCAAAGACCCAAAGCAAAAATCTCTGTGCATGAAAATCATCACCAATATGATTACACTATCATCTTTATGGCTCTATATTTTTATTATTTTATTTATTTTAAGATATTGTATAAGTTCTTTTATTGTTCTTTGAAAAGGAAAATACCCCAATAGTTTGTGCAAATTGCAGGGAGATAAACTTTGTTAATTTGTTGTGTTTAGTCACTTTTTAGTAAAATACGAATAGGAATTTATATGATGTCTCTTTTTAGAAATGAAAAATGTGCTATACAGAATTGTTTAATCTCATTCTTGCCTTGCTTTTTCTCTGCTGCTTCTTTTCATATGCAAGCAAAATTCAAAGGGGCAGTCTCATTCTCCTTTGCTTTGTTTATTATATATGAATCTTTGCACGGTTTTATAGAAATTTGCAACAGTGCAATACAACGTGCCTTGCTTTAGCTAGTTCTATTAATTATTTTTTTTTCCTTTTCATAAACCATAACATCAATCTTCTATTTCTATATACACACTCATAGTGTTAAAAGTTACTGAAATGATAGATTTAGTGTGTCTCTTAAAGAAAAGAAGAAGAAGAAGAAGAAGAAGAGTTGATCCTTAATTAGACAAGATTTTGTGCAATGATGATAACTTTTTTTTCTCCTATATGCGTGCCTATAGTTCTATGGACGCTCATTAATTGATCATATAAATAGAACATGGCATGCATGCATATCACTTACAATTTAAGCACACTTGAAAAGAGAGTTCGCTTTTTCTATGCTATAATTCATTCTTTGAAATTAAATCTTTTTCTTTCCTATTCTCTCTTTTCTTTGGAATTAAATGGAATTTTTTATAATAATAATAAAAAAAATCATATCTTCATCTAGCTTGTAACACATTGTGTGCTCTACAATTAGTGAAAGTTTATCATCATTAATTATCTTTTTTTTTCAAAAAAAAAAAAATCTTTTTTTTTTAATACTTTCTTATTTTCAGAGTCCTGTCAATTTAGGCATAATTATCCACAATGAACGTTTATCAAAGTAAATGTTAAAGCATGATTCCTTTTGCTGATGATAAGATACATGATATTGACTGATTAATTAGTCCAAACAATAATTAATTATCTTGATTAAACAAGAAATGAAAATTATTTCCCTGCTTGCATAATCTAATTGATATTGAAATATGACTAATAGAAAGTAAATATACTTTAACATGGATTTTTTTTTTTTTAAGTATTTTACTTTGATGTGTAGTCCCCACTCCCCAACATGTCATTTCCACTTCACTAGACTCTTGTAATTACACTATTGGATTGAATTAAAGGTTTAATTTGACAATTAGTTAAATAACAATAACATATATCGTTTTAACAAATTAAGTTACAAATAGGGGAATGCCATGTGGATACACTTGCACCTATCCTCTTTGCTCCAAAAATAAATTTCACATCATGTGATTGGTGATGTTTATTTATTCATTCAAAAAAGAAAAGGAAAGTTTCTATAATTTAAAATATGAAATTCCAGTTACATGATATAAAAGCGAAGAAGAGATTACATGAGGAGGATCATGTAAGACATAGGTACTTAAATCAAAATTCGCTAAAACATCAGATTAGTATGAGAAAGGTTGCAATTTCAATTCGTAGGCAAGAATTATTTATTCATTCTGGTAAAAGCAAGCTTAATTATGTGTGTGTATATATAGAGAAAATACAGAATTTAAGTGAGAGTCTCATTTAATTATTTTGTTTTTATTAGTTAGTTGCGAAACTTCTTTTGCTGCTTTATTCTATTCCATATTCGAGCTTTTATGCTGTATTATAGAAGTAAAAGATATGGTTATCTAACAGGGAAATAGAGAAAGAGAGTAACGTGCATGCTATATATAACAGGGAAATAGAGAAAGAGTAGTAACGTGCATGCTATTATATATATATATATATATATATATATAATTTGAAAGCAAAAAAAAAAAAAAAAAAAAAAAAAAAAAAAAAAAAAAAAAACAACATGGGGACGTGCATGAAATAAAGTTAAAAATGAACACGAAGCATAGGCAACTTCATCGTAGTTTCTGAAAGGAATAAAGAAGGAATAAAAGAATGAGCAGACAAGAATAACCTTTAACTTTGAAATGACCCTTCCTTAAGTAATGCAATTTTTCCACTCATTTTTGCTTATATGAATATATCTATTCTCTATTATACGAAGATTTCATGTTTTGTTATTATTATAATTAAAATAAAAATTTTAATTATGTATATACAGTATATTATTCATTACGGAATGATTCGATATCTATATCAGTTAATTTATATTAAAAAATAAAATAAAATGCATGAAATAGAAAAAGACAAGGGGGTTCAAGATTCATTAATTAATTTCTTATAAAGTTTTGGAGAATCCAAGCTCTACCTCTAATTAAGTACTTTGCTAAAGATTAATCAACAAATTAAAAGAGGAAGATCCTACCAGTAAGATATGTGTATATACATACACATAAAATATTTAATTAATGGAATGGAGATGGGAGAAGTGTCTCTTTCCACATGCAAATTATAAAATTAAAAAAAAAAAAAAAAAAAAAAAAAAAAAAAAAAAAAAAAAAAAAAAAAAAAAAAAAAAAAAAAGACAGAAAAAGAAAATAAGGAATGAAATGTCTTGTTCAACCTACAAAGGTGATGGTGCAATTCTTTCGCTTTATGGAAGATTTTGGGTGCTTTTAAAGTATATATTAACATAATAGAGAGAGGGTTTCCCTCTCAGTATTTGCAGAGATTTGGTCCCATAAAGAAGTTGCAGCAAGAATTGTGTAGTGCAAGCAGGAATATCACAACATGGGCATACCGACTTTTGGGATTCTTCACCTCATCACAACAATTTTTTTTTTTCTTTTTTTTTTTTTTTTTTTTTTTTTTTTTTTCCTCAGATTAGGCCTGTGGACACCTTCAATTGTACTTCCTCAGAATTTAAGCGGGTCTTCTAACTTATATCTTTTTTTTTTTTTTTTTTTTTTTTTTTTTTTTTTTTTTTTGTAGATGTACTTCCTCAGATTTAGCCTGTGACACCTTCAATTTGTACTTCCTCAGATTTAGGTCTTCTAACTTTATCCAGTTCCAAGTCAGTTGCAGTTTGTTTTCTGATAGTGAATGAAACTCAATACTTTCTAATCCTGAAAGTGACCCATCACAGTTGCTTCTTTAACAAAGTTTTTACACAACCTTACCTGCCTCATCGTTTTGTTTCTTACTAAGAAACTTACCAATTCTCAAGTTTTACACAATTAACTAGGACTTCTTTGTCTTGGTTTTGCCTTTTTCTGTAATTATTTTTATAATTTTCAAGAAAAAGTAATCTTTAATTTTTAATACATGTCTCTACGGGAATTTGCTAGCTTATTTCATAGGTAACATTTACTTTGCTAAACCATAGGCAGTCTTATTATATTCGATTAATAAATATATATATAAAAAAAAAATACGGTCTCAGAATGTGGAGCTAAAAGTGAATATCTTAGATAATTGGGACAGCATCTCCCTTCGATCATAATTTTGGATAGAACAATATTAGAAGCTTTGGAGGGTTGCTGCCTCTCCCAAGGCCAATGCTTCCAAATTGTACAATTCGAGATACGTTGGCCTTGAATCTCTAATTATAACGCCACTAATACGTACAGATACGTTTTAGATAAGATTGCGACAGATGCATTACAGAATGCCGTAATTTTATGTTTTTTTAAAAAAAAAAATAAGAAGATTGATGCTTTAAAAGCAAGGGTACATGGATGCAGCCATCCATACGGCAATTCATGCTTACGATCACGAAATTGGGAAAGTTCCGTTAGTTCAACTTTTTATTTTTAAAACTATTTTATAAATTAAACAATATATTTAACACATAAATTACTTTTTTTTTTATATCTTTTTCATATAGAATAATCCTAATGTATAAATGTTTATAAGAAAAAAAATTACCCATGCAGAGTAGATACACCCTACTTTAAAAAGAAAAAATCATGTCACGTGCTTATTTCAACTTTAGATTTTGTTATTACTATTTGATGAGTGCAATAATTTCACCGTAAAGCAGATACTAACATAAAGTTTCGATTGCAAATTCTCCATACTCGAAAAGAAAAGCTAGTTGCAACTTGCAACTTGCAACTTGCAATTGCTAGGGCGGTGAATAACTGAGTTGAGCTCAGTGAACTCAAATTTGACTATGCTCTATTGAAGTTTAAAAATTCAATTTATTCAACAAATAGCTATGTTTGAACACGACTAAATAACAGTAAACGAGCCGAGCTAAATAATTAAATAAAAATTAAGATACTATATAAGTGGTGAACGTCACCAAAAACACAAACTCAGAAGGCAAATAGATCGAGATTTTAAAAAAAAATCCTTCAGTCAGAAACTGACACTTCAACATCTTAACTAAGCACTGGGAAACAGTTGGGGTGTTAAAGAATGTTCCTTACTTCACTGCTAAGATAATGGTTAGATTTGTGATGAAAATTCTCATTCGTGTACCCATTTGATTTTACATCTGCAGCAAATGATTAAATTTAACACCGTTTCTTCTGGTAAATGATCCATCAATAGAGACTACAAAGTTCAAAACTAAATCACAACGCAATCAAATTGTTCGCCCAGTTGCCTTCACCGTGTAATCATAGCAAAGGACCCGTAACATAATGAACTGCTGATAAGCCAGTTGCTTTCTATACCTTGCCTTGCCTGCTGATCGGCAAAATGAACTGCTCTTGACAAAAGACCAACTAGAAAGGTACTTTTTCATCATCTTTTCAAATGACGATAAAACGCCCAAAATGTAACAGAGAACCACAGGTTATTATATTCTCAACTGACTAGAAAATTTTTACAGAAGATACACAGTTACGTACAGTTAGATTCAAATTATTCATCAACTGACAACTGTTGATTGGTGATCTATGCAATATTGAATCGAACTGCCTCTCTTCTGTTCAGTTTCTCTCATAAGAGGATTAACATGAAACTTCCAATGTCATTCCATGATGCTTTTCTCTACAACAAAACAACCTCTCAACATTTCACGGAGGATTCGGTGAGTTAGCAGGCACGTGCCTCGGGCATCTGGCCAGTAACAGGTCCACAAACACCAGAAACTTTCAAGGAAGCAAAGAGACAGGACAGCCTACCCATCATGAGCCTGGACTTAAGTTTAGGTACAATTGCCAGTTCTTTGCCAACCGCATCATCATCACATGGACTATGGTATCCTTCAAGATCTGCTTTTGTTATCAGAACTGCATCCCCAGAGGGAGAATGAGCACTAGGAGGTTCTTGACGCCTATTATATTCTTGAACAGCCTGATTATTATCAACGCAGAGAAGCAAGGAGAAAAGGCAGAGACGGTGAGCCAAGGTCCTAAAAAAATCTTAGAATTGCTTTGGGTGCAACAAACTCAATTACAAAAAAGACATGCCAGCGTACCAAAGTCCAAAAAGAAGAGCAAATTGCTTTCTTTTCTTAGGCTAGTGAAACTGCACATACAACAACTATCTAGCTCATCAAAGAAATATTACAAGCAGCTAAGGGCAGTAGGTGCTTAATGGATAGAACAGTTATAGACAAATTCAAGTAATAATTTCAAGAATGGAATCCTAAAATCACGCGGAATTGGCTTCAAACACCTAATCCAACACCGCAGGAAGTTCTCCTGAGAATGAACAGCAGACCCTTGTAGTGTCATGAGTGTCGCAAGTCTTAGCCTCATACAAAAAGGACTTAACAAAAATTTTCAGCACTTCCAATGCTTTACATTTCTACATCCAACAATTTTAAGGAGTTTTTATACATTACCTTCCATTGTGAAGGAGCAAGCAACACCCGAGGTCTTCTAGATCGCACATATTCTAGAGCAGCGTTAGGTGTCATGTGCTTATACTCTATCTGTGAAATATAATAAACTCCATGTCATAAAGTGATCAATCAGAAAATGTCACTTCTAATTATTGTATTAGCTGCTAAAGAAAGTTTAGGCTTATCAACAACCTGCTTTGTAAGGATTAAACATACCAAATAACAAAGCACAATAGTTGTACTCCTTCCTCGCCCTGCTTTACAATGAACGTAAGTAGTTCTACCACATAATGCATTTTCTACAACCAGGAAGGAAAAAAAATAGAATCAATCTCCCATGTCATAAGGGACAAGAATGAAAAGGGCCACAAGGTGGGCATTGATCAACAGAGATTTACTCACCATGAATGAAGCCCACAGCTCTGCTGATATCTACAAAAGAAGGAGCAAAAAGATAATCTCTTGTGGGAATTACAAGGTGTTCAATGTCATGGTCCTGTAAATCATAAAACAAACTATGGTAAGCAATTAAGCCTTCATATCAAACTAACTTTGTTTAGGCCAAACTTGCTATTAGTTGTTTATTTTTCTAAGGCAACTTTGAAAAAGAAAGATGCAAAATTCCTTTAAATTGTTTTTCTTTGTTTTCCTATGACAGACTCACCTAGATCAAGTTCAAACACACAAAAACAACCGGCATAAGAAGAAAACTGGAAGAGAGTCATTATTAACTTTAAGAACAGACCAACAAACTTGGGAAGACAACAAGAAGATCTATATTTTTTCATGAAAGAAATTAAACTAAATTAGCAAAAAGCAATTCAATTAACCAGCTGCCCAACAATCTAGCATCTGAACCATACAGTAAAGAAAATAACCCACACGATATAGGGATGAAGGAACCAAAGTTTCATAAGGTTCATTGAGTGTAATGACGCCACCAACACCAAGCTGCTTCAAGCGTGGAACATCCTTGGGGAATGGAACCGCTCCCAGCAAAAGATACTGCAAAGCATAGAGATGAATAATAACATATCATTACAATAAGCAAGACATCGGGAACACTCTATGTTAACAATGTTAAGTCTTATATAACCTCTAATAGATTACAGATAAATCTTTTAAAACTTAGTCAAAAGGACTTACAAGGTCATTGGAAGCAATGCCAAATGCAAGCTAAATGTCAAATTGAATATGCAGGATATAAGTATTCATTATCTATATCCAAATACAGTTTTCTTCTCAATTAAGTGGAACTTTGTTTACAGATAAATAATGCCCACCAAATTCCGCGATTTCTTTCATTTTCTTGGCAACCAAACACAGGATAAATTAACAGACCAAATTTATCAAGAATAAAAAAGAAAATAAACATAGATAATAAAAAAATACAGATAATCATTAAAAAAAAAAAACCTGGTCAATTTCGTCCCACCATCGGAACTCGGCTTGGATTTTGTTCCTAAACACATTATACAAAAGGGTCGGATAAAAGAGGATCCGAGCACCGGCTCCGACCAGCGCTCTCTTGGCGTCCACACTCACCATCTGCTTCGAGTGAACACTGTCGTTTTGACCCCGATCGCAGTCCACGTCCTCCAATTCCTCGATCTTCATACCTAGCCACGTACCCAAACCAAACACCCTAATTTCACAAATTCTGGTCAAGTTCACGAACAAAATTCACAAATTGGATAGGACAATATCTTTTTTTGCAGTTTTTAATTTCAAGTGCTAAAGTGAAATATAAGAGCATCGATCGATGGAGAAGGAAAATAAAGAGAAGTTTCTGGGTGCGGAAATGCAAAGAAGAAATTAGAAGGGACTGGTTGCTGAATTGGAGCGGGAGCAAACCGGAAAAACCGAAAAAGTAAATGCCCGGAATTTGGAACTTCCAACCAACGGTTTTGGAAGGTAATTTAGCAAGGGCAAAAGCATAAATTGAAGGTTTAATAATTTTATAATACAAATTTAGTCACATATTTAATAATTTTTATTATAATGATTTGTTTTTCCTAGAAATACTAATAAGTGGATAATTAAAGTCTTAAGATGGAATTTATCAATAAGCTGTTCTTTCAGGTGGTAAGCGATCTCAATCACTGTTAAGGTGAGAACATAGATTTGATCCATGAGAAATGCATTTTACAGAAAGGGCAAAAGGCAAAAAACCTTTACATTTTATAGTCCGACGGAGATTACACCTCCCGGTTATACTTAAAAAACAATCTTAAAATGGGATTTGGTTGAAATAAAAAATTAAGTGTTGAATAATATACAATTATTAAAAAAAATTTAGATTGTAAAAATGAAATACTCCGAATTTTTATTTTCAAAACTTTTAAATTTTTATTAAATCAAAAATTTCGATTTTTGATTATATGGGCTTTAAACACCAAACAATCTTATTGGTCCAAAGTTTTGTGATTTGGCCCAAGCCAATATATTGATCAGAATTTCGATTTGAGAAACAGTTAAAAATTTTCCAAGAATATATGAAAGCAATTTAATTCTGTAATTGACATTATTTAAATTAATTATCTAAAAAATTCCAAATTCTAATTGTTCATTTTTTTACTTTAATATTAATGAATGAGAAATATTATGACCAACTAAATAATTAAATAATCGAACCAGGCTTAAACCAAATTAGATCTTTTCGAACAACAATACTTTGAAAACAAGTGAAAAAATGCAAACCGAGCAAAAAATTGAGGCGAATCATATAACTTAGACCAACCGTTCGAATCGAACCGACATGTCTAGAAAGCCCAAGATGTTTTTTTTTCTTTTTTCTTTTCTTTTTCTTTCTCTTTTTTTCGTTTCCTTCTTCTTCCTTGCCAGCGCCAGTAGCGCAGCGACAGCCTCCCTCTCTTTTTTTTGTTTTTCTGTTTCCGAACCACCTGCAGGACTCGCGGCCTCAGGTTGTCGCTCCTCACTGCAGCAGCCCTCGCTCTCTTCCGTATCCGGTGGCACAGTGCGAAGAACTCCGGTTTTCAGGTTCCCATCGGGACAGATGCTCACCAGCCCTGTGTCTTTGTTTTTCCGACGACATTCCCTTAGACGTGTGTGCACTCTTCAAGCATTGTTCCCTTACCTTCAATGAGCTAGATCTGATATAAATGTTTAATTGAGCAAGGAGCTGCTTACCGGTACTTTACGGGGACTATTTTCAGTATTAGTGCGTTTTCGTTGTAGGTTAAGTCGTATTTCAACTTCTATTATACCATTTAGTGAATTGTTTGACAAGAGTATAATGATGCCAGATCAAGTTGGGCTAGAGTATAATAATCCCTAAATTTGCTTCTGTCTTGGTGTGAATAATTAGAGCTTTGATTTTTACTCTTTATTGATCTTTAACTGAAATTCTTATACAATGAATAAGTATTAGTTAATTGCATATATTTTGGTGAAGAAATGGATAACCTGAAATGGAGCTTTGCATATTGTTACATTTAGCCTTGGACTATTTGTTGTTATATGCAAACAAGCTTATAAATACAGTTCTTAAAGAAATGTACAGTAACATATAATGCAGAATTTTTATCAATACTTTAAGTTCTTTGTTATGCCAAAATTCTAGTAGAGGAAATCAATGGATTTTTGCTTGGACAAGTTATTTTTAGATAATGCTGCTCTTCATAACTTGTTGTGGACTTAAGAGTCTCGATTGACTTAAGTTTTTGATAAAATGGAGACCTTGGCAAAGTGATCAGTTATTTTCATCATTGTATAATAGATATTGCTTATATGAACTTTTTTATAGTAGTAGATTTAATTCTTGCTTAAAGTATTGTTTAGTGGTTATCTTAGTTGTTAAAAATTGTATTTCTTAATTAGATGTATCCATTAAAATGTTAGTTTAATCTGTAAGCATTTTTCTTGTGGCTTAATTTTTAAAATTTAATAAAGTATTATATGTGGTTGTTATCTTTAGCAAGAGAAGAATGAGTTTTTTGATAAAGATTATTTATAGTGACACTACGAAATATACAAATTGGAAAGCATTAAATTTAAATTATGATACAAGTTATTCGATCTGATACATTTATATTGTATTAAAGCCTTTCATATGTTTGACAATTAGCTATAGAAGCTTTATAATTGTATATGAGTTAAGAATGTTGTTTATCATTGGAACATATTGGAGTATTGTTAAGTTAGTAAATTTATATGGTGAGTGTTGACTATTTTATTTTGGCAGAGATGGGATTTTAAATCGCATGGATGCCAGGCGATGGCTGTGTGCATTGTTTATTTAAATAATGATATTTCGTGATATTTGCAGCAGTAATATAGTCAATTTTAGGGGAGGTGCTGAGAAATTAATAGACCCTAGGATTAGTCTATTAATTGATGAATGAATTAACAAGTTCCATTTAGTATTAATTCTTATTAAATTTGGTACATAAATCAATGGGCTCTTGATTTATTTCTTATTATCACTTTTATTATTTTAATATTTATTTATTCTATTTTTATTATTGTTATACTTATTTATTTATTTATTTAGCATTGATTTGGATGTTTAATTGTGCTATGCTTACGATTGTTTAATTGATTACTATGTCTGCATTGTTGCAATGTTTGATTAATGTGTTGTGATAATGCTATGGCTTGTTTTGTGTGGAATCTGGATGTAGTTGGACACCGTGGGTTTGTGAGCACGGTCCTGGGATTGGATCCGAATTTATATATATGTGACGTCTGCTCGGAAACAAATCGAGAGATCGCGCCCCCGTGCTGACCTGATGAAATGATTATGACTTGGAAAACAAGGATGGCTTCTTGTTGTTGTCCGGCACCTGATAATCTAGATTGATTGTAGCCCGCAGCGGTGCTCCCTGTGTTTGCGTACTTGTATTGACTTAGATCTTGGTGGACACGTTGCCTTCCCTGTTGCTTGCAAAGAAAGAAGAATGGAATTACAATTGAGAGGACTGGTCATGAGGATTAGACCAGTTGGACTTTGGGATCGGCTCCCTAGGTGCAATGTATGAGAGTGCGAGCCAGTGTGAGGAGGCATCGTTTGGGGTTTCAGGTGGCGCCCACTGGATAATTTCACGTTGATGTGATTTTATGGAAAGATGTTTTGATTGTGATGTGCTGCGTGAATATGCCATTTGGTTGACTGCTGCGTGCAGCTATAATGTCGGCATGACTTAGATTTAATTGTGTACACATTTGTTTGGGACGCGGTGTCTTGTGCAATATTTTTTACTTTTGAAACTCACATGTCTTGGTTTGATTTTTTAGAAGTAGTTTTTCCTTTAATCGGATTATGGCACTATGTTTCTTCGGGCTCTGGGCAATAAAGAATTTTTTCCTAGTACTCCATTAATTATTTTGTTATGACTTATACTAAAGCTTAGTGACTCCGCAGTTGTTAGGCTTTGTAATACTTTAATCATTTATTATATAGATAGAGAATTAATTATGTGTGAATACCCATATTATAAATGTATGCATTTTTAATTAGGCCCGGACTGTGAACTGTTGTGGCTTTATTTAATATTTGTGCCGGATATTTTAATAAATCTTGAGTTTACTTTCATATTTATGGTGCCTGATGTTGAATTTACATCTATCGAAAATATTTTAGCGTTTCAGCTTACTACGGCTCCTCGAGACGGCTTAAGCTTACTGGGCCCTAGTGCCGGTCCGGCCCACGAACGGGTCGTGACAAAAAATTATTTATACAATTAAATCACATTAATATATATAATATATATTATTTTATATTTATCATATATATAATCTTAAGTAAATTTTAAAATATCGGAACTTTTTTAATGAACTCTGCTTTATGCTTTGGGAAAGTAAATTGTGAAAAAAAAATCGAACATTTAGCTTTTTAATGTTACTCCAATTAAATAAAATTGTTAAGTGTTCATCGAATTATTTCTGATGAGTAACAATATACTTTATTTATTTATATTGATTATAAATCCAATGTTCTATGTCCATGGATTGAAAAGTTATTGTATTGTTATTAGAGACTAATAGAATGGTAAAGCTGTAGTGCTATCACACAAAGGAATTGCATATGGTATATTCCATGGAATCCAAAACTAATGGACGAGTGTTACTAAAGTGTCACGGAATGCTGCTTTTTCTTTTTTTTAATTTAAGATAATAATTTGGTGGTGGTACTGTAAAAGACTAACAGAATAATATTTTTGGCACTTGCCAGTTGCCACTCCAATGGGCGAGGCAGCTGAGTATCTCAGCGAGAGAGAGGCACATCATTGAATGCACAGCAACCGCCAATAAAGAATCCCCAGAAATTACTCTTTTCTGCAAAATAATACTAATTAGTATTAAGTTGGGTATCACCTAACTAAAAGAGTATTCGATTGGAATATAATTATGTTTCTTGATGTGAACTCTATGAGCTGGAAATTCTTAGTTGATGCATTTGCAATTTTCTTGGAACTAAATAAAAAAAAAAAAAAAAAAAAAAAAAAAGAGAGAATCGCATTTCTTTAATCTTAAATATAGGATGACGACTAAGATAAATAGAATAATAATTACTTTTAGAAGTTGAAAAAACAATCAACAAAAATAAGATATATATCAAAAATGAAATGTATAAATTGAAACTAAAAATAGAAATTGAGATTTTGGTAGACATTCAAACTCATGTGCTGACGTGGTATGATTACATATAATAATGAAATTTATGGGAAAAAAATTCATATATTATAATGAACTTTGGGTCTGTTAGAGCCCAAACAGTAAATAGAAAGAGAAGCTAAATAACAACTTACCCAAGCCCAGAAATCCGTCCACTGCAAAAAGTGAACTCAGTAGTATTGGCCCAAGCCCAACAATCTTAGCCATAAGCCATGCATCGTTGATAAACCATTGGCAGTTGGATGTGGCCACAGATAGCACCAACCCAAACAAACCCCCAATGAATTAACTGCTGTTAAAGAAGTGAATTTCAGGGCAAGGAAGGAATAGCCACAAACCTTAAAACAAAATTAATTTTATATTTAAAAGGTACATAAATTTTCACGGGTTAACAGAAAATTGATGAAGAGTGAAAGTCCATATATGCCAAAATGTAATTAGAAATTTAAAGTTGTCAGTATTTAAAAAAAGATGATGTAATCTCATTATAAGTTACGAAATTAGCTTGTTTTATTAAAAAAAAAAAAAAAAGATTATCTTCTAACAGTCATTATCTACAATCATTATATAAGAAATTGCACCCTCAATTTGTCTGTTGTTGAGAGTATTAATCATTTAATGACTTAATATATGCTTAAATAATTGAAAATTAGAGATTGATTAAGTTGAATTACAGAAGTAAACTTGTAATGATAAAAGCTGGTCTAAATTTAATTTAGGATCGGTCATGTTATGTATAGTTGTTAGAAAATAAAACTACTGATATAATTATAAAATTAATATTGAAATGCGATATTAATAATTTCATTTCCATGTTATATCTTGAAGTGGGCAGCAAACGTAATGGAAGAGCATTAAATGGGCAGTGGTCAAGTCTAAAATTAGCAACTACTTTTTGCAGGGCTGCCACTTATAGTGTAGCACTTGAATTGGGACACTGTAATATCTTTCTTTTTCTCTGTATTTTCGCATTTAATTGGGTTGGTGAGAAGAGGCCATGGAAGCTGGCTGCAATCCAATACCATACCTCAAATACTTGCATTGCATGCGCTTCGCTTTAATCACTACATTCCCTCTTTCTTTCTTCTTCTCCTTCTAATGATGAATTCCGTGCCATACCCAAATCATTCGCAAAGCAGACATTGCATGTGTTACCAACTCAAGTAAAAATCCATCTTCCTTTGATATATATACAAAAAAAAAAAAAAAAAAAAAAAAAAAAAAAAAAACAAAAAAAAAAAAAAAAAAAAAAAAAAGTTTATATTAACAGACCATTTAAAAAGTTGAATCAGCAGAAATAAAATATTTTCCAAACGGAACATCTTTAAAAAAAAATCTATATTACATCAACAGACAGTTAGAGATCAACGGAAGTACATTGTAGCTAGATGGACTTTACATGCTCAACACCGCAAAGCCTGAGACCGACAAGCATAATTTTCTGTTCCTGCGATTTCTAATTTCTAATTTGATATTTAATTTTAAGACTATTAGGTGGAGTTTTTACATCATATGGTGATTTTGACAACCACAACGTTTTGCAGCGCAGTAAAAATGGAAGACGTGCGGGGTAATTTTGACAACTCCAACATTGCTTGTTACGCTTTCCGAGATGAATTTTGTTTTTTACTATGATTATTTAGTTTGAAAATTAGAACCTTTACAGGCTGGTTTGAAATTAACTAGAATCTACAGAACATTGAATATCCAATAATGAGTCAACTAGGTCTTAGCTTTTATCTATCTAGTCTATTACTTACGCATTTTTTTGTCAAAATACAATTTTGCTCCATCCAATTTGGAAACTTTTGTTTTAACATCGTATAGGTATTTTTGCTCTAACAGTAATTATTTTGAGACATAAGTTAAAAGTATATCTGAAAGGCATTTATTGTTTCTTCCTATGTTTACTGATGATTAATAATTATTAAAACGAAAGATCCCTTCTACGGATTAGAAGCTAATTTTAATTATTTTTAAGTTTTTAATCCTAAACTTCTGTATAGTTATATAAAAATAACTAATCATGTATTGGGTTTATGCGGAATATACAATTTAATTATATTATTTTTAAGAATTTATATTATATTATATGAATTTGATATTTATATTTTTATCGTTATATTTTAAAGTCTTGAGATATAAATTTTAATTAATTATATGTACTTGTTGAATTTGATAACTAATAACCTTATAATAAGTTTATTGTATTAATGAAAATAATTTTTAATTTTTTTTCAATAATTAATAATCCAAATAATAAGTTCATTGCGTTAATGAAAAAACTCTTCAGTTTTTTTAATTATTATCAATTTTAAATTTAAATTCTTCTAGTGCTTTTTTTCTGTTCAATTCACTTACAAATTATAGTATAAGAAAATGATTTTCAAATTTTATTGATAAATTATATATTATTGTTAACGGTATTAATATCAATGTACTCAATTGTATAAATAGAAAACTCATTAAAAAAGAATACAAACAACAATTTTTTTGCGAACTCAGTTTTATTCATATTCTTTTTATAAATTTCTTACAGCATAAGAAAAATATTTTTTGAATTTTTTATTAAAAATAATATTATTATATTTATTAATCATTAAAAAATAAATTGAAAATTTTATTATTTGAAATAATATAAATGATATTACAAGTTACTTACTTAGTTATTGAAAAAAAAAAAGATAATTTAATATTATTAAATTAAAAATACTAATAAAATTTTATTATTTGGAATAATATTTATAATATTTGAATTCCAATATATAATGTTTAATTATAATAAAAATTCCTAAATGAGAAGAGATTATATACTATTAAAATTTCTTTACACATTTATTATTCAGTATTTAATTAATTCTTAAATAAGAATTATATTTAGAACCCAATATATAATATATAATTGTATATTTGTCAATAAAATTTAAATTTAAATAAAAAATTAATATTACTTATCAAAATAAATTTTGTTTATATTTTTATCAATAAAATTAAAATTATTAAAAATATTTTTATCGATTCAGAATTTTAATAGACACATTTTTGACAATTTTAATATTTTTCTTGTCTGTTTTCACTTTTATATATATCACCCACTGGTCCACACTCTCGAGTCAAAAAATATAGAAAGAGACAAATGTAATAATAAAATCTAATGTTGTAAATGCACACAAGAAAAAAGTGGCAAAAAAGAAAATGAAATAGGTAAAAAGGTAAAAGAAAAAGGACATTGATCAGGACCAATCAAACCCACCATATTTTTCTCTCTTGAATGCTGAGTGTGACCTCATTTGGACAAACTTTCTAGAAAAACCCATCAAAGTAATGGAGAAGAGCAGCTGGCTTTTAGCATTTCTCCTTCTTTCCCAAATATTTTCAAAAGGAGCAGCTTTTGGTATTGGTGCTGGCATTGGGGTTGGCATAGGCAATGCAGGTGGTGGTGGTGGTGGTGGCAATGGCAGGTGGTGGTGGTGGTGTGGTGGAGGGAGGAGGAGGAGGGAGGAGGAGGAGGAGGAGGTGTTGGATTGGTGGTGAATTAACACACCAACAACCCCATCTGGGTCTTCCGCTTTCTAACCTAAAGAGGAGGAGGAGGAGGAGGAGGAGGAGGTGTTTGGATTGGTGGTGGAATCAACACACCAACAACCCCATCTGGGTCTTCAGTTTCTAACCTAAACAGTGCTTATTCTGCTTTGCAAGCATGGAAATCAGCGATAACAGATGACCCATTGAAGATTTTGGACACTTGGGTTGGTTCTAATGTTTGTTCTTACAGAGGTGTTTTTTGTGCAGTTCCTAGAGATGATGAATTGGCTACACCTTCTAGTCCAGTTGTTGCAGGTATAGATCTCAACCATGCTAATCTTCAAGGCAGTCTTGTCAAAGAACTTTCTTTTCTTACAGATATGTCTCTCCTTCACCTTAATAGCAACAGATTTTCAGGCTCGATTCCTTCTTCTTTCAAAGACCTCACTTCTCTTCAGGAATTGGACCTCAGTAATAACCAATTTTCAGGTCGTTTCCCTACTGTTACTTTATACATTCCAAATCTCATTTATTTAGACCTCAGATTTAATAGTTTTTCAGGGCCTATTCCTGATGATCTTTTTAACTTGAGATTAGATGCAATTTTTCTTAATAACAACCAATTTAATGGTCAAATTCCTCAAAACTTGGGTAATTCTCCTGCTTCTGTTATAAATTTGGCTAATAATAAGTTCAGTGGAAGTCTACCGGCTAGTTTTGGCCTAATGAGTTCAAAACTGAAGGAGATTTTGTTTCTCAATAATCAGTTAACAGGTTGCATTCCTCAAGGAGTTGGGTTATTTCAAGAAATGCAAGTTTTTGATGTAAGCTATAATTCACTAATGGGTCGTTTGCCAGACACAATTTCATGTCTTGATCAGATTGAAGTGCTTAATTTGGCACATAATAAGCTTTCTGGCGAACTACCTGATCTTGTTTGTTCTTTGAGAAGTCTATTGAATTTGACTGTTGCTTACAATTTCTTTTCTGGGTTTAGTCAAGAATGTGCCAAATTGTTTATCAGGAATGTGGGTTTTGACTTCTCTTTAAATTGCATTCCTGGAAGAGATATGCAAAGACCTCAACCAGAGTGTTCTGTTATACCAGGAGGAGGATTAAGTTGCCTTAGAATACCTGCTGTACAACCTCTTGTTTGCGGGTCTCTTGGAGTGACTATAAATGTCAATCTTGGCCCATCATCTCCATGAAAGACAGCGTGTATTTGTTACTAATATTGTATAACAGGTTGGTGATGGTTGCATCATTAATTAATAGCACTTATGGTTTAGAACTCCCTAATTATTTCTTTATCTACTGGGCACATCTGACTCTATAAATCTGTTTTCCAATGAATAAGAAATACCCAGGAATTTAGTTGATTGTGATTCTTGTTGTAAGTATTATCTACATCGAAGTAATTCATGATAGATAGTAAAAAGTAATTAAGGAGCTTACTTTATCAGGTGATACATGTGATGGTGGTATTTTTACCAGGTGATATTATTTACCCAATTCGAGGAAAACTAAGACTAAGCCAAGAATTACAAAAATGCCAACCATAGAAAGAAACTGTCACAGAAAATTACACTAAGAACTATAACAATGCCAATACATTACAGAACTGCTATTTTTTTTTCTTTTTTCTTTTTTAAATTAAATGTAATACATTGGGTTAGGAATTTTAAACGATCTCTCTGCCGTTGCAAACCCTAATAGGTCACTCCATTGATCTCCTGAGCTTCCATGTATCCTGTAGCCTTCATTTACCAACTCCAATCTCTTCTGAGATTTGTACAGAGTTGCTGGCTTGCCTTGATCTGAAACTCCCCTGTATCATACACCATTATATTGATCATTAACCCAATGTTATTCTTATCTCAAGTATAGTAGAGATCATTTATATTACATCACACACCTCAAAATTAGCTTTTCCCAATCGCTGTATCCTGCAAATACAAGATTTTTTGCTGTAGCATTCCTTTGATATTCACTCCGTCCGGTCAACAAAAAAATTGTAAAACCCAGCCGCTTTAACTTCTTGTACAATTTCAAACTTGCTGCCAATGCAGGTGCTTCAGCTAAATCCACCCACTTATCGAAAGACAATTCATCGAAGGGTTCAGATCTACATAGACAGCATGAAAAACATAGCAAACTTGATCAGCCAATATAGAGTTCTTGCATTTGTGTGTACATGGTTAAGGATGCGCCTATACCCTTATCTTTAAATTGTTAACTCACTGTAACAAATGCTTCATACAAGAAAACAAATATGGTTAAAGCTCGGTTGTCAAGCACTGAAATTTATGTGAATAATTATGCCAGAAAGGAGCAATTCACTTGAAGATAAAGCATGTAGCAACTTGCTAAAAAGGAATCCAAAAGAAATTATGACCATAAAGCTAGAACCAAACTGGTGGTACAAAGTTATACACCAAACAGTGCAGCTACTAAGCATGTTACTAGTAAAAGAGTTGGGACCCTTGCTTGCTCATAATGACTTTTTTTTTCCTTGGACACGGTAAATCTCTCAGCATTCTTTTATGATAAATGCCTATCAAAGAGCCTTAAAGGTTTGCAAGCTGTTTTTTTTTTTTTTTCTTTACCCGGTAAAGCAACTGGCAAAATCGGGGAGTAGGTTAAACATCAATTTCTTGTTTTGGCTTTATTCTCATGCACAAAGTATTGTTAGAAAGTAAAAATTGTCAACTTCAATCTCCACTGCTGCCACATAATTTTACCAAATTTGTATTGGGTTGGGCCTGCGCGGCTGCGCCAATCAAACTACCATGAGGTGGTCCATTTATACCAGTACCATGAAGCCTTTAACGTGCCTAGTTTTAATTGGTGTAACCTTCCAGAAAATGACATTCATGTGATCAAAATTCAAAATAATGATTAAGCGAAATCAGATAGGTCAACGTATCGCAATCGGCGGAATTTCAATGGATAAAATAGTCATATAATTCAATGGCTAGGATTCTCTGACGTACCCGTATCCGTGGAGTTCGTAGTAAGGTAGATTGGAGAGCAATGTTTCATCAATATCAAAGACCCAAGCGTCCTTCCCATCTCCGGCAATATTCACTGTCTTTGCGAAGGCAAACGCATAGGAAGCCACGACCGCAGAGTCGGAGACGTAGCGGTCGCCCGTCACGTAGAGCTCCACGAAGCGAGCGCATCTGGAAGGAACGTAGGTCCAGTAACCGGCGTTGTTGGTTTCAACTGAGAGTCTCCAGCTGTCGCAATAGAGATCATCGTCTCCGCCTCCACCACGAGTTTGATGGTCGCTGGGCAACCGGATAATAGATTGGGAAACGGTGACGTATAAGAGGCTAAGGAGGAGGAGGAGGATAAGAGAAACGAGGGATTGAAAGGCAGCCATTGGAATAAAAGCTCGAGCAGGAATAGCTATTGTTGATAGCTACAACAACTTTTCCTGGTCTGCCTTTTCCCTCTTTCGCCTCACTCTAGATGTGAGAGGCCAATGGAAATGGAGGAACAATTCTGAGATTGCTTTATTGATTTTGGTATGGGACCAATACCAAATTTATTGTCTTAAATATAATACGACAGACGACACTGCTCATTAAAAATCTGGCTAAACGACACGACATTTTATGCCCACCTCTTAATTTTTTTTTTTTTTTTTTTAAATTCTGGTAGATATATCCGGCCAAGCTGGATCGCCACAAGTGCATTTGGGCATTTGCAAGACCCCGTCCTAAGGAATTAAAGTAGTTGCACAGTTACTATTTTTTTTAATTAATTTTTATTATATTGGTGGAAATTTGAGCTAGTAATTAGATAAAAATCCCTTCACGGGACTCCACCTTTCCAACTCTAGAGTCTAGCTGATTTATATTTATAATAATGATTTTTATAATTCATATATATTTTTGTCTCTTTTTGGTTCTCTTCTCTCTGCAATAATGGAATCTCTCAAGACAACCAAAATTATGAGGGTTTGAAAGTTAAATTATAGGCCATAACTTATTATTAACAACAGACAAACAGAGTATAAAAAATATGAACAAACAATTAATTGGCTTTTTTATTGTCTGTATGTACAGTTTCTATATCTGTTGGTCATATAAGCATTGTTGGTATAACAAAAGTTATACTAACAAACAAAAACTCCTCTACTGTGACAAAACCAACCAAAACCAACAAAGACATAATGAATTCCGACTATCCATGCTCCCAGAGAAAGAAAATCTTATAGAATTTATGAGGGAAAATTCAGGGAAATGAAAGAATGTAAGCAAACTTTAAAAAAAAAAGCAGCAAAACGTCTTGTCTGCTCAAACCAATAGTTGTTTCACTCTATCAATGAGCAAAAAAAAAAACTAACTGGTTATCATTGCATCATAAGAGAAGCTCTAAGAGAAGGAGTAGTCTTGCTCATCATGGCAAAGCTCCTTTCGAAGCTTATGGGAGAAAAGCTGGCAAGCGTCCATGCTTAGATCAATAGCAGCAGAAAGAGCTATAAATAAGGCAGCATCAGCCATGCAAGTGACGTGTTGCATTCCTACTTGCACTACTGGCTTGCTAACCTTTCCTTCTCCTTCTACAGTAGAATCCATCACAAATCCTTTAACAGGCGATCTTGAACTATTCAATCCTGAATCTTTCATTATTCTACTATCAATGCAAAATTGGCCGCCTTTCCTTACGCTCAATGTAGCTTCAGCAATCGGAATTCCTCTGCTAGGACCGCCATTGTCGGTCACAAGCTCAAACTTGTAACCAAGCCCATCAATAGGACCTCTTTCTCTCCATGCCTCTAAGCGACCCCATGGTTTCCAGCTACTAACAGAGAATCCGTGAGGCCGGAGAATTAGCCATGCGCCAGGGTTTGATCGAGAAACACGATCTGAGCCTGGAGAAGGAACAAATGGGGTGATCATAGAGGCTGCTGCAACTGGAGAACCAGAAAGATCATATATCATTATCATCCATCCCTTTCGCTCTCTTCCTGCTCGTTCTTTCTCCCCAGTAAAGGTTCTCCTCCATCCTCTGTTATTGTTGTTGAGGGTGAAATCTGATGGCAAAGATCTGATTTTACAAAATAAAATAAACTTTAGAACATTACATTACATTACAAGTAACTGAATACAAAATATTTAGAACAAATATTTGCACATGGGGGAGAATCTGAGTCGGTTGTATTTGACAGTTGGGGAGATATATATGCAATTGTTGTCTCCTTGACCAAACCGGTAATGCATTTAACTTGACTAATAAATTATTTAGTTGGTGAGTTATACATATAATGGAAAGTTCATGATCTGTAATGGTTGGTGGTGGATGCAAATTTTACTGATTAAGTTCGAGATTGAAGCATTATTTGGACAAAATGTTGGAAGGAAAAAAATGACAGAAGATGATTAACTGTGAGCCTAAGCTCATCTGCAACATTTGCGGCTAACTTGTACATTTTTCTACATAAAGTAAATACCCCCATTCTTTTCCTGTTGGAATGTAAAGTAAATCTTTCCATTTCCTTTTTTTTTTTTTTTTTTTTTTTAACATAAAGTAAAATACCCCCATTCTTTTCCGTTGGAATGTAAGTAAATCTTTCCATTTCCTTTTTTTTTTTTTTTTTTTTTTTTGAAATTTTTGGCATGATCTGTTCGATAATTTTTTTTTTTTTTTTTTTTTGAAATTTTTGGATGATCTGTTCCGATAAGCAAGTATTTGAAACAAAGAAAGCGCATCTGAATTTTCACTGCAAATGAAGATTTTAAAAAATCAATCTTTCTACTAAAATGCATACCTATCAAATTAAAGTGGATCCTAACAAAATTTTGAAATTAGTAACTGATAAACTGTGTCTTGTTAGAAATTTAATTTCACCAGAATCAAATAACAGATAAGGTGCGTGGTGGCCACCATGGCAGACTAGGCATGTGATGTTAGTAAGGTAAGAAAGGAAACGACAACCCACATGCTTGCTTTATCCGTAACCGAAACTCATATTCTGTACAGCTTGCAAATAGTAATAGCTAGCTAGGCCCCAGAGTCAGTAGGATGAACAATTATTCACCGGAAAACAACAAATTAATCAATTAGTCAATCGGATAATCATGACCCTACCCTGCCTTAACAACCACTATCACCGCATGTTTGCATACCCACCTCATACCCCACTGAAATGCATCAAATAACAGAAAAATCAAAAAGTATAAAAAAGAAGAATTAAAAAAAATTTACCTAGATCTTGCGTTCCGGTCTGCGCTAAACTTGCAACTGAAAACGGGCTGTCGTATATTTCCTTGAATTTGGTAAACCACTGGGCTGCACTCCGGTTCACCACCAAACTGAAAAACAAACCGTGGGTCCGGTTCAGACCGGACAACAAGATATAGCCGAGCCGCTGGCTTATCCGGTTGGTTACCCAATTTCAACCATCCATTTTGAAACACTCTTGGATTCGACGTAGCATTCCCCAAATCAATACTGACCTGAACATGACCTAGTAACTTCCCGCCGTTGACTCCGCATGTCCGACCCATCCGACCCGTGTAAACCTCCATCCGGAGTGTGATAGGCTTACCAGAGAGACGACTAAGAGCGATGGCGTCGAGATGGAAACCGGGGGCGGAGGTGGAGGTGTCGGGCGGAGAATCATTAGCAGTAGAACACATAGGAAGAAGGGCAGTTTGAGAAGGGAAGTTTTTGAAACGCAATTTGCAGAAACATGGTGTGGTTGACGGGTGGACACCGGAACCAGCTGGTTTGGTGGCCAAAGGGAGTTTTAGAGCGAGAGATTCAACGATTAAACGAACAAATGGACATGGATCCATTTTGTGAGCTTTCTCACTCAATCTCTCTTTGGAGTATATTATTTAAGAGAGGTTTTTAGCTCGAAATGTACGATCAGTGCCTAGAGAGGTTCGGAAACATCTATGTTGATGGAGTAGAATGGTTGTCGGTTCACCTGTTATAACATTTCGCTTTCTCTCTCTATCTTGCTCTTTTCCTTTCTCTCTCTAATATAACCCTTGCTTGTGTTGTTTAGTGGGACCTTTCTCTGCATTTTTTTTTTTCTATTTCGCGCCAAAAATCCACCGTGAGAAATTGTTTTCCTTCCATGCAATAAAACGACACTTCTCTGCAGTTTTATAATTGACAAGAAAATGGATGAATGCAAACGATAAATTAAAGAGAAAATGGTGCGGGCATTATCTCGTGGGAATCGATCGCATTGTGGGGTCAAAAACACAGCTGGATTAAGGCTGTCACCACGTTGTCATTGGCGTCATAAAGTCCAAGCTGGACTCTGATTGGAGCAGAATTTCTGCTTCACTGCACATCAAATTTCAAATTATCCCATTTATCAGAAAGAAGTTATGGTTGACATGGCATTCACTTTCGCCTCTTCATCTTTAATCCCGTTTTGGACCGCGGTTTCCGACGGCGCTGGCCCGCTGTTTGGAATTATATGATTTCTAGATTAAGATCATTAATTCAAAAATTTACCGTTTTAGTTGGTTTTAAATTAATAAATTAGTTTTGTTATATGTAGACCAACCCCAAACTCTAGAAGTATAATGTCAGTTATAATCTTCTTTATTAGTGGACTAAACAAATGATATAAAGATATATATGTAATTCATATTTAATAATCCACAATATTTACTCGATTATTTAGGATCTGTTTGATTTAGCTATTTAGACCAGTTAATAGTGATTATTGATAATTGGTCGCTGGTGCTTGATAAAAGTTAACCAATTAATCTTAGTGTTCGGTAATATTTCAATATCAGTTGTTGTTAAAAAGTAAAATGATATTTAAAGATATATTTGTTTTTTTTTATATTATGGTGAATAATATATTTTTCTTTTAATTTTTAAGGTAAATGTGTGTTTTTATCTTAATATGTTATATAAATAACAAAAATACTTATTAAATCTTTTCAATATAATATTTAACAAAAATTTTTATTTTTAAAATTACCATAATAAAAATAATGATAAAAAAATAACTAATTTTGAAAATATAATTTTACTAGTAATTATCTTTGTAAGATTAATAAAGTTAGACATATTATAAATGTAAACTAACTATTAGCTGACATGAAAAAATTTTAAAATGGAATTAATGGAATTAACTGTTGTTTAAAATATTTACAAGAAGTTTGCAGCATAACTGCTAAGTAAGAATAAGCTATCAATTATATGAAATCAGTTGAACTAGACATTCTCGACTTGTGTTCTCTTCGAATTAATCAACGGACACTCTATTTTTCTTATAAATTATTCTATAAATATTTTGACGGATAAATTGAATTAAATTATTATATATTCTTTAAACTGCCTATTTCTTATTTTCATTTATATCAAAGAGTATCTAATAAAATTAAAAAATATATATTATATTTATCTTTATTTATTATTATTTGTCTCATCGATATATGTCATTCATAAAAAATTCTTTTGATTCATCGTATAAATAAACGTAAAAAAAAAAATTTTGATTTTGAAATTGCATCGGAAAAGGAAAAGTTAAAAAATAGAAGAATTAATAAAACTACCATATACTTTTAGAACTTATATGGTATTTGCAACTATTTACTTAATATTTTTAAAAAATTTTGTACAAATATTTGAAAAGGCACTTGCAAAGAAACAAAGATGATACGTTAATACCTAAATAATAAAATAACATGGGCGTTTTTGTCCATCAACATATTCCCTCCGCGTCAGTGGCGAATGACGATAGAGTGACGGAGGCAACTTTACAAATACAGAGAAGCAATGTATTGCGACATGGACGTTTAAATCAAGTCAAAACGACAAAACCTTAGAAATAGGTAATGTAATAATGATATATTGGTCAATGTAACATATTTGACGAAGTGAGTTATACATTGAAACTTAATTAATTGAATAAACAATCACTTGGTAAAGACACCTGGCTGTTGGTTGGTAAATTTTAATTTGCAGTTATCTTTTTAATTTGTTTTTATTCAGCTGAGGTGGGAAAATTGCATAAAAGGCAATGCTTTATGAACAGTAAAAGTGCCAGCTTTTGTTCCCTTAATCGAGGGGTTAATAAGGAAAGTGCATGTCGTTTTTCTTTTTTTGGATTTTTATTTTAAAGAGAATGGAAAACGTACCATTTTTTTAAAAGAAATAAAATAATTCATATTTAGTGTCCTTGTAGTGTTTCCATATTTTTTTTTTTTATGTAGATGGAATGCCTTTCCGTTGGGTTGGATCCGCAAATAACTTTTTCTAAGTAGTTTTGACAAGTGAAAATGTTGAATATATAGTATTTAAACTCCTTTTAAATGTTATTATAATATTTTTTAAAATTTTAATTTTCATAACATTTAAATTTTAACGTCTTATCAAAAAATAGTTAAATACCGATAAAACAATTAATAACTACAAAAATAATTATTTTTACTGAACATGTTTTTTATCTTTTGTCGTATCTCCATCCATTCATATAAATGAAATTAATCCTCTTACTAGTCAAATGTATTATTTAAGTAAAATATTTTTAATAATGATGACAACATATTTTGAATGCGACCTTACAAGTAAAGTTCTCATGAAATGTAATATATCTTTATTAATCCAACTATATTTGGTATTAAATTTATAATAATTGCATTACAGATAAAAAGAACCTATTTTTAAATTAAAATTATGAGATAAAAATAATCTTAATTTATAATTTGATCTAAAAATCAAACCCTAAATATAAAATATTTACCTTTACCCTTATACAACATATTTGTTAATGTTAAAATGATTGTCCCCATGTAAAATTTCATAATTTCACCATTCACTTTCACTTAGAAATGTCCCTTTTGCTTGTGTTTTAAACCTTATCCTTTTGAATCCCAATCAAGAATCAAACCCTTTTTGTGAGAAGGAGACCCAACCAAAAATACTACTCCAACGGAGTGGGCCTATATCTACATTTATCTATGACCAGAGCGTGGGGAACAAACCTGTGGGCATACCTTCTCTTCTGTTATATGCTTATTTCATTACTACGCTACCAAATTGTTTAACTCATTATCTTCAAATTCTCACACTCCAATAGATATGGATGCATTTTTTCAGGAGACAGGTTGTCTATTTGTCATTTACTTTTATATATATGGATTTATGGAAAGCACTTAACTAATTCGTATATGAGTCCAGCCATATATACAAAGGAGAAAAATAATAATAAAATAGTAATAATATTTTAAAAAATCTATTTCGGATCGGATTTAGTGTATGAGATCGCTTTATGCACATTATGTTAAATTCATTATTAAGACAAAACGCATTAATCATAATAATTATTTTCAACTATGCAATAAATCACTGGTATTGAATGGTTAATTAATTACTGCTTAACACAACAAACACAATTAAAGGGGAAGAAGGGGTCATTTCATGCATACTTATTGACACTAATCCACTTAGTTGGTTTCTCTTTGCAAGCCATGTGAATTAGTTTGTAAGGGTCTTGTCCATGCTTAATGGTGGGGTAAGGCAAAGTTGAAAAGGGCCAAAATCTGAAATTAACGATTAAAGATTAGGGCTTTTTGGATAAGATTCTATTTCGATGATTATTATTGTTATTATTTTATTAATAATTATTTTTTTATCAATGATGATCCATTCATAGTAAAATCAATATGCCAAGCACTGTCCACGAGATTTTCGGTCATTTTCACTGTTTTTTAAGGATAACTGGTGTTATAATCCGCGCGATGCACGAAGCAATATTTAAGGATGAAATAATTTTTTATAACTTCGATATAAACACAATATGAAAATTAGACGATTGACACGAACATGACACGTTTAACCCGCTTAATATCAATAGCGAATCGCGAGAGAGAGATAGTTTTTATAACTTCGATATAAGGAACACAATATGACCAAATTAGACCACTATAGACACGGAACATCCCGTATCTACTCGTTTAGATCACCCGCTTGAGATACATACCAATCAGGAGACTCAGAGTAGAGCTATCCGTGTTGTTGGATCCTTACCATATACAACTCCATGACCCATATAATTATAAATAGTTAAGTGGAATGATGTAATGACCTACATACGACCCACTTAACTTACTTATAATATTTGTTAACTTTTAAGAGCTATTTAACACACCAAGTCCATTATTTAAATATAAATTTTTCCAGAGAGCGTTAACTATTGTGGGATACGAAGATTCTATCACAGAGAGGAGTAAAATGGAGAGAATATGAGATTGAGAGACAAACTACTTATGAAACTTAAATTATGTTTTTTAAATTGGCAGTATTTATTTGAGTGAACACTCTAGAATAGTTATAATTCTGTTTTTTACACTTATATATAAAGGATTACATAGCGATTTAACCTTACACCATAACACACACTTAATATTCGTGTAATAATATACATGACCTCGTTATAAATATACCGTATACTTCAATCAAAACATTATCATAACTAACTTATCTTGAGTCTATTGATTAGAATTAAGATATCATGATTCGAAGTGTTTGTCGAGGCCACACATATTTGACTATATACATCCACGTCTGCACATAATAGCATCTCCACATATCACTTATATTAATAGTACCTTTTTCGATAGTGATACCACATTTTATGAGAACTTTTAACGAATTTATATTGAAAATAATAAGTATACTTTATTTTTACTGTTTATACCATTATTATAAATTGATTGTTTTTATTTTATTAATGGACACTATTTAATGTATTATCACCGTTGAATGAGGTGTCAGTAATTGTGTGCGAAGCGCTGGTTGGTTTATCTCACTTAGTTTTTCCTTAATAATTCCGAGAGCGAGTGTGCAAGGGGAATAAAGTAGAGAAGATGAAATTAATTTTATACATTAGTTTAAATAAGTGAGAGAAGAATTATAGTAGGATAGTGAGAGAAATTATATAACGGCTGAGACTCATGTAAAAAAGTTGCACCATATTCGTCGTTAATATAATGTTCTCTTAATAATATTTTATAACATTATTTAAAAATAGTAAAATTATATAATAAAATAATAAATTATATCTTGCTGAGATATGTTAAAAAGTTGCAGTGTTAATATATGTCTTCTTTAAGTATCATGCGAAACTTTTCATAAGATATGTAACAGTAAAAGTTATGTATGGTATGAGCTATAACAAAAAAAAACGTATACACACGATTAATATATATTTTTAACAGTGATAATAATTTTGAAAATTTAACTATTGAAATAAGAAATTAAATATTTTTTTAATGATTATTTATTTATTTGAAATATTAATGTATTACTTTTTTAGTGTAGTGTGTCCTAAGCATATGAATGTCCAACTTTTTAAAAATTGTTGCATCCGTATGTTCCCGTATCCCGTGTCCCGTGTCCATGCAACCTAACTCTTGGTATATGAAACTACTCCTTACACCAAGTTAATCAAATAAGGTTCTTTTTTATTATCAATAAAAATAAAGTATTTTTTAATTTACTTTTATGTCATTGAAATAAAAAATTAAATATTTTTAATTTTATGTTTATGACTTATTATAAATGATTGCTTATTTATTTGAAATAGTAATGCATTACTTATTTAGTGTAATATGTCATAAGCGTTTTTAAAAATTATCGAATCTATACGTTCTCATATTTCGTGTCCTATATCTGTGCAACATTGCTCCAGGTATAAATTTATTTCTTATTCTACAGCTTGGGTTATTTGTATTTTAATTAAAATTTAATTTAATGCATTATCTTGATGAGAGATAATTAATAGATATTATCATGATAAAGACATTATTTAAAAATATAAAATAACTTATCTTACTAGTATTGTTGTCATTTCATCTTATCTTCTCGCAACCGTGCTAAATAGTTATTGTTCTCCTCATACTTTGTAATTTTAGAAGCTTACACTTCAATTCCATATAATGCAAACTGCGCTGCTCATATATATATATATATATATATATAATGCAAACTAGCAGACTGTCTTTGCTATCTAATAAGTAGAAGGTCACCTGATGTAATATGGAGCTACTGTTTTATTATATCACGAGATAAAGTTTTTGTATTACAGACCACTACAAATAAATGAATTTTCAATATAGAGATAAGTACTGATACTCTGCGCTAATATAAGCTGTATCTCAAACACAAAAAAAGTTCGTATCCAGTTTGTATCTCGCATCATCCTATTATACTTATTCACGATATTATATATAATTATTTTTGTATTACAGAATATCAAAATATTAATTTCAATATAATAGTACTGATATTCTTATATATATTTCTTCAAAAAAAAAAAGTTCTTATTTGTATCTCGATCATGTATTCTTATTCGATATGATGAAATATAATTATTTCCTCTTTCTAATAATAATAATAATAATAATAATAATAATAATTCCATGTATATTTTAAAATTATAAATTCTTTATTTTGAAGTTAAATGGCCATAATTGTCAAAATCAAAAGTATACGAAGAGTATAGAAAAGTTATAGATTAGGTATTCAAATTTGTACCCCACCTGGCCTCAGGCTTCACTCAAATACCAAACCTACATGATTCTTCTTTCGATGAACAGTGCCTGCTCACTCATGCATAATTTTTCTAATTAATATTATAATTCATTAAATATATAACAGTAGGAGTTAATCTATAATGTCAAGAGTCAAGACCAAGATTTTCGCAGACAAAGAGCTTTTCTTGTAAAAGTTTTGTCAAACAAACACCTCGTAATGTTAATGTTGATCGCTAATCAACAGGTTTCCCTTTCCTTTTCTTTTTCTTTTTCTTTTTCTTTTTCTTTTTTTTTTTAATTAATTGGTCAATATATATTGAACAAATTAGGAGCTAAAATATGCAAAGCCCAATGGAGTTGTCACGCACAAACCAATTTGGGCCCATCCACTTATCCAATAGGCTTGAGTGGGCCATGTTGCCTCCGCAATTATATCTCTAATCATGAATATTAAGTGGCACTGATCAGATTGCAACAACAGCCACACAAACCCATTTTTGTAGGTTGTTAAACATGGATTATAATTGTTATTTTGGATCCATATTATCAACTAATTCTACAAATCTACCTGTCCTAACATCATCCTTAATTTTTCTTTATCATATTTTTCTTTAATTTAAAAATATTCATTAATTTTTATGGGCAAATGTTTTGGTAGATATGAAATTTACATATCGAATGATCGATTCTGTTTAGTGTAGTTTTTTTTTTTTTTTTTTTTTTTTTGGCAGAAGTATGAAATTCCTACATATCGACATGGATCGATTCTGTTCTAGCTGTAGATTTTTTTTATTATTTTTTTTCGTTAGTTGTTATATAGAAAACCAATGACTGGTTTAAAAGAAAAGAGAAAGAAAAGGTTTGGTGGGCCGAAGCCCCATCACCACCTTTGAATCATGGTAGGCCCAAAACATTCTTGTGCAAATCGCGTATAGAGTTGGGTCTAGAGATATTCTAAGATGCGCTCTATCTGCGTGACTATCAATCTAACTCGAAACCAAGCACGAACAATAACGAATGCAACCACCGTGTCTAGGGGGTCGTACTCGTACAATCTCTTAATCGTTAAGAAAAAATACAAAACGGCCACCATAGAGCTTTTTCAATAATCAAAGCCATCTTTTTCGAAATTGAAGAGAAATGTCATTTGTTTTTTTTTTTTTTTTTTTTTTTTTTAATATGAATAACCATGCTGGTTTAAAAGAAAGAGGAAAGAAAAGGTTTGGTGGGCTGAGCCCCATCAACACCAATAGGCCCAAACATTCTTTCAAATGTGAAATTGGGTCAAATTTCTAGATGCTTCTATCGCTGACACAATCTGACCGAAACCAAGCACGAACAATAACGAATGAAACTTCTGGGTCGTACTCGTACCAATCTCTTTATCGTTAAGAAAATACAAAACGGTGCCAGATTTTTCATAAATCAAAGCCATCTTTTTCGAAATTGAAGAGATTCATTTGTCAACAGAGATTTTCTCTATCCGAGTTAGCTTTCTGCTTCTGCAATGTCTTCACCTGCTGAGTAAGTTTCCATTTCCCTTTCTAATATCGTTTTGTTCTCCCAGAATTTATTGTCTTTTTATATTTAATTTAAAGTTATATGTTCCTAATTATTATCTTATTAGGGGGGGGGGGGGGGTTTTCCTTGTGTTTAATCACTGTTTGGGCTTCTGGTGAACTTAATCCTAACCAAGTTCTTTTAGTTCTCTTTAGCTATTTCCTAGCGTGTTTGGCTTTCGTGGTAAGGTTATTAGTAGTAATCCTGAATGTGATAGAAGTGCGATGAGAAAAGCAATTATGCGAATTGAGTTCACAAGTGTGAGGTTACTTCTTCTTGGTCTTCCTTCAGATTGAATACAATGCAGAGGTGGGCAACTGTAGATTGGGAATGGTAAATTATAATATTCTATAGATGATTACTGGTTTCTATGAGTTTTTGATGTACAGTATTATTCTTTTTTAGAAAGGAAGCAAAGGTCATTGGCAATCAGTCTTTTGGAGTGGGTCTCCAATGGAGATTTAGATCTGGGCATTCTCTGATGTATTATTAGTTATTATTGATGACCATACATTAATTGATTTTACTGCAAGTAGACAGGAAGATATCATGGCTTTAAAAAAGGCTTCTCAATAATGTTTTCCTTTACAATGATACTTTCAATGCTTGTTGTAATCAGAGTTTTAATTGGGAACAAATTGACATGGAAATGCTCTGATGCTTTCTAAAACGATGACCGGTGATGTTTTTTTATTCTAATCTTTAATGCTTGATTTGGTGGATAGCTGTAAACTGGTTACTCCTGCTTTTGCATTGTATAATGTGTAATCGATCTTTACATCCGTTTTTGAAGCTTTCTATATTTATTGTAACTTTTCTTGTCCATTTGGTTCAGATACTATAACTCTCTTCCACCTATAAGCAAGGTTTATGGGACTCTGTGCCTGCTTTTTACAGTGGCCATTCAGCTTGGAGTATTTGATTTGTTCCATATTGCATTGATATATAAACTAGCATTGACACGTTTTCAGGTATGAATTCAATTATTTGTGGATTATTCCATCCCTTAGAGCTTTCTGTTGATATCATCATCAATGCAATGTTTTTTCTGAAAATTTTTGTTGACAACTGCAATTAACATGATCAGTATCTTAAAAATATTGATGTCTAGAAGACATCATTGGTTTATCTTAGTTGCCATAGGTATGGCACATGCCGATTATTTCTTTTCCTATGTGTATGTGGAAGACTTTACTCAATATCATTAGACACAGAAACTGTTTGAATTCTGCTGAATGAAATCTTTTCCCCATAGCCTATATATGACCCTGCAGCACTTCACCCCTCTCTCTCTCTCTCTCTCTCTCTCTCTCTCTCTCCCCCTATGCATGCTCATGGATACATGCATTTGTTTTGTATATACACTAGAAAACATCTCTGCTTTTGAAGCTTATTTCAGTGTCTCATTTCGCTTGGCTGTTCTTTTTTGTTCAAACCGGTCCACAAAACTCGTTCATAATTTTATATGGATGTGCAGGTATGGAGGCTTATTACGAATTTCTTTTTTCTGGGAAAATTTTCTATCAATTTTGGTATTCGTCTCTTGATGATGTAAGCCATAGGTGCATAGATATTACTTGATTTCATTGTTGAACTCCATATATTTTTAGTTTGAGAACTATTGAGTAGATTTATGCATGCATCTAGAACATTTTATTCCCTGGCACTAATATTTTCCATGTAATTGCTGCAATTGTACAGAGCAAGGTACGGTGTTCAACTTGAGAAGGGACCTTTTGATAGGCGTACAGCAGATTTCTTGTGGATGATGATCTTTGGAGCCCTTTCAATGCTGGTATGTAGTTAACTTTGTTGGTGCATATGCCCTATCCAACGGTAGATTCCACTTGAAAATGCTAGACATATTGATTATATTATAGATTAACAGTGGTGGAGACTTTCTTGCTTTGGCTTCCCATTGTTGTTCAAATTCATCTTTTTCAAAGCTGTTTAGCTTTAGCCTGGATAATAGCATAAGAAGCAGCACTCTCCAAATATTTATTTGTAAATCAAATCTGTAGAAAATATTAAATGTTTGAGCTGAATTCACATCCTCTTTCCTGCATTTAGGTACTAGCTGCCATCCCTTTATTTTATACACCTTTCTTGGGAATATCACTTGTGTTCATGCTTGTCTACGTATGGAGTAGAGAATTCCCAAATGCTCAGATCAACATATATGGTCTTGTGACTCTTAAGGTATGTTTGAGATTTTTCTGTTTAAAGTTTTGTTGGGCGGTTTCTCTTGCTTGGTATACTAGGGGTTTGGACTTCCATATCTTACATGTATTTTCATACTTTTGTTGGGTGGTTTCTCAGGCCTTTTATCTACCGTGGGCAATGCTTGCATTGGATGTCATTTTTGGTTCACATATTATGCCAGATTTGCTGGGAATCATTGCTGGGCATCTTTATTACTTTTTGACTGTGTTGCATCCACTTGCAACTGGAAAGACATTATTGAAAACTCCAAGATGGGTGTATCCTTGCATAATTTGGCAGTTCTCATAGTAATTTGCATACATGTTCAATATGCAGCCTTCATTAGACATATCATCTACTCATAACCCACTGCAATTTTGAAGTTTCCCCACACAGTTTTTCTGTTGCATTAGGAAGTCATTGCAAGTAGCAAATCATGTTCATATGTTCTGATTAGCTATTGTCATTCATCTCCATAATTTGCTTCCTCATCACATGATGACATCACTGAGACGGTAAAACTAGGACTATGATGAAATCTTCCAATGATGTTTGCCATTAGCTATTTGTTTAATTAGTTGAATATAATTCCATCTAATCATCATTTTCCGAGAATTTCCTGAACTATTGTAGACATAAACTGGTTGCAAGGTATAGAATAGGAGCTCCAGCCCCAACAAACAATCGAGCTGCTCAACCCGAAAGACCTACTGGTGCGGCTTTCAGTGGAAGATCTCACAGACTAAGTGATTAGTTATGCTCCTCACCTGTTTCTAGATGGTTGACGTATTACCTCAACTTTGTCACAAGTTGTTTTAGATGATGCAGCTAACAAAGAGCGAAGTGCTCGATTATCATAGAAGGGATTTAAGTGACGGTTCTGAATGCAAAAATATTTTGTTTTTCTTTTCTCTGAAAGCTTCACATTTTTCTTAACTTGGATTTTCAAGGATTATTTAATTGTTGTATAATTGAAGGGAAAGGACAAGTAAATGGTTGATAGCAATGAAAGTTCTTGTTCTCCATCTTTATTTGCTCTCATTCTTTTTCATATCTTTCCGAGTATTTCTCAATTTCTTCCCACTCTGTTGCTCCATAGCCGCAGATGATTAAAGTAATGGACTTTTTTGTCTAGGATGAAACGTTCGTTTTTTGTGAATTATCAAAGAATTTTCCCCAAAAAAAAAAAAAAAAAAAAAAAAAAAACTCTCTGCCGCACAAGTATGATTTTAGAATGCATGCAGTCTAAAACACGCAGCGAAGTGCTCCCGATATCATATCAGTAAAGGGATTTTAAGGTGACGGTTCTCGAATGCAAAAATGAGTTGTGTGAGTGTTCCTTCCTTTTCTCTGAGCTTCACCCACCATTCCTACTTACTTGGAGTGTTCTAAGGATCGAATTTGAGAGTTGTCCGCTTAATTGGACACGGGAATGGATCAGAGTAAATGGTGTGATCAGCATGACATAGTTCTGTGTTCTCCATCTCTGATATATAGTCTCCCTCATTGCGCGAGATCGTTCCGAGTGTATTACTCAATTTGTCTTCCCCACTGCCTGTTGCTGCCATAGCCGCAGATGGTTTAAACGTGAATGGACTTTTTGTCCTAGGATGGAAACGTTCGTTTTTTGTGACCATTATCTAAGAATTTCACCAATACAAGAAAAAAGAAAAAAACCAAAAATGCAAAAGGAGAATTGAGTATCTGGAGTATAAGCACTTAAAGAGAGGAAATTTTTTCTATCTAATCATAATTTAAATATATATCAGAGCGGAGAGAGTGACTATAGGATCAGATAAGAATAATATGAATATTTAACAAAGAATAACTGCAAATATTCAAAAAAAAAGAAAAAATATATGACTTCAAAAAAAAAAAAAAAAAAAAAAAAAAAATGCAAAAGGAGAATTTGAGACGGTTAAGACTTTAGAGAGGAGATTTTTTCACTAATCATTAAATATTTCGAGGTTCAAATTTTATGCAAGTATTAGGTAAGATAATATGATATTAACAAAGAATAGAAATAAACTTTCAAAAAAAAAAAGAAAAAAATAAGAAAACTTTTCTCCCTTCTAATTGTGAGTTTTTGATTCAATGTTAGGCTAAACAACGACGGTGATCTTTCTTTTTATTCACTAAATTTGTGAAATCACATTTAGTTGGCTCTAATTGCAATTTAATTAGGACAAATAACTGCAAAAAAATAAAACTTTTTTGAGTTTTACTGAGCTTTCAAGTTCATAATACTAATATTTATTTTTTAATATCTGAAGAAATTTGGATTACATTAAATAAAAGAAATTAGAAAAATATAATGAACTTTGTTGGAGGCATCTAACTCGAATGCCATAACATGTTATTTAAAATGTTATCTTTTTACTTTGCAATATACTCATTGATATGTATCTAAGCAGTGAGATTTTGCACAATCAAGACAAAAAAAAAAAATTACTTTCTTTAAAAAAAAAAAGATAAAAAATATTACTCAAGATATATTTCCTCAGACCAGGAGAGAAGAGGGTGTTAAAACGGTATGGTATACGTGGAGAGAGGGTAGATAACCATTATTTGGTCAAATACTACGAGGAAAATGAGCGTGTACCGCGAAATAGCGAATTACTGATATCAGTAAAAATGAAGCCTAAAATAACGGAAACATGAATGGTAGAAATTGAATAGTGAAGGCCAAGCGACACGGACGGTCCAGAAAGCTTCAATCAACCAGATCTGATCGTTCATTTTTGAAAGCTCTCCGTCCGCATTCATCGCCCACTTTTATATTTATAATATTTAATTGCCTCTCTTTACCCAAACCCAGAATCAAAGCAGCACAGACTAGCACTTTTCCTTCGTTAAGAAAACAATCAATCTCGACACGCAGAAAGAAGAGAAGAAGAGCTCAGAAGGAAGCAGCCAAAGATTTAAGTTAGTAACCTAAAAGGAGGTCAAAAATGTCGTGGCAAACTTACGTTGATGAGCACCTGATGTGCGATATTGATGGCCAAGGCCAGCATCTCACCGCCGCTGCAATTATTGGCCATGATGGTAGCGTCTGGGCTCAGAGCACCTCTTTCCCTCAGGTGATTCTTCTTCTACATTATCTAACTGCTCTGATCCATCCAGCATTGTCGTTATAGTGTTGATCTGATTGTAATGTAGCTGAATCGATGGTTCCGATGACAATGTGGCTCAGTTTTGGATTCTAATTCGGTTGATTTCTCATTGATTGATTGTATTCGAATCTGGACTCTGTAAGAATGCGATTCGATATGTGTGTGGCGTTTGATCTGTTTTGTCAGAGGAATCACTGCTTGCATGTTGATTAATGGTTGGAGTATAGCATTGCGATTTCTTTTCTTCAAAATGATTAAAATTGTTACAAAACGTTTCATATTTGCTTTTATTGGATAGTTGCATTGTTGGTCAGGCAATTAGCAATTAAGGTCTGCATGTACATTCAGACACTATATTAATACTTATTTGTTTGCATTTGTTTCTTCTAAGTACCAATTTTTTTCACCTAATTATCTGACTGTGAGGGACTTTTAATCTGTGATTCTTTGGGTATTTTTTCACAAATTGCAGTTCAAGCCCGAGGAGGTCACTGACATCATGAAGGATTTTGAGGAGCCAGGCCACCTTGCCCCTACAGGCTTACACCTTGGGGGCACAAAGTACATGGTTATCCAGGGTGAGGCTGGAGCTGTTATCCGTGGAAAGAAGGTGATGACCATTATTATATCCATATATATGCTCATTTTAGTTCAAAATCTCCTCGGTTTATATTAATGCAACAGATTATATTGTATTATATATTGCAACGGGCAAAAATCGGCCTTAATACTTGAATCTTTGATTGTATTTGAGTCATTTAATTGATCAGAAGCTTGGCTTGGTTGGTTTTTGTTTCGGCAGGGATCAGGAGGGATCACCATAAAGAAGACTGGCCAAGCTCTTGTTTTCGGTATCTATGATGAACCTGTGACTCCAGGGCAGTGCAACATGATTGTGGAGAGGTTGGGAGATTATCTCATCGATCAGGGGCTGTAGGCCTAGCCTAGTCTATCACAATTGATTAAATTTCTTCTTATGGGGTTACAAGTACTGTTTTTGTTTATGTTTTTCCTTTTGTTTTTGATCTCTGGTTCCACGTTTGCATCTTCTTCTCTTGAAAGGCCTTGAATTGGCAGTGAAGATGTTGCAGACAATAACCATGCGAGAACTAAATTTGTTGTTGGTGTTCGCTTGTTTTTGACTTGGATTACCTTGATAAAATCTTGATCTCATGTGTATTCTTTGGATTTGATCCACAATTTTCTCCCATGCAAATTGCAAATGTTACTTCTTTTTGAATTATTTGTTTCTCTATTTGTTAATTTACTGGCAAGAACAACTCCATTCACTTTTGCATAATCTCATACCTTCTATCTTTGCTGGAACTTTATTGGTAAGGAATAAATAGCAAGTGGTCAACTGTGCTTTCGAGTGGTTAAGACTTAAAGATGTGGAAACTTGACATACTACTTTACTACCACTTGCAATTTCGGTATAGATTATAATAAACAGAACATCATCACCACTAACACAGAGTTATTTTATGCCACTATTGTAGAATCATATCTTCTCATATGGATATTTCTTAAAAATTTCTGGCATTCCTAATTCACGAAAAGAAAACAATATTTATTACCATAATTTCGCGTTTCATATAAACACAATCGGAAAAGAATAATAAAGTTCCCTTTTTACCCTGCAACTTTTTATATCTGTAACTCATGGTCTCATTCAATGTAACGAACTCCGTTTGAAGCAAGTGCCGTTTCTAATGGACCCTATAGTAACAGTAAAAACCACTTTAAAAAAAAAAAAAAAAAAAAGCTAGATAATCTTATATCTTCCGTCATAGTGGATATTTCTTAAAAAATTTTTCTGGCATTCCTAATTCACAGAAAAAGAAAAACAGAATATTAATTAACCATAAAGTCTCGTCGTTTCATAAAACACAATCTGGAAAAGATACCTAACTAGAGTGTCCCTGTTTAGCCCTCTGCAACTTTTTACTTATCTGTGAGAGCGCGAGGTCTCATTCATGAACGAACTCCGTTTGAAGCAAGTGCCGTTTCTAATGAGCCCTATAGTAACAGTAAAAAACCCACTTCCTAAAAAAAAAACCACAAAAAAAAACAGGGACAAAAATCAATTACTGAATGTTTTCTATATTGCTTTTGTCTTTTTATTTTTCTCTTTATTAAATTAAGTGTGGGGATGGCCCGCTTTCAACAGATTGAGAGCAGTTCGTTTTCAAGAGCGGAGTTCACCATTGCTTCAGAACGCAAAAAGAAAAAGAGAATTTGATAATTCATAGATAACGAATTAAATTTTTAAAAAAGCTTGTAGCTTGTTCATTTACGACAGAGAGTTCATTTAAATGCAGCTGGTAATGGGCACACGTGTGAGCCCGAATGAGTCTTGTTAAAAAAAAAAAAAAAAAAAAGGGACAAAAATCAATTACTGAATGTTTTTCTTTGTCCTTTCTTTTTATTTTCTCTTTTATTAATTAGTGTGGGGATGGGTTCAACAGATTGCAGTTGTTTTCACCGTTCCATTGCTCTCAGAAGAAAAAAGAAAAAGAAATTTGATAATTCATAGATACGAATTATTTTTAAAAAGGAGCTTTTCATACGCCAAACCTTCTTTAATCATCTGGTAATGGGCCGAATGATCTTGTTTCCCTTTCGGTCTGGGGCCCATAAGTTTCGGAAAGTTGTACCCCGATATTCATTTCCCGTCATAAGCTGTCAGCCTGTCACTAACATCATTTATTATTTTTTCTAATAAATAATATATTATATTCCCATACTATACACAATATTAAATATATTCTTGGGAGATAAGTAATAATCTTTTTCTGGATGATTTATAGTTAAGCTACCACCCAAAAAATAAAAAAATAAAAAAAAGAAATAAGGAAATCATGCTAGTTGAAATTATTTTATTTGTCCAATGGCTGTACAGGAGGAAATATTCCTGGAAATATATATTCATTTGTCTAATTTTTTAAACATTTGAAAATTGAATTGCTCTTCTCCAAAAAAAAAAAAAATATCAGTGCTAAATAAATTATTGTTATGTAATTTCATAATTTGGAAGCTAAAATAATTTACTAAAACTTAAAAATTAAATTATAGAGCAACCATTTATATATCTTGATAATGACAATACTAAAAAATAATAAATTTTTTAATCCGGATTAGATTCTCTCATTTGTATTCAAAAAATAACAAAATTTTTTATATTTACAAAAAATATATATTTTTTATTTTTTGGTGCGAATAATAGATTTTCTTTGTTATTTACTTTTTATTTAATGAAATAAAGAAAAGGAAAAACCATATACTGTATTAATGTCTTAAAGTGTATTTTATTTTTTGTAAATAATAATTATGGAGACAAAAATAATATTTGTCTTGTAATTACATAAAAAAAATTAAAACGGTCAGTAATATTTAATTAAATTATAAAAATGTGCAGTAAAGTAGCCCATCCCATACAGTTAATAATTAGAAACGGTACAGAGGCTGTGGACCACGTCTCGTCGTTTTAACGCAATATCAGTGTCTGCTGGCTTCGCAGATAAGAACATACCCATTAGAACCCTCTTTCTCTCAGAGCAGAGGAGCGCATACTCACACCTACAGGCCACACAAACACTAAAAGCTTCATATATTTTCCCTAGAAGAAGAAGAAAGAAATAAGAAGGAGAAGAAGATGTCGTGGCAAACATACGTAGATGAGCATCTTATGTGCGAAATCGAAGGCAATCATCTTTCTGCTGCTGCCATCATCGGCCAAGACGGCAGCGTTTGGGCCCAGAGTTCTACTTTCCCTCAGGTATTTCTATGCTTATACTCGGTTTTTTCCTTTCTCTTAATTTCGTAAAACAAACCCATATAATCTTTGGATTGATCGGAATTGATTATTAGGTGGATTCGGTGATAGGGATGCGATCTGACTGGCTTTTTTTTTTTTCTTCAATTTTTTGTTCTCATACATTAGTTTGGCTTCTGATTTACGTTATTCTATATGTTGATTTATTAGCTGATTGGATATATTCGAAACAAAGTTGATCCTGCGTTGCTCAGCTGTTTCTCAATTAAATTTTGGGTCTTGCGTTTTTTATTATTTTTATTTAATAGCTCTTGCTGGGTTCAAAATTGTTGCCTTTGATCCGATCTAGTTGATGATTTGGTGTTTATTTTATTTGTTTCTGGGGATTAACCATGTGGGGTAATTAGGCATTTATACTGTCTCGCATGGTTTGTTTTGTTAGCATACTCTAGCTGAGTCGTTTGATGTGAGTGTATTTGATCTTTGGGTTGGCTTTGATTCCTGCTTAATATGGTTTTCTTCTTCTCTTTATCTTCCATAAATTTAGCTGAGAATCTCCTTTTGTTAATTGAAAAATGTTCTAATTTTATGCTCATTTTCTTCCTCTGGAATAGGGTGGAAAGGAAATCCATTTGCTGGTTTACTTCTCTTATTGCAGAAAGGGATTGCATGAAAAACAATAAATTTTCAATTTTTATTTATACGCTTCCTGTTTGTGGTAACTGTGAACAGAATTTGGAATCCTTTTTTTTATTATTTTGTTTCTGAAGCATATGTATATATGGGGTAGCTGCAGATGGGATGTGCTATGCATATAACTTTTATTTTGATAGAATTATACTCATTTTTTTGATTTTGATTCTTGCTTTAGTTCAAGCCTGAAGAAATCACTGCCATTATGAATGACTTTAATGAACCTGGATCACTTGCTCCGACTGGGTTGTACCTTGGTGGCACAAAATACATGGTGATCCAAGGGGAGCCAGGAGCTGTCATTCGGGGGAAGAAGGTAATCTACTTATCATGTTAAATATTTTATTTAACTTCATTCACTGTGCTTAATTGTCTGAATTTGCATTCAAACACACTTAAAATACCATGCTTAATGTAAGCATACAATTGGCTAATGTAATAATACTGAACATTTCATATTTGTATGTTAAGAATAATATGAAATTTGATCATCCAAATGCTGAGCCATCTGAATCAAATGTCTTACTTGAACACTAGAAAACTCCAGAGGTTTCACATTCACTGGGTCCATTTTTGGCCATAGTTGGCTCTACGTTGGCAGTGGATATTACTTGTGCCTGTATCTTTGTGGATAGATTTTTAAACAAGAAATCTCATGCTTTTCGATTTTGCAATCTGCAGCTCGTGTTTATAATCCATGCATTTATGATAACATTGTCAAGTTCTTTCCTCTTGATGTCATCTAAGTCTTTATCACTTCAATTTCAGGGACCTGGTGGTGTTACTGTTAAGAAGACCAATCAAGCTTTAATCATTGGCATCTATGACGAGCCAATGACTCCAGGGCAGTGCAACATGATTGTCGAAAGGCTTGGCGATTATCTCATTGATCAGGGCCTTTAATCTCTCTGTATTATGCCCTGCTATTTATTACAATTTTCTTGGCTTCTATACAAGCTTGCAGTAGCCTACCTGCTGTAGGAATGGCCGAATGCAGTGAAATAATATTATGATATTAAAAGTCAAGTGGAACATTGTGTGGAAAGAAAAGGTTTGGTGCTTGTTAAAGTGAATGGATATGATAGCTCTGTTATTGTACTAGTTTGATTATGATATTCTGATGGTTGTCGAGTGAGGTCTTTGTCTAAACTACAGTGGATTTCATTTAATGAATGTTGTTATTTGATTGGCATAAATTCTCTGCTTCTGCAGCTGTTCTTCCTTTCTAAACGATGAGTGAATCATTTTGGCAGAATTTTGCCTTGCTCAATTGTCTTTTCCAAAATCACCGTGCTGTTGGTTTGTTGATAATTGTATCACATTTATCATATTTCAAAGCGAATGATTAATAAATGATACCTCATCGTCGACATCATCATAGTCTCTGCACAAAGAAATCCAAAATAAAAATAGTTATGCCAGTGGGAGAGGGCCGTCAGCCATGGGAGACTTATCTTTAGCCGTTTTACATAGTGAAGCAACAAAATTGCGACTAAGCCATTCCCAATTGCCAATTTCAATTTCCAAGCCCTTTTCTAGCGATATTATGGCCTAGCTAGGCAGATACAATGGCTAAACCTGGTGGTAAAAGTTGATATCTTAACAAACTGCACCTGCAATTGCCGCATGATAATAGATATATTATGATTCTAGACCATTAAAATTGTTTTGAAGATAATTTTGACACATTATAGAATTTAAACTCACAACTAATATCCTTTTTTTCAGTAGCATCTAAGAATGAAAGAACGAAAGAATCAATCTGGCACAAAGAAAAAGAAACATCACCTTTTATGCTAAATTGACTAATAAAACACAAAGTTACACGCACATAAAAGGCTGAGAACTGAATAAATATATCTAATCTCATAATACCCACTACATATCATACAAAACTAATAGCAGGCAGATATCATACAAAACTAATAGCAGTCAGATATCTTTATGCCAGATTGCCAATCGTGCATTTTTATCCATGCGATCTACGGGAAACAAAAATCCCGTACTGATACGTCTTCCCCGCATAAAGAATAGCATTGTTCTGTTTCACTTCAGCACACTTTACCATGGTTCCACGATCAGGCTTCCTTAAGCGTTGCCAATGTTCAGAAGTGCAAGGAATGTAATAAGAAGGAAACTGGAAGCCCAAGCAAAAACTTCGTTCGGCGACGAGGAGGAAGACGTAGAAGCCATTGCTGTCGTGTTAGTTGCGGCTGTTTTGTTGCTCCTGTGTGATAATAGCAAAACATATTTTAGCACGCTGAACATTAGGAGTAGCTAGCAAATTACAGTGCAGGCAGATTAAACTTACCCAGTGGTCATATACAAGCAATTATCATAGCCTGCACAACACAAGCAAATACTAGTCAGTTTATCTAGCAAGCGAGATCCCTTTCAGAGAAAGAATATTGAAGACCGTCTGCTTTTTCTTATCGAATTAACCAAGTAAAAATCAGAATCAACTTCTCAATCAGTAAAATAAAAACCACCAAAAAAAAAAAAAAAAAGGTACTAGCAAGCGAGATCCCTTTCAGAGAAAGAATATTGAAGACCGTCTTGCCTTTTTTCTTATCGAAATAACGCAAAGTAAAATCAGAATCCAACTTCTTCAATCAGTAACAAATACCCAACCCACCAAAATAAAAAAAAATAAAAAGGGCACAAAAAAAAAAAAAAAAAAAAGGCACAATACTACACATACTTGGATCCTTGTCAACCTTAACTCCTGCCCCACCAAAACTGCAAGCAACATCAGAAGCCCCATTTTGCTGGTAGTAACTATTGAATGCATAAGATGCATGCGAAAGCAGAGTATCTGGCTCAAAACAAGGCTGGCTAGGCTGAATGGCAGAACAGTCTACGTTCCCAGGGCCACATGCCCAATCTAGGGCACTTTGCAAGTCAAGTTGAGAAGCATTACTCGAAGCAATGCACCATGTTGTTGAGTTTAAACTGGTAAGGTTGGTGTTTTTGGGTATGTCAATAACGCCTCGTCCCGTAAAATCCAAATTGTAGATACTTGTCTGGTCTGGATAAAATAAACCCCAGTTCCTCTCAGATTCCAAACCTGGTTTCCTGTTCTCATTGAACAATGAAAAGATATAAACATCCAGCTCTTCTCCAGGCTTTGCAGGTGTACCCGCGTTGTTAATGACATGACGAATCAAATTGGTATTATATGTCTGGGCATTCTCAGGAGTAGCAGCTTTCTCCTTCGTTGACCCTTTGGACGGCCAGCCTGTCTCTGTGACCATAACCTTAATTGTTCTGAAATTCAAGGCCATCAGGGCAAAATAAAGGGCATCAATCTGAGCATCAAACATGTTTGTGTAAAGTAGACCAGTGTTTGGGTCTATTACTTCAGAAGATGACTCAAATACAGCATAATCCAAAGATATATTGTTTGGAGAATCTCTGTAAGCATAGTAAGGATAAATATCAATCATGAAAGGAGATTGGTTTTCAGCAAGGAATTCCAGCATGGGCTTCAGAAAATATGCATGACTGCTATTGAAAGCCCCCGCAGATGGTGGGAATGAACGAGACAAAATCCCAAGGGAATGAGTGCTTGAAACTTTGATCTTTTTATGCAAACCAACCTTTCTTAGGGCTGTGAGGACATTATGCATGGCTGGTACAACTTGGGCAGAGGCATTATTGGTGCTTTCTGTGACTTCAGCACCAACAGTAATGTATGTGATCTTTGTGGCAGGGTAATATGGAAGAATACTGTTCCTTAACCATGAGTCAGCATTGGATTGAAACTGGGACAACGCTAGTAAGTCTGAATTTGGAACTCCAACCATAAGTTCAACTCCGGTGTTTGCAAAGGCCTTGAGGACCTGGATATTTGAATCGTAAATCCTCAAATATTTAATATTATGCTGTCGAACAAGCTGTGCGACTTTATCAGGAGTTGGGAGATCATCAGCATTTCTTCCATAGCAAACTCCTATGGTGCTTCCTCTGCAATAGACTGCAAAAGAAAACCAGCATGAGCTCAGCACCACTATTAAATTTACAAGAAAAACTATGAAGCACAAAAAAGAGTCTGGCTAAACTACGAGCAACAGCAGCAGGGGTCAGTTCTCACAAAAAGAACATAGCTATGTAAATTAGTTAACCAGGCATTCAATAAATTCAACTAACAGTTCTAACAAATAAAGAAAAAAAATTTGGAATAAACATTGCAATTCGTTTTCACTAATAATTACAGCCATTACAATTTTACTGCAAGAACAAGGATACTCCCAAACAATGTGTTCTTAATACAAGCCTTAATATGTTCACATAATCTTTACTGAGATTGGTTTATATGAAATCAAACTTTAGGATGTGAAGAAGAAAGAGGGTGAGAAAAAGTTAGCTTCTTATTTATGGCTTTCAGCAAGCCTCATCATTCGGAAGGAAATATATGTCCGCAAGATCATCACTAAATCGTTCTTCTCAAACTCCATACTGAATCAAAACCAAGTTGAAGACTTCCTAACAAAAGAAGGATGGATTTCCTCTGCCATATGTATAAGTTTTCATTCATATAGAAAACAACTCCTAATAAAGTATGGAGCTATCACAGTAAAATCTAAACAAAGCTAAATATAATTTCATTAATTTCTTGTGATGTCATATTAACATCACAGAATGCCCAAAATTATAGTCTACAAGCAGAAAAAATCAATTGGATAGTGTTATAGCTTCATAACCATGGTCACTAATCACATCATATCCAACATAGCAATAAATGAGATTCAAATACAGCTGAATTCAATCACTCAGTTTCATAGTAATCATACAAGCCAAGAATAAACAAAAAGACAACATTAAAAGAAACATCATAAGGGGACGACAAATATAAATACTGCAACCTCGCTGTCATAAACTTAAATATTGTGAGCCTACCTAACAGAAAATATAGAAAATAGAACCACTACTTTTGTTTATTATAATTTTAAAGAAGAAATGTATAACATTCTATTCCATTCTAGGGAGAAAAGAAATGTTGACATCCTTTCTGTAGATTAGACATAGAGCAAAGCAACTATGATAGGACAAGCCGTGATTATTTATAACGACCAGACAAATTCTTAAGTGGAAAAAAAAAGCATGTTCTATAGCTGTTAGTTCTAAGTTTCTCCTAGAAGTACCGCTAACAATGGGCGCAGAACTATAAGAAAAATCAGAACAAGCTAGCAAAAGGGAAAAAGAAAACAAAGAGACTCAGGAATGCAGATTATTTAGGCCAAAGAAAGCAGATGAAGATTTGTACAGGAAATGCCAAAGTCCAAATATTATCCAAACTTCAAACTTACAAACAAAAACAAGAAAATCTCTACAAAGATGCAAAATCAAAACTAGAACAAAAAAAAAGAACACCACAACACATACAGAATGCAAATGCAAGAAGATCACAAATAGAGCAAAGATAAAATGAAGAAAATAAGACATACCCAGAAGTGTGAGCAACAGAGACACAGCAAAGATAGGCTTAAATCCTCTCGCCATTGCTCGGCAAACTAACTACAGTGCACAAAACTCTTTCCTTTCTACTTTACTCTTTTATCTGCGAACGTTCTTGGTCTAGGAATCTAGAGAGTAACGTCTCTATTATCTTTCTCCCATTCCAAAAAGCTTAGCTTTCTCTCGTAGCTCGAGAGGGAGAGAGAGAGTGATAGAGCTTAAACTTGGCTTGGCTTGGCTTTAGTGTACAGTCAGTCTAATGGGTGGTAGTGTCAGAGAAGGAGAGAGGCAGTGATCGGACCGGACTTCAGACATAATTTTATAAAATATGGTTAACAGAAGTGCCTGGATTCCGCTAATTTGGCATGTCTGTTCTATTCCGCAATCCGCACCCATTATTTATACTATACGCTATTATTAAACGGTCCACTTTTATTTTTTATTTTTATGGACATAATTCATTTTCTTTTGTTTTTTAAATTAATAATTTGTTCCACTTTTGGTATCTCCCCACTGTTCTTCTTCGTCTGCTTCAGCTTATTTTTTATTTTTCTTTTTCACACCTCTTAAATAAATAGTTGAAAGATATATCTCCTAATGCCCAATATCTAAATATTTAATTGTATAATTTATTTTAAATAAAAAATTTTGGTTTAAATTTGTTCAAAATACAAAAGTTTTGGTTTATAATTTATTTTCAAATTTCTTTAACTATTTACTCTTTTTGTCTCTGAAAAATATTTTCTAATTTTTTTAATATTTACAATGCTGAAAACAAAATATTAATATTAATTAAACAATAAGAAATATATTATTTAGGACTCATTTTTTTAAAATAATATAGTAATAAAGTAATTTAAAAATGTAAGAATTTAAAATCTTGCGTACACCTTAAAAATATATGATATATCAAAAATAATAATTTGCATTTCTTGTTTTAGAATTTTTGAAGATAAATCTGGAACATTCATTAAGTCGAATGATAAAAAGAAAACAATTATTTGGGAAAAATTTTTACAAAAGAGAATAAGCATGCATGATAGTAGGACACTCTTGCTAAATAATGAGAATCCAAAATGGATTATCTGCGAATCCAACCAACAGATAAGATGATGACATGCATTATTCATCAAAATAAGCAAATTTGTATTTGAATTTAAGCACGTGAGCTTCTTTTTACTTTTTCAGGAGTCAAGATTGCAATAAATTGCAGATGCACCCCTATAACAATCTGTACATATTTAAACGTATTGGCTAGCCTTTTTTTTTTAAAGCCCATTCGTTCAAAGTTCTGAACTTAAGGCCTTAGAAGCCCACTTATATATGGATTTTTTTTTCTTTTACATAAATATAGAAGTCCTATGAAATTAATCAAATTTATTTTCTTAAGGCTCCGTTTGTTATTATAAAATAATTTATACAGAAATATTTTTTACAAATTTTTGTTGTTTGAGGCACATAAAAAAATGAGTCAGCAGAAAATATTTTCTGATCAAAGAAAAATTAAGTTATTTTTTAAGCGAAATAAGTTTCCATTTTTTAAAGAATAAAATATTTTTTTTAACATATTGGCAAATATTATAAATCTATATTTTTTAATTTATTAATCATTATAGTCACAAATACCAATCACTATTTACCACCGACTATCACCACTGGCGGTCGACGGCTACCACTACCGGCGACTTTCATTTTTTTTTTTTTTGCATTTTTCATATTTAATTTTAAATTATAAAATTTTTATTATTATTAATCGGAAAATAAATCATTTGACAAGTTAATTTTCTATAAAATTATTTTCTGAAAATAAGGGAGCCTAAATTTTGAATTCTTTTACATACTAACTGCTTAAATTTTGGATTCTTTTACATACTCTAACTCAAAACTTAAGGAACTTGTGCGTTGGAAATAAACTTATTAGTCTCATTATTAAATTAACAACTTTGAGCTCAATTCGATAAATTTATTCATCAAACTCCTCAGAATTTTAAATCTCGAACAGTTTGCGACGAACTTAACTCATTTACAGCCATATCATCTGGCAATAGCCACTGGCTCATTCTGGTTAGCAACAACAATGCTTCCAGTATCATGTCTACAACGCCCTTATTGTCCACTTCCAGAGCATTTTCAAGCACCTTTTGGAATATTTTTGTTGTTGTCTACTGATCAGTTTGGTGTGTTATTGAATAGAATAGTCAGATCTTAATTTTCGGAATATTACTCTCTCATTAGAAATTAAAAGGAAATAAATAAAACTCTGGCTTACCATTCAAACTCTGCCTTCCTAAGGCAATATAATAAGATCATCTTACAGAAGAGGATCAGATTTCACATAAAATACCAATACAAATTTATTACAGGAAAACCCAGAGGAAATTACCCTATATCAGCGATATTTACATATCATAAGACTAGAAATCTCGATGATTATGCTCCCATTGATCATAATAGCAATTAGACGGTCTCGATCTCCACTGGATCCTCGAAATTCGGATCCTTAACATCAACAGCTTCCTTCCCGACTCCGATCTCGGCTTGGGAATAACCATCGCCGGCCCAAGTGAATTTACCACCATGACCTCCTTTCTTTGGCGATCCGCTCATACCCGTCGCCGACTTCCTGTCCTTCCTCCCATCAGATTTGGCATTATTGCAACCAGATTTGGCATTATTGCAACTCTTGAAACTCTTTCCTCTGTCCTTCATCTTCTCAGCACCACTCAGATTCTCGACCGATGATTCCTCTATTCGTCGTTGTTTGTGACTGGGGGTTTGTATGTAGGCGCTTTGTTTGCATTTTATAGGTGGGGGTAGTACTACGGGCGTGGCGTTTTATGATTGGAATGGATAGAGATCGGATAAGACCGACTATTAGTAAATGCTATTTTAATTGAGAGTTATTATCGAGTGTCGAGCATGCTATGTTGCATGAGTCGAAGGTATTTTGATTCTATTGCATGACACCGTACACGTGGCTCCCTGGCTCAGATCTCGTTGTTTACTGCCCATCATTTGCGTCCAGCTTGTTCGGATCAAATCTTACAACCGGTAAACGCAGGCGCAGCTGTTTGTTTTGCAGAAAATATTTTGGCTTTTAGTTGAATGGGCTTTAATGGGCTTTTGGATTTCACCGTGCCCTGCACCCCAAGCCCACTGAAACAGTAGCGACTATCGAGCGAGTTTTTAGACCATTGCCTATGTGATCAAACAGGTTCAATGAAATTTCGCCATCCCCGTGCCGTGCACCCCAAGACCAAAAAGTCAGAAACTGTAGCTAGCGAGTTTTCCACTGTTGCATGCTCGTGGTCAAACAGGTTCAGAGAAATTTCGCCTTGCTTTCTTTTATTTTTTTCCATTTTTTAAGGCTTGCATATTAAATTAGTCCTTAAATTTTTCTAATTGGTCCAACAAATTTTCAAATTAATTTTAAATTTTTCATGGGCTAATTTAGTTTAAATTTATACTAACACTATAATAATATGTAGAATTATAAAAATTTAATATTTTAAAATATCAAAAGAAATAAAATAATTAAATTAAAAATAAAATTTTTTAAGAGAATATTAAAAAACACATGTATAAATATGGGCCTGGCATATTATTTATTAAAATTATGATAATTTTTTTAAAAAAAAGAAAGAAAAAAAAAGAAAGGAAAATAAATCAAAATTTTTATTTTCAAATTAAAGGAAAAATAGAAAAAATTACTCCCTCCATCCCTAAATACTTGTTACATTTATAGTTCTAAAGAGTAATAAATTTCTTTTCCATGTTTACTCTTTCAATATGATAAGTAATTATTGCTTTAATTTTTAAAAATTTATTGTTTGAATATATTGAGATAAGGATAATACAATCAAATAAAGGATAATTTAATGATTTTTTTAAAAAAATCTGAAATTTTATATGTGACGAGTATTTAGAATGAAAATGGTATAATAATGAACTAAAGGAGTAAAAGTAGTTTTAATCTTCTCTTGTATCCAAACACAGTGGAAAAATATATATTTTTAAAATTTTTCCTTTTTTTCCTCTTTATTTTATTTTTGCCGAATTTTCTCGCCGACCAAAATATATCGTGACTGACAGTTGAAAATTAAGCTGATTTATATGGTAACAGAAATGGACAGGGGAAAAAATGCAGATTTATCTTCGAAAATAAGACGTTTTCAGGCTCGCCAAGCTGTAATAAGTGGATGTGTCAACTTTGCATTGGATAACCATATAAAAAGAAAAAGAAAAACACAGAGAAAAACTCTTAACTTGCTAAAGCCCTAAAAATTACGAAGCGGGACGGGAGCATCCAAGAACTGAAACCGTGGCCAAGGCTGAGGCGAGTAAGGGTTTCTAAGGGGACAATTAAATATAAATCAAATAGGCATGATAGGGTCCTCCTTAACACTTCTGCTCGCGCCGGTCTCTCCTCCCTTTCACTCCTTTAATCGACTCTCTCATTTCCATTCCTCTTCTCTCTCTGCCTCTGGTAAGCTTACCTTCTACCACATCAGTATCTCTTTGAGTTTGCGTGCTCTGTTTTCGATTTCTTTTGCTGGTTTAGCATCAGATTTTGTGTTAAACGGAGTTCAATATAGAATGAGATTTATTTTATTTTATTTTTATGCTGTGATTTTGCTGTGAAACTAGACAGAATTGTTAAGAGTCACATCTAGAAGACTTGCTTTTGCTACAAAGACACAGGCAATATCGACCATGACGAATGTAAGTCTGTTTAACCATTTTATTTAGAAGCTTCTGGTAAGTAAATGCTTGTGTAGATTGAGACTCCATATATAACACCTCCAAAAGGAAAAGAATCCCTAATCAATTGGGAAATTCAAAAGCAGTAAACAAAAAATATTTGCTGTTCTGATTTCTCCCCTGTTTTTCAGCATCTTCTACTCTAAATCAGGCTCTAACTCCTTCAATAAATTTGAAAATCTCTCTCTCCGCTTTCTAACGAGCTAAGGCTCGCCCAAAACGGACATCTACAATAAGAATAAATACTAATGCGCTACCTGAAATTACTTTAAGCTACGTTAGTATATAAGCTACGTTTCAAGTGGTAATATTTCAATTCTGGATTCGTGTGTGCTTCTAATTTGTGCTGAATTTATGCATATTTTATCTGGTGCAGTAATAATGCCATGAGTCTCTGGGCTAAAATAAAAGGGAAGAATACTGAATTTAAGGGGCCCCCAGCTGTTGGACAGGTATGAATAATTTTCATGTTAGCAACTTAGAATTCAATTGTTCATGCATGAATTAGCTTCCTACTCTTTTTCTAAGCTCCCGTTTTCCCACTCTTTTTTTATTCTTCTTTCTATCTCCTGCTGTTGGTATTGGGTAATTGGATTGAAGCATTTGTTTGATCTTTAATGTTTCTTATGGCAGGCTATAATGAAAAATCTTCCTTTGTCTGAAATGATAGAAAATTGCTCTGTGGCAGGACCTGGTTTTGTGAATGTTGTTTTGTCAAAGACTTGGTTGGCTGAGGTATTTACCTATTCACCGTTTCCAATTAATCTTATGAATTTGTTGTATGATTATTATATGTGTCTTTAAAATCTTTTTGCACGCACTTTTCTTTTGCCTTCTCATGATTCTAGTATTTTTCTCAGTTGCTTTTTATTTGAAGTGGGAAACTAGTCCAATTTGACTTCCAGTGGTTAATGTAAGGTTACTCATGTTAGATTGTTTTGGCTGCAGAAAATCCAGAAGATGCTTATTGATGGTATTGACACTTGGGCACCTAAGCTTGCAGTTAAAAGGGCTGTGGTTGACTTTTCCTCCCCCAATATCGCAAAAGAAATGCATGTTGGCCATTTAAGGTCTACTATTATTGGTGACACGCTAGCCCGCATGCTTGAATACTCTAAGGTTGATGTTCTTCGGCGAAATCATGTTGGCGATTGGGGAACTCAAGTGAGTGTGATTTTTGAAAACTTCTATATAGTCTCTTGCTCTTTCATAGACTTTTGATATGCTTGACATATTTCTTCCATTATGAAGTGTTGCATCTCTTCAAATAATCTTTTATATATCTTATGACATTTTCCCCTTTCTCATTAGCAACCTGTTGCTTAAAGATTTACATTTGCTTGCAGTTTGGTATGTTGATTGAATTCCTCTTTGAGAAGTTTCCAAACTTTGAAGATGTTAATGAAAGCGCTATTGGGGATCTACAGGTGACTGAAAAACATTTAATTATTTAAATTGTGAAATAACCTTTAGAGTAAATAAGCTAAAATCATGTAGTGCTATGCATTAAAATTTGGACCAAGAACATGAAGATCTCGGAGATCAATTGCTGTTTGGGTTTTATGTTTTTGAGCACTTACATCATGCCCATGGACAGAATCTGTTCTTTGCTTGTGTATGGAACTGATCATAATAATTTGTAATAGTAAGCAAATTATTCTTATTAAGAAATGCTCAATACTGTTTCTTTTCTTCTCCCTTACCCATTATGCATAGAGCGTACAGCCGTGGCAATTCATATTGCATGTTATCTAAGCTATATGACAGTTTCTATGAGAACTCAGATAGTATTAGGCTATATGTACGGCTATACTGCTTTTTTTTTTTTTTTTTTTTTTTTTTTTTTTTTTTTTTTGGTTGGAAATAAGGATTAGATGCTTCCTTGGGCAATAGATGATGTGGCTTTTAGAAAGCGGGAAACATGATATATCTGATTCTAACTTGAGTTATGCATTCTATAGGCATTCTACAAGGCATCAAAACAGAGGTTTGATGCTGATTCCGAATTTAAGGAAAGGGCACAAAGAGCAGTGGTCCGCCTCCAGGTATATCTTTTACTTTTTAACTTGAAGGACTCATTGGGTTGATATATAATTTATTGTTGGACCTATAAACTGTTTATAGAAGGGAATTGAATGTGAATTTTTTTTTCTTTTTTTTTTTTTTTTTTTTTGGGTGAAGTCCCAGTACCGCCAAGCATAGGATTTTTTTTTTTTTTTTTTTTTTTTTTTTTTTGGTATGCAGGGTGGAGATCCCAAGTACCGCCAAGCATGGATGCAAATATGTGACATCAGTAGGAAGGAGTTTGATAAGGTCTACCAACGCCTTGGAGTTCAGCTTGAAGAAAAGGTAGATATCTTAATTTTCTATATGATGATTTTTTGAGTGCCAACATTAATGGTGTTTTAGGAAGCTGCTAGTGAAATTCTGTAAACAAGATATTTACTTCTTGGGCTCATTGGCGAATTAGTAATTTGCTGATCCTCTTGCTAAAAATCAAGGAATTGGGAGATTTCATATGAAGGTTTCATGAAAAGGTTAAATGGGGTGCTTTATCTTATGAAATCCATCTAAGCTACACCAAATTCGTAATGTGTTTTAATGGTAATTGCTTATCAAAAGATAAAAGAGCACATTCACACGAATGTCTATTCCCATGTCTTGTTCACAGGGAGAAAGCTTTTATAATCCACACATTCCTGGGATTATAGAGGCATTAAGCAATCGAGGATTAGTTGAAGAAAGTGAAGGTGCTCGTGTGATCTTTATTGAAGGATTTAATATTCCTCTTATTGTTGTGAAGAGTGATGGTGGTTATAACTATGCTTCAACTGATCTAACTGCCCTTTGGTGAGTTTATATTTCTTCTCAGAATAAAATCTGGAATTCTCTTTAGATGTCTTGATCCTATTATTCTATTTTTTTGTGCATCTATTTAGTCCCTGGTTTGGATTCCTGTACCTTGCGATTTGTGTAATCGTTTGAAACGATTTGGAAGTTTATGTTATCTAGATGATCACATTAATTATTGGTTTTTCCCCTAAATCATATATAAGCTAGCTAAAAGGTAAAATTAATACGAGTGAACTTCATTTTTTTTTTACCTTCCCTTGGTCAATTTCTTATGTTGATGGGAACTGAGCATTTTTTTTTTTACCTTATTTGTAGCATTGGTTGTACATTGGAAATGCAAAAATATCTTTTGAGACCGCTGAACATGTTTCTTTTTTATAAGGTTTTTAACATCTGCAGAGTTCATGTCATGGTGGATTGCTAAGGATGAAAAGTGGTGGCATTGGAATTGAAATTGTTGGATGTTGATTTCCATGTGTAGGTATCGCCTTAATGAAGAAAAAGCTGAGTGGATTATATATGTTACGGATGTTGGCCAGCAGCAACACTTTGATATGGTATTCAAAGTAAGTCTCTGTTGCCATATCTTGTATTCTCTTTTTTGGCTATTAAAGTACGCTTTTGCACTTGATAATTCCTTGTATTGCACTTTTACTGCCATTTTGATGTAAAAATGACGAACTTGTTATTTGTTTACATGTATTCCATGGTTTAAATTCAGAGTCAACTTATAATTATGTGCCCTTCTTATTCAGGCTGCCAAACGTGCGGGTTGGCTTCCAACTGATGATAGCACGTTTCCTAAAGCTAGCCATGTCGGATTTGGCCTTGTTCTTGGAGATGATGGCAAGCGATTTAGAACTCGGGCCACTGAAGTGGTTAGGTTAGTTGATTTACTAGATGAAGCTAAGACTCGGAGCAAAGCAGCACTTGTTGAGCGCGGTAAAAATAGCTGGACTGATCTTTGATTTTTGTTAATTGTTAGTTATGTGCCTTGAATTTCTGTATCGTCCTTATCTTTGTGTTAGATTTTCACCACAAAGACTTTGCATTTCTAAGGTAAATAATACCCTACTTCTTTGACAGGTAAGGCTGATGAGTGGACTGAAGAGGAGCTTGAGCGGACTGCTGAGGCCATTGGTTATGGTGCTGTTAAGTAAGCTATCTATACTAATTTGAACTTTTCCTTTTGGCTCTATAAGTTGCTGTATTCTCAATTTTAATCCATTGATTTGTAGTATCTTTTGTTCTGGGCTTGGGTTGGTGCTAAACATTAGCTTGAGGTGGCCAAGGGAGTTGAGAAATTACTGATTCTAGGATTGGAGTTACAGAAAGGGTTCATATTTGTGGGTTGAAGTTTGTTGAGAAATAATGAAGTTTTCTGGAAAAACGGTGTAGTTTGAATTAAGTTGTAGGAACTTTTTGGTGGGGAAAATTTTCGTTTTAATGGTTTTTTTTTGGCATGACGTGCATCATTTGGTGCAATGTAGAAGCTTTGGGTTGCAGCAACAAAGTTGCAGGTTTGAGATGTTGAAGCTACCATCTCATGCAAAAAATTGTCAAGAGTAAGACTTTCAAGTTCTTCCCAGATCTGATCTCCCTAGTGAGAGTTGCAAGACCATAACTTGGCAATAACCTCTTCTAAGTGGTGGTTTCAATGGCTAAAGGTGTTGACATATTACTGGCTGGATGCTGAGGGATATGCTGAGACTCGAAGTCTCTTCCTTGCCATATGTAGATATAGAAATTCATAACTTGAATTATTTAAAAAAAAAAAAAAAACTTTAAACTCTCAACCAAAATACCCTTAAATTGCTGTAAGAACTGACAGGTTTTCCATAATCCATAAAGGTGCTTAAATTATTTCTGACATGACTTTAAAGTTTGCTTCCTTTGTGTATGCCTACTTATCAAATCATTCACGAGTTATGCAAGAAAACCTAAATTTGGTAAATATTAGAATAAGGTGATGGAGGGATATGCTTCCTCATGTCTGCATTATCTGTTCCCAACATTGTTTATAGATATAAACATGTTCATTCGTTTAACTATGAATTCTACTTTTGATATACATACATTGTTAATCTTTTTTTGGTCAGGTATGCTGACTTAAAGAATAACAGATTGACCAATTATACATTCAACTACGATCAGATGCTCAGTGATAAGGTAAATATCTGATTTGTTGCTTGGTGGAGCACAGATTTCAGAAAGCCAAACTTGTTCATGAACAATTTTTAGATACTGGGGTTATGTGATGTTTTTACTTGGCTAACTATCGACTACTTGTATTATGGTTCTCTTATCTGTAGTTTTCTCTCTTTTATTGCTGTTGCTGATGAATACTGCTGTTCTGCCCCAGTACTACTATGGTTTTTTAACCTTCTAGAACTTCTGAACAGGGAAATACTGCTGTTTACTTGTTATATGCTCATGCTCGGATCTGTTCAATCATTAGGAAATCTGGTAAAGACATAGAGGAGTTGAAGAAGGTAAGTTCTCTTCCTTCCTGGTTCATTGAAAACTTTTACAGTTTACAATGGCCATGCTGCTTGCTAGTTTTTGTTTATGCTTGTAATGTGCTCTCAATCATATGTTTTATCTTTTAATCTAATTTTAACCAAAATTTCATTTAAAACATCTAACACTTTACTACAAGTTTCGAATGCATTTTCAGTGGACATTTGTTTTAATATGAATGTTGTAGTACTCAAATCATCTTGCCCCAGCTTTTTATTGCTTGTGGATTTGGAGAACAAGAATTTGCCCCAAGTAACTTCTCAAGTAGAGAAGGTTGATGTTGTTTTTTATTTTGCTTGTGTCTATTTTTTTGTGATGCAGACAGGGAAATTGATCCTGAGTCATCCTGATGAGCGTGCTCTGGGGCTTCATTTATTACAATTTGCTGAAGTAAGACGTGTTTTAAATAATCACTCTTTTTTTTGTCTCTTGCTTCTTGTCCTTAGCTTGCTTTCATTCTAAAATTTTATCTTGTAAGTTGAAATGGATGTTTTTGTCTGCACATTTCAGACTGTAGAGGAGGCCTGCACCAATCTCCTGCCAAACGTGTTGTGTGAATATCTCTACAATTTATCTGAATATTTCACCAAATTTTATTCCAATTGCCAGGTATATTCCAACTATGCTAAAATATCACACTAATAATTGAACATTGACCGGCTTAGGCTTGCTGACTAGGTGCCAAAACAGCTGGGGAGCTATTGGTTACCTTCCATTACTTCTCTCTGAGTTGTAATTTTATAAAGGATTTAATTGAAGTCATGTTCAAAGTTCAAACTTGAGATGTAACTAAATGATATTTGGAAAATTGGGCAGGTCGTTGGGTCAGCCGAGGAAACAAGTCGACTCTTGCTATGCGAAGCAACGGCTGTGGTCATGAGGAAATGCTTTTTCCTTCTTGGAATTGTACCTGTTTACAAGATATGATACCACAAATTCAAGATGTAGAATTTTGTACCTATATTTTCTCAGGCGGTATAAAAATTTTGTATACGGATCATATTGTATGGTGATTTTGTTGGATTTCTCGTGCAACTGAAAAATAGTTAGGCTTCAATTGTATGATTTCCTGATTGTATTTCGCTGTGCATGCATCCCATTTTGAACATTTAAGGCTTCAATCATTGTTGTATCCAGCCACGTGTGTGTGGTTTGTTGAAGTAAATATTTTTGTAATTTTTTTTAAAAGGAAAATCCTTTTTTTAAAACAAGGAAAACCTTCTCCAGGCAACGTTTCTGTTCTTTCTTTATTGTTTTTCTTAACAAAACATTACTATTTGTTAATTTTTATGTCTTTTTTTTAAAGATTTTTTATACGCTTAATAATTTATTTTCGTATTTGAATCCGCCTTTGATATTTGTTCATTCACTTTTTTTTTTTTTTTTTTTTTTTTTATGTCTTTGGTTTAAGATTTTTTGCGCTTAAATAAATTTTAGTTTCTTATTGAATCCGCCTTTGCATATATTGTTCATTCACTTTGTTTTTTTTTTTTTTTTTGTTATTCTTATGTATAATTTTTATAACGGAAAGTAAGTGTTGTTACACTACTTAACTCGTTTTCCTGTTTTTTTTTTTTTTTTTTTTTTTTTGTTATTTTATGTATAATTTTTATAACGGAAAGTAGTGTTGTTACACTACTTAACGTTTTCCTGTTTTGAAAGAAAAAAAAAAACAAAAAAGTTGCGGATTAGTGGCGGAGCTCTTAAGGGACCAAACGTGTGAACATGGCCCCATGTCTAATGAGCTTCGTTATAATCTAAAAATGGTTCCTTAAAATTGATTTTATCCATGATTTTTCTTTCCAAAATTGTCATATATAATTGCATTCGTTAGACATTTGCTGCCATTACTTCATCAAGACCATGAATACGAAATGATTTTTCAATTTTTTTTTATATATACATGAAATATTAAATAAATAATTTACTTAAAAATTAGTAGAAATTTATCACCATTTAATTTTAAAGTATATATGATTTTTTGTTAATTAAATTCATTGTTTTCTTTGTCAATTTAAAATTTAATTAACAGAATAATATTCTCAGATGTTTATTATTTTTCTTGGATGATATATTTCTTACATATATATATGTATATGTAATATTTTGAGCATTGGAAAGGGAATTAAGTATATATGCACTTATCTTAGGTTATACTTAGATTTACATATTTAATATAACCACATATTCTAACGTGAAAATTTAAAAAAAAAAAAAAAAAAAGATGAAAAAAAGAAAGTTAACTCCTTTTCATTTCCGGTTTGTGGTTATTCTCCATTGGTGCTTATTCAGGAATCAGAACTTATATATGACCTTGCAGACTAATGTCTGTACTCTTTGATATCTTAGTCGAATCCTATTTAAAAGTGCAAGAAACGAGAATAAGTTTCTTCTATTGGTAATTAATCTTCTCTTAGGATTAGAATATTATGGATGGATAATAAAGGTTCATACGAAAAATTACCTTCGTGCTTTATACAATATTAATTATATGCATTATATTTGTGCTATCAGCATAATTTTGATCAACTGAAACAATTTAATTTTGATAAAAATGACGGGATGAGCAAAAAGGAAGTCTCAAACTAAGGTTGAGATATGGTATATAGATCTTTTTCTCCATTTCATCAAATCTTCAAACTACAAAAAAATTTAAAAAAAAAATGCTAATTAAAGATTGTGCATTTTGCATAATAATAGATGTTCTTGATTTCACTACCTTCTTAAACCCAACCCCCTTGCAAAAATATGCAATGCAAGTTCTGCATCATAAAAAGATGCATCAAATTGCACATGAACATGGATTTAAAATCCCTAATTAACAATTACCCACTAAAGAATTAGCTCTCTTGCTTAAAAAGGATAAAAAAGATCCTCTTGAACCTGAAATCTTTTTTGATATGGTAGCTTTAGGACTATAAGACTTGTGTCCATCCAAAACCGCAGCATAGCTTTTGCTCGACTTCATTCTTGATCTAGATGGAGTGCTTTTCACTTTCTTTGCCAGATCTTCCAAGTCCTTTACACTTGCTAAAGATGTGTAAGATTGAGACTTCCCTTGATAAAACTTTGAAAGACCTCTCCTGCAATTGCGCATATATATGTATATATGATTATCTTAGAGGCTTTTCAATAAAATTATTTTCAATAAAATCTTTTTAATAAAATTATTTTTTTATATTTAAATCCCTTGCTTTTTATGCTATAAGAAAGATATAGTATTAATCATTGAGTTTTATAACAAAATTTCATGAGGAAGAAATTTATTTTCATTAACTATATGTATATATGTACTTACTTGATAGGAAGTTGGGTCATGAGCTCTGATAAGTCATATAGAGGCCTATTTGTATATGTTGATGAAGTTGATGATGATGATGATAACGGTGATTGTGAAGAAGATGCATCTTCGAATAAATCTGTTGAAGAGGAAGATATAACTGAGTTCGATGAAGCTTCCATGGAGGATTCAGCTGATGTTGAGTCATAAGCATTATCATCACCATGACAATCCATGGCCATCACGCAGCTTTGATCTTGCTCTTCTAATTGACTAGGGTTTACTTTTTCAAAATTAAGATCCCAAAATTTTCTTTCTTCAGCCATTAGTTTCTATATAATATAGTCTCCAACGAAAGGCAAGAGAAGGAAGAAAGTAAAGAAGAGAGATCTTGCAGCAGAAAGGGTTTATATTATACAAAAAGAAAAGGGTAGTATTGGAGGGTTCTGAGCACCTTTCTTGAATTCATGCAGATTGCTGTGTTTTATTTTTCATTATATAATAAGATTTGTTTGTCTTGTGATGTTTTTTTTTTTTCTCTTTTTTTATGATTATCGTCAAATCTATTAATGGTGTAAATTTATTAGCTTTCCCATGGTACAAGGAAGTGGATAAGGTCTAAATTTGAACACATCCAAAGATGACTCACCACCCCTTTTTCGTAAAGGGAGAATATAAAACTTAGGCCATCGTCTGTGGCTACTTTGCCTCTTAAAGCAGTGACAGATTAAGGTTTCTAGGCATTCAAATAGTAAAAGTTGCCAATAAAGAAATTCTACATTTCACTATAAGTTTGGAGAACAACCTTTGGTGGGTGGATATATGGCTAATCTTCCACTAATCCTTGTTTGCCAAAACTTACTTATCTCTAAGAAAATGCTTGTTTGTCTCTGAATTATTAGAGATAAGCTAAACAAAACATACGGATAACGTAACTTTATTTCATTAAATGAGTATACGGTTAATATAATAAACTGAATTTACCAAAAAATTTATCGCAAGCCAGGCATGAGCTGGACGAAGAGGTCGACTGGGAAACCTGTCATCATAGTTTAACACTTTTTTATTGCCACCACATGTTACTCCTTGTAGGCCCCAACCTTCCGTTTCATTCACTTTTATATATGGATAAGATTTGCCACTACCTAATGCACCACTCATTTCAATTCATTAGGAGGTCTATTGGCTACGGTGGATGTGCCTACCATATAGCAGCTAGGTGTTTCTGTAGATAATTATTTCTTTCAGTTATATTTGAATTATTTAATTCTTATCTGGTGGCCAGTGTTAGAACTGTGGCACCACATGATAATTTGAGCTAACATGTCATGGGTTTGTCTTCCCACAAGCAATGTAGTAATCCAGTGCAGTGATGTTCAGAATTGATTGCATTAGTTTAAATATCTAATATACATGCAAATTTAGCTTAACCTTAGGAGACAGGAATATTGCGTGACAGCACCATGTAATATTCAAAACGATCAGAACTTGTTACCAAAATGATCTAATGACCGGTGAAAATTTTGGGATGCATGAAATCACTACTCTAATTAAATTAATGGCGGTATTAGAAGTAAAATTTAAAAAAAAAAATCAAAATTACACTTAATTGTATAATAAATTATAAATGATGTAATTATTTATAAAATTATAGAATTTATAGGTACAAACTCCTTCATTAAAATAGCTTGATAAAAATAATTCAACTTAATTGGTTAAGCTTACCAAATGAACCTAACTTTTCTCAAGCACAAACTTGAACAAATCACAAGTGACTTGACTCGTATTTTCAGTCCAAGTCTTTTTTTTTAATTAGATCGATAATTTTTTTCTCAAGTGAGAAAAATAAATTAATAAATTTATCTTAATATGTTTTATTTGATATTTAACTATACATAGTAGTTAATTTTATAAATTTTACAAATAGCACAATATTTATAAATTCCTTAAATATTTGTAAATTATATTTTTTATTTATATAAAATAGTTTTAAATATTTGTATGTGCAATTTCTTGGAAATAGTGTTGCACGTTGAACCCAAAATTAATAGTGACTAAATATTTTGTTTGAAATAAAATTGTGGATCTTGTTAACTGATGCAACGTACAAATAAACCCTTTTATCATAATTTAAGTGTCTAAAAGCTTTTTAGTGATTTATTTTTAAATTAGGAGTGGGATTAATTTGTTCAATCTAGCGACCAAATCGATGAAAATGGTTTTTCTATTGAAATAATGGTATGTTTAAACATGTATGGAGAAGAAAAAAAAAGAATAATTTTAAAATTTTCTATTTTAATTGATTTGATCCGTAAATAACTCTATGAACCCGATAAGTCTCGTACATAAGATAGAAATTTGATTATGAGATAGTGGAAATTAGACTTTCATCAGTCAAAGTCTTAGCAAGGTAGAGCATTTATTTATTGCCATTTTGACCAACTTGCTATTTATAATCTACCTGGAAATGGGAAAATAATTAAATGAAGAAAATATCTTTAAAAGTTTAATGTCAAGAGAATAAAAGATAAATATTAAATAAAAAAATAAGCATATCCTAATTTTAAATAATTAGAAATATTTGAACTCATTTGGAAATTCAAATATTAAAAACAGTTCAATTAGGAATCTTAATATTAAAAAAGACAAATATTTTTGAAAAAACGAAAAGAAATATATAATGTGCATGGGCCTTGTTTTTGTGGAGCTGTTGGGTCCAAAGCCCAAATCTTTGTCCATCCATCATCACACAGAATGTGTTCACCCATCAGAATGTTGGGCATTGGAAACTATATTAGTAGGCCCCGATTGTAAATGGCAGTAGGAGAAAAATGTCTTCTATTGATTTTTTTGTGTAACTTGCAACATACGAATGTCAGCTGCATCACGTGAATCTCGAGTTTGTCTCCCTCCTATCCCGAGTATAACTCCATTTATAAGCCTTAAAAAACAAGATGCAATAACAATATATATATATATATATATATATATTAATCTATCCGTGTGCGGATTCTATTATTAGAATTAACTAATGTGGCTTGAGATTTAATCACAGTTAAAATTCTTTGTTCCTTTCTACATATATGTTTAGTTAAGACTGAACCTAAAAATTCTTTTAACATACCCTGCATAAATTGCCAACTGAGTCATAACCGGTAGATAACAATATCTATATTTTATTTAACAAAAATAAAAATATTATATCTTAATGTTAGGATTTAAATTTTAAGGTACACATATACTATTTTTATTCTATGCTGCATAATGCTAAACACAAAAATTAAATTTTATATATCTAAACAACAAAAATTAAATTTTATATTATATATAGTATATTATATATATATATATATATTTATGTTTACTAGCCGCCCCTAAATTCTTTGTACACATATATTTTTTGACCCTATTCTTTCTTTAAAAGCAATGAATCCAATTCACTGAGATTCCAGATCCTCCATTAAAGTCAAAAGTAATCTCTCTCTTTTTTGTTTAAAATTCTTGGGTGGGTGGTAATTATTTAAGAGGCGTGGATATAGGCCTTGTTTGAATGCGATGCCACGTTTTCATTAATTTTTTATATTAAATTGGCAGGCAAGGCCATGAAAGCACATAAGATTTGCATGAGGAAAACGGTACATGTGAGGTGGCATAGTTGCAAATAGAGATCAAAATACGTATCGGAGGTTCAAGTTGGGACTTGAATATTAGATTTTTTTTTTTTTTTATTAAGGGGGGGGGGGGAAGAAAAAACTACTAGGTGTTTGTTAGTTATGCCTGGTCCGGCTCAAATTCCCCAACCAAACACCAGTCAGGTATTGACGTCCTGATTTTAAACACATATATATAGCCGCCTAAATTCTTTGTACACATATTTTTGACCTTTCTTAAACAATGAATCCAATTCACTGAGATTCAGATCCTCCATTAAAGTCAAAGAATCTCTCTCTTTTTTTAATTCTTGGTATTTATTTTAAGAGCGTGGATATAGGCTTGAATCGAGCCACGTTTCATTAATTTTTATATTAAATTGGCAGGCCAAGCATGAAAGCACATGATTCATGAGGAACGGTACATGGAGGTGGCAATAGTTGCAAATAGAGATCAACATAGATCGGAGTTCAAGTTGGGACTTGAATATTCGATTTTTTTTTTATATAGGAAGAAAAAACTACTAGGTGTGTTAGTTACTGCCTGGTCGGCTCAAATCACCAGTCAGGTATTGACGTCCTGATTTTAAACACTCTATAAGGCGCGCCAACTCTTGAGCAGTGGTGGGAAACTCTGCCCCCTTCTGTAAGATCATGGTGTTGCGGTCCTCAATCCATGATAGCAAGAACTCGAGCAAGTGGCAAAATGCCATATCAAGCGCTATGATGCTATTGAAACCTTTGCCTTCCTTCATTGGTTTACGCACGGGATACTGACACTGAGAGACGAAAGCTAGGGGAGTGAATAAGATTAGATACCCTAATAGTCCTAGCCGTAAACAATGAATACCGGCGCTGTGCACATCGAACCATGCAATGTTGTAGCTAACGCGTTAAATATTCCACCTGGGGTAGTCTAAAAAAGCAAAGTAAATATTTAAATATTATACATAACGGAATATGCTCATGAAGGATCAAATCTAATCAAGCATGCGGATGAAGGCTTTTACCACTAGGTCACCACCTCTGAGTGATTGGAATTTGATTCATGAAGAAAAGTTAATACCCATTGGATATCCACCTTGTAATTAATCAAATCTTGTACTCTCTCAGTCACATTTGTTTGCATGATTTGACAAAATACGCATATTAAAATTTTAGTCAACAAAAATTATTTTACCTTTTCTATCCTTAACTCATTAAGATATTAATAAAATTTTTTCATTTAACGAAGGATCATAAAGATTATTATGAGAAAAATAATTAATTACATGTACAAATTTACATACTTTGCAAATATTTTGGAACATTTAAAAAAGGAATAAGAAGCAAATAAAATGGTCGGAGTCAATGTATATTTTTAATGGATTTTTCTTTTAAAATAATCTGGTCAGATTCAAATAGCATAGTTATCCATATTCAACCCATCAAACCACGTATATCCGACAGATTAGATAAATAGATTTGTTGGAGTTTATTATAGATACTGGCCTCCAGAAAAGCTTTCTTTTGTTCACTTGTTATTTATAATCAAAGACACAAACTTCGACCTTTACATGAAACTTGATATCTTATTTTCTGTGATTGCATGAGTGCATGTGTGCTTGTCGACTAAAAGGTGATTGCATTTTCAGTTATAGTGTATTGGATATTGCTATGAAATTTAAACTCTAGGTGCATGTTTGAAAGGGTTGATCTATATATTTAAATCCCCCTCTGGGTCATCGTGAGCTTATCTGTTTAATTGGGTTGTTTTCTATATATTTGATGATGCAAGTTTGTGTCGGGTGGGTTGCTGCTATGTCGTAAACTTAATAGCTATATCAAGTAGCTCGCTTTTAGACTCTATAGATGAGATTGTCCCATATAATGCTTTTCACATCTTTTTCATTTGAGCCAAACTTTTTTTTTTTTTTTCTCTACAGAAGGGACACAAAGCTCAAAACAGATTACACACAGAGGCTAGGATATATAAATAAATAATGACAAACTTTGATGCCAGCGTAGATCCCAACAATCTTAAGGTTTGTAATTAATCCTTTAATCACTTAACGCCGGAAAATAGACTTCTAACTTTTTGTAAGCTATCATTAAGACAGGGAAAGTCCAGTGCAATGGTAGCGCGTTGGCTACTTGGAAATGGAAACCTCTTTTGCTGGAGTAGTATGCTTACAATAGAAGATTACTATTCTCATATTTTTTCCGGTATTTCCCAATTCCATTTTCGTTAAAACAATGATTTTCATATGCTATAATTGCTTTAATTCTGCTCAATCATTTTTCTTATTTGACAATTGTTTTTCCTTGAACTTATGTAGCGATACCACTCGTCAAGGATTCTTACTCTTGTGTATCAACTATGTGCATTTGTTACACTTGCAATACTTGCAAATCACGAGGCAAAACTCAATACAAGAAAAAGGAACCTACTTGGATATAGTTTACTTTTCATAGGCTCTCTTCTTATTTTAGTTGTGAGTATCATATTTTTATTTTCTATGTTCCAAACAACTCGTTGACAGATTTTGGTTAATTCATATGCATACTAGCTACTAATTCATTTATTATGATTCTATAGGTGGATTTAGCTACATCAGGAAGAGGGGGACTTGAAACTTTCATTGGGATTTGTGTCGTTAATGCTGCATTTGGAGTTGCAGATGCTCATGTGCAGGGTGGAATGGTTGGAGACCTATCCTTCATGAAACCTGAATTTCTACAGGTTATATATTTCTCTTTCCATGGTAACATTTTCCATGGTTTTCTATTTCCTACGAGTATTTTGATGAGTCTTAATTTTACTTCTTTTTTAGTCTTACCTTGCTGGTATGGCAGCATCAGGGATCATAACTTCTGGTTTGAGGTTAATTATAAAAGCAGCATTTCAGGATTCCAAGAATGGTCTTCGCAAAGGAGCTAGTATGTTCACCACCTTTTATCTTGCTTCCTACAAACAAGGAATTCTCCATTTCTTATGCTCAACTTTTTCCTTTTGGCTAATCCATCCGCCTTCAGCAACAAACTTATCTCTATCATATAATATTTAACAAAGAAGTTCACACTTGGTCTTTCTGCAATTTGGTTATCAAGACTAAACGTCCCAATTTGTCTATCGCAGTTCTATTTTTTGCTCTCTCTGCATTTTTCGAACTTCTCTGTGTTTTCCTCTATGCCTATGCCTTTCCAAGATTACCCACTGTGAAACACTACCGCTCGAAGGCAGCCTCAGAAGGTTCAAAAACTGTTACAGCTGATCTTGCGGCTGCTGGCAACAGAACATTCCAACAAGAAGAAGTATGTCTATTTTCCCTAGAGATATTTAGTTAACATAGTATTTATGCTAATTCATTACGCAATTTAACAATGAAATTTTCGACAGGCTGAGGAAAAGCCAGAAAGATTTGAGAGGCGAAGCAACAAAGAGTTATTATCACAGAACATTGATTACGCAATTGATCTGTTTCTGACATATGTAATCACAATGTCTATTATGCCTGGATTTTTATCTGAAAATACCGGATCACATAATTTGGGCGATTGGTGAGCCTTGGTTTAGAATATCCATGTGATTAATTTACTCTTTTAAAGGCTTTGTAAATTCTGAAATTGTTGATATTTCAGGTATGCCCTGGTTCTGATAGCAATGTACAATTTGTGGAATCTTATTGGTCGAAACATTATACTCGTGAAATCGTTGAAGCTGGAATCACGAAAAGGTCTCATGATAATCATTATCTCTCGTTTCTTACTCGTTCCAGCATTCTATTTCACTGCCAAGTATGCAGACGAAGGCTTGATGATAATGCTGACAAGCGTCTTAGGATTAACAACCGGTTATTTCACTGTCTGTGTCCTTACTTCTGCACCAAAAGGTTACAAGGTTTGTAGGTTTCTAGCAAGTTTTATTTTAGTTTTTATTTATTGTATTGTATTGAGTAGCATTTGTGTTGCCACAGGGACCGGAGCAAAACGCCTTGGGGAATTTGCTTACTTTGTTCCTTCTGTGTGGTATATCTGTAGGATCTGCACTTGACTTATTGTGGCTGATAGGCAAAGGATGGTGAGCTCATACTTTTGCTGAATTTAAGTGGAGACCTTTAAGAAATTCAAAAGATTTCAGTTTATATTTTTCCAATGGCAATTATAAAGAATAACTCGACCTTTTTCATCTTCTATTTGTAAAGTTCAGAAATGTTACCTCCAATTTCTGAGAGTAATCTGACGCTGAGCTGATTAATTACTTATCTTTGTTATGTCATGCACGTCAAATCTCTTAATTACTTGATTTAAATAAGTACTTTTCAGAATATCTACAAAGAGACAATGTCCCTATTGAATTAATGGTCTATAAAATAACTGAAGTATCCAACTGCCTGTTGGTATATAATAAGTAAATCTGCAATACATACAAATTTGATGTTTGCAACTAATTTTAGATCGAGGCCAACAAAATATTCATGAGGACTTAGGTAGTTGACGTAAACGTCGTAAAGACTCAACTTCATCTAAATTTAAAGCTATAAATTGAAGCAAGAAGCGTAGAACTTACACAAGAACCAAAGCCAAATAAGTGGTTATGGCAGCTCTAAACAAGTCCCTGATTTCTCCTTCTCCTGTTGATTGCAGTTTCAATGCAGGGCCAGCAGGTTTATTTCCATTTAAATTAATTCAGCAAAAGTATGAGCTCACCTTCCTTTGCCTATTAGCCACAACCAGTCAAACACAGCTCTATAAATATACTGCGAAACAAAGCAAGCGAAAAATGGAATTGTGTTCTTTGTAGAGGACTCCTCGTTTGATTTTATGCTGTTTGTTATGAAACTTATCAGTTCGTTCTAACTTCCTTTCTCTATCTTTTAACACAGTCCAGTCAATGCATTGTATTGGTTTCTTGGAAACGGAACCCTCTTTTCATGTAGTAATATGCTCACAAAGTAGATTATTATTGCCATCTTTTGCCGGTGCTTCCCATATCCATTTATGAGAAATACCGGGAAAAGATGACAATAGTAATCTACCATTGTCAACATGATGCATTAAGAGGAGAGAGTTCCATTTCCTAGGAGCCAACATACTGCAGTGTCAGGAAATATTCACTGTTTTAAAGGTAGAAAAAGAAGTTAGAACTTGTAAGTTTCTTAACAAACAGCATGTCTGAAATCAAAGAAAACAGTTTCATTTTTTTTGCTTGCTTTGTTTATTTTGGGCGGTATATTTACTGGAGCTAGTTTGGTTGAAGCAAAGGAAGGTGAGCTCATGCTTTTTTACTCACAAGTGATGACAGATTTCTTTGAAGGAAATTTGTTTATTCTGATTTGCATAATGGTAATAGTTTCCATTATGGTTTTGTCAGAAAATATATATAAGAGAAGGCAGCCGGTGCACGAAACTCCGGTGTGAAGAAGAGTAATAGTTTGTCTGAAAATAGTTGGGCTATAATTTCCACGTCCGTGACTAGTTGCATATTTTGCTGAGTTCCATATTTACTTCTATTAATAAATTGGGTGGAAATTAATGCATTAGACAAACATGTTGTTCTCAACTTACAAGGAAGAATAGAAATCTTTCATAAACCAAAAGAAAATGAAATACCATTCAAAAAACAAAAGAAAAAGAAATATAACTTTTCATCAAGATTGTGCCCAAATGATCAGGGAGGTGAAACTGGAAAACTGCCAAAGACTTTTTGATTGGGCCCAAATGATGGGGCTCATCCGTTGGGCTTGGGCATAGCCGTGTGTGCAGTATTTATCACTCTGTCGTTCTAATAAACGACTATTCCGAGAAAATTTTAAGCTCAGCTTAAAAAAAAAGGCTTATCATTTATGAAACGGACCGGTCGTTTTCCAGCCATTCGTCGTGTGGCTATACCACGGCAGGTCAGCCAAAATACGAGCGTTTAACTTTGGTTAATAATGCACATGTAATTTCGTGTAAATCCAAAATTTGCCCAATCGCCAGAGCCCGTGGGCCCAACAATGAATGAAATGCCTATTTTTTCTCGCATTTTAATCCTTAATTAACATTCTGTATTTCAACCACTAATTCTTAAAATTTTACAATTTGATTTCAAAAACAGAATTAAATTATTATTCCTCCTAAATATGTTCATTGAACTTGAATGAATCAACAAGCATGGAACAATATACAATAGCAAAGCTCATGTAAGCTGTCTCAAAATTATATATTATCTTTGGATATGGTAAACTATTTGTTTGAATAGTACAAAGCAATTTCTGCACTGATCGATCATGATTAATAGCCGAGACCTGATGTGAAACATATTTATATTCTCAATATAGCATTAGAAGACAAGCTAACTTGGCTTAACATGACGATTACAGGATATCTTGGCCAAACATATTGCAAGAAGACGGAACTATCTAGGGTAGTTCACAGGAGGTTCCAAGCTGCCTACCAGAATTGCAAGATCAATGTCTTTGTCTTCAAACTTTTTGATGAAAGGATGACTCTGAAAACATTAAAAAAAAAAAAAGAGTTAAAAATCATTATCTAGCTTTTCCCTTGGGTGAAAAACCAGGAAAAAAAAATCCAAAATAGACAAATCGGACACTAGGTCACTAACCAAGAGATCCAAAGATGATGCCCTGTCTCGAGGATTCTTCTGTATGCTGCAGTTACCATAGAAAACATAATCATGCACGTTACTAGTTAAAGCACTAAGAAATTTGAAAAATAGAGAACATGATAAATGGGAAAATTATTCTAAGACGTTTGAACCAGGAAACTTATTCGACCACTTAATATCCCCTGGTAAGTCCTAAGCTGGCTAGCAGTTGTGTGGAAAGATGAAAAAGGTATGCTTGTTTCAGTCAGTTTCTTGCTCATCTGCTCTTTTGGCTGAGGCATCGGTACTGAGGAGGTAGCATGTTTGGTGTCACGTTGAGGTTTTAAAATGTCAGAATTTAATCAGACTCTCTTATGCTGGTTCAAACCTTCATGAAAAGTCTGTTCCCTAGGGACATTGCTGCTATCAAGTGAAGCAATTATCTCAAATTCCAGGGAAATTCAAGTTGTTGCAGTTAGAAAGGACACAGAAGGATGGCAGAGAGAGTAGCAAAAAAATGCAAGAACAGGTTTATGCACCCCCTCCCTCCCCTCTGTTAATGGAAAAAACTAGTGCCTAAGAACTTCATAAATGACAAATGGAAACAGGATTAGAAAGCTACATATGTGCTGAAGCAACATAACAAAATTTGAAATAAATTTGTGCAAGTTATTACCAGGATGATACAAATGAACAGAACTCAGGGGAGAACTGATCTGGAGGAGCAGATGGTGGGGGGCTCTCCACAATGGCTTCTAAAAGCTCATAAAAACTTGGCCAGCTTTGCTGATCTTCAGATTTCATATATGGAAAACGCCCTATAGCACACTCAAGTACTACCAGGCCTAAACTCCAAATATCACTGCTATAATCGTAGGTGCTCCCACTAATTCGCTCTGGCTAAAGAGGGGGAGAAAAAGATCATTACAACTGAATTATGATTGATATAGAAACAGGTAACAACTACATAATTTTTTCCTTTTTTTTTTTTTGATTAGATAAGTTAATATGTGCTGAAGCAACATAACAAATTTGAAATAAATTTGTGGCAAGTTATTACGCAGGATGATCAATGTAACAGAAAAAGAAAAACGAGAATGTACTCAGGGGAGAACTGATTTCTGGAGAGCAGATGAGTAGAGCGCGCGGGCTCTCCCACAATGGCTTTTCTTAAAAGCTCATAAAAATTGGCCAAGCTTTTGCTGATCTTCAGATCTTCCAATATATGGAACGCCCTATTAGCACACTCAAGTACTAGCGCAAGCCACTAACTCCAATATCACTGACTTATACATGCGTAGGTGCTCCACTAATTCGCTCTGGGCTAAAAGAGGGGGACGAAAAAGATCATTAACAAACTGAATTAATGATTGATATAGAAAACAGGTAACAACTACATAATTTTTTTCTCCTTTTTTTTTTTTTTTTGGTGAGGCGGTATCCATAAATTAATGAATTTTTTCCTTTTTTTTTTTTTTGGTGAGGGGTATCATAATTAATGAACTGGTCAAGTTAATAGTTTTCGCTATCTTGTGCTAGCACAGAAATAAAACCAAGACATACCGACATGTAATTGTAAGTTCCAACAAATGTGTCCCTTTGGCCCATAGAACTAGCTAGCATTGCACTCACTCCAAAATCAGTGATCTTCACTTCTCCCTTCTGGTTTACCAATAGATTAGATGGCTTAATGTCCCTATGTATGACATGCCGTTCGTGGTGCAGGTAAACAAGACCCTGTAAAACCTGTAATAGATGCATAATTATCAGGAGAAAAGGAAGAAGAGATCAACCAACTATAATGATTCTTTTTTTCTTCTTTTTTTTTTTTTTGGCTTTCTAGATTTCCAAGAAAGAAGCTTATAAACCTGCTTACACACGACAGCTAGATAAGGCTCAAGAATGGTTTTAACTTGTCTAATCACATCCGCTAGAGATCCACGGTCCATATATTCCAACACAAGAGAAATAGCTCCATTGTGATAGAATGAGTGGTAGCAAACAACAACATGAGAACACTGCGAGGCTTGGTTTATTTTCAGCTCCTGAACAATTTGTTTGCGTATATCTTCTTGTATGTTCATCTGGATGACCTGTAATGCACCATTCAATGAACTTCAAGGTTATAAACAAATATGATTCATCAGTATGATCCGGAATCAGAAATGCCCTAATCATCCAAGAAATCTCCATTATCTAAAGTTGATGGAGTAATATTATAAATATTCAAGGCAAGATGTCAAATTTTCAAGTGGAAAATGAAGCGCATTCACTCCCTCCATTTATGTGCTTCTTATGGTTCAAAAGGACGTCAACAAAATAAATAGTCAGACCATTAACAGCCTTACCGATATTTCCATGTGAAGCAAACAAAACAAGAATGTAAACAATTGAAGTCAATATATTTGTATGATAATAGGTTTCTAGAATATCAATTTGTGAGTCCAAAGATTAAAAAGGCAATATAAAAAGCTTTTTATATTAGTGAAACAACCTTCAATGCAAAAAATGTGCCAATCCATTTATGACGAACGAGTTGCACTACACCTCCACTCCCCTTTCCAATGACTTTGATTGTCTCAAGGTCTTCCAATGAGAACTCAAAATCAAGTTCTTTGTTTTCTGAAGGCTGTCCAAATGGTAAGAATGAAATTAATAAAATATTAACTTCTGCACTGTTCTGTATATAATTCGAAAGAAAAGCAAGATCTAATCATTATAAGAAACCATGGAAAACAGAATGAAAGAGAGAGCTAGTAATTTTTCTCATTTGAAAGGAAGAAAAACTAATGGAATCTAACAGTTATTAGTCGTATCAGATAATAACAATTCAATCAACTGAAAACTAACTCGAAGTGGATATGAGATCTTTTTTATTAAAAAAAATAAAATAAAATAAATGCTACACACAGTTGATTACAAAATTACAGCACACTTACACGAGATTCCTTCTCTTCAGAGATAAGCCGGAGTCCTTTCTGATTCAAAAGTAAATCTCCATCATGAAATGTACCGCTAGCAGTCCTGAAATTTAACGGTATACACAAATTACTCAAGAATAAAAACGCACATCAGATTAATATTAAAAAGCAATCAACTGAAGCTTCACTTCTTTTTTTTTTTTTTTTCAATCTTTCTTCTAATTTTCAACACTTTGTAGCATAATCGACAAAATACTGAGATAAAAAAGAAACTGGAAGAGAAATTAAGAGAGTGAAGCAATGATAAGATAGACTTATAGATGACAAAGAAAATTGATCTATCGAATCGAAGTTTGCCATATAAATACATATGAAGAAATGGAAAGAGAGAACTTACAAGAAAGAGGTGATGGGGGTTTCTTGAGCTGGAACAGAGAGCTTGAGTTGTTGCAATGGCTTCTTGCTCTTCATTTTTCAATTTCAAATTTCTGCTAAACTGAACTATTTTGTTACGAATTTTAGGGTTTTAAACTTCTTTTTTTTTTTTTTTTTTTTAATAAGGGTTTTTAAACTTCTTTTTTTTTTTTTTTGTTTTTAAATAGTTAAAGAAAGAAAGCAATGAGAGAGGGAGGGGAGAAGGGGTGTTTCGTTGCTTATTGAGAATGACGATTTTGACCATCGTTGATAAAGTGTACATGAATTCAAACAAAGGAATTACCGCGCATTATTAAAGTGGGGAGGAGTTTAAATTTAGTCCCTATATTATTTCCAAAAATATAATTTCATCCTTTATATTCTTAAGAATTTACCATATTTAAATCCCTATGCTTTAAATCTAGAAAACCCACGTATAATTTTTTTTTTTTTTTTTTTTAAATAGTTAAAGAGAAAGCATGAGAGAGGGAGGGCGAGAGGGGGTGTTTCGTTGCTTATTGAGAATGAGTCGATTTTGACTCGTTGATAAAGTGTACATGAATTCAAACAAGAATACCGCGCATTATTAAAGTGGGAGAGTTAATATTTAGTCCCTATATTATTTCCAAAATATAATTTCATCCTTATATTCTTAAGAATTTACCATTTAATCCCTATGCTTTAAATCTAGTAAACACGTTAATGTAGTCAGTGGTTACACGAGTCATTTAGATTCTTTAATTTATTTTAATTCGATTGTTAGTAAAGCGGACTCTAACTTCTCACGAATGCTTATGGAATGAAGCAAGTATAATATTTTTTTTTTCCTTACATTTTTCTTTATTTTTGTGATTACTTTTTGAGAGAATAGATATCATTTTCATAAGATTTTTACATTTTAATTAATATTTATTATTATTTGTATTTTAAATCACACTAATTTTTCGCCATCGACTTAGCTTGATGCAAGCAAATATAATCATTAAAATACTTATAACAGTAATAACTACGGTGATTTATAAGTGCTAGAACTTGAAACAATATTTAAGAGTAATTGAAGATAGTTGTTAAGTTTTTTTTTTTAATATATTTTTATTTATGACTTTCATAATAAGTCATTGCTATGGATATTACTCTTAAAATCTAGATGCATTTTAAATTCAAATGATCGTTTTTTTTTTTTTTGTATTTATTGGGATTTAATTACTAAATTATATTGAGAATGATTTATTGAAAGGTTTGTGTTGGATTCTAATTTATAACTATATAAAGTTTTGGATTCTTTGATGCATTTTTCTTAGATTTCAATTTTGAATTTTGAAGAAGCAAAAATATTGCACTTTAATTTTTTTACATAAATATAACTTGAAAAATATGAGTAACAATTTAAGATCCTCCAAAATATTTCTTACCAATTTATACGTGCTACGTAACGTATTCTAGTTAAGTGTAATTAGGTATTATCCAATTGATAAAAAGGAAAGGGAATTGACATAATTTTTAAATATACGTATAACATTAACATAATTTTTAAATATATGTATAACATTAAAATGAAGGGAAAAAAAAGTTAAATAAGATAATTTTATCTACTTAAATGCACAAGTTTCTATCCTAAAAAAATACGTTGAATCAAAATAGACTTGAAATTAATTTTTTTTTTTTTAAATTTGTTATTTTTTATGCAAAATATATTATTCAAAATATTTATTTATGAAAGAGAATTCATTTAAATTGGGTTAAACTATATTTTTCACCCTTACACTTTCGAGTTGTTTCATTTTTATTTTAAAATGACTTTTACTTTTTGTCACCCTAGATTGCACTTTTTGTTTTTATTTCACTCTAATTTCAAAATTGGACTGAATTGAATAATTAAAAACATTAACGGTAGGAAAACGTTTTAAGAGGACTAAAAGGAGGCTATGCAGGAATATTTGACATTCTCCCCTCTTTGTAATCGTCCACACGTGTAAATTCCCGAGGAAAAAAAAATTCCATAGAGTAAAATGTATTTTACTATTTCCATTCTTTAAAAAAAATAAAAATAAAAAAAATCGAACGCGTAAGGAAACGTTTCGAAACGTTGCCAATCCAAATCACATGGCCATAGCTTCTTCTTCCCCCGACTTTAGCTTCGCAGAGACGAAAGCTTCCTTCCTTTTTGAAACGCAAAAACCAAAAACAAACAGTAAAAAATAACCCCAAATGCAAAATAATGGGCAACAAGATCGCGCGCACAACGCAAGTCTCTGCCACGGAGTACTATCTCCACGATTTACCTTCTTCTTACAATTTGGTGCTCAAGGAGGTGCTTGGTCGCGGCCGCTTCTTCAAGTCAATTCTCTGTAAGCACGATGAGGGTTTAGTCCTCGTTAAAGTCTATTTCAAGCGAGGCGATCCTATCAATCTGAGAGAGTATGAGCGCCGTCTCGAGCAAATCAAGGACACCTTCCTTGCCCTTGACCACCCTCATGTCTGGCCTTTCCAGGTACAGCTTGAATTTTCCTTTTTCTTCCCTGCATTTTGTTTTGGCGTCTAGCTAATAATATTTGAAGTTTTAGATAACTGTAGTTTGGTTAGAATTGAGAATATTTGAATAAAATTTTACTCAATTGAAAATTACTTAGCTATATAGTCGTGTAGACATTTGAAGACAACGGAAGTGCGAGTTCGAGGTGAATGTTTTGTTATAGAGAAAAATGACTGGTAACACCAGTGTGTTAGTCTGCGAAATTTTGATATTAGCCTCAGTTAGCTGAGTTATATGGTTGTTCGGAGGCTAAGGTGTTAAGAATTTTCTTAATATTTTTCGCTTACGTTACCTTTACCTTTTTAGGAAATGAAATTGATCATTATTGCATGAGCTTCTAATAATGTAATGTTCTCTTCCAGTTTTGGCAAGAAACAGATAAAGCGGCTTATCTTTTGAGGCAATATTTCTTCAATAATCTTCATGATCGCTTGGGCACTCGGCCTTTCCTCAGTTTAGTGGAGAAGAAGTGGTTGGCTTTTCAGGTCTCTGTTTGTATATCTCTTAGCTATCTGTCTATTTGATAAATAACTTCTCACGGGAGAAAGAAATTCATGTTCACATACCATTTACTGGTGGTTTGCAGTTACTTCTTGCTGTGAAACAGTGTCATGAGAAGGGTATTTGTCATGGTGAGTGCAGTATGCTCAGAGATTGTTGCTTTTGCAGTGATAATATTTTGTTTTATCCATGTCCATTTGCATTGCAATAGGTGATATTAAGTGTGAGAATGTTCTGGTCACTTCCTGGAATTGGCTCTATCTTGCTGATTTTGCTTCATTTAAACCGACTTACATTCCCTATGATGACCCATCGGATTTCTCATTCTTCTTTGACACGGGAGGAAGAAGGCTCTGCTATCTTGCGCCTGAGGTTGGTCCTTAACTGTTTCATAATCCTCTTTCTTCCTCTTCCCCTTCCCCTTCCCCTTCCCTCTTTTCTTCTAAATGTAAGTCTATATTTATCAGTAGTTTCTTATATGTCAATTACATTGTTTCCTTACAATAGGCCAACTGATCCTTGATTAAGAATTGTAATGAGCCACCAGCTGAATGACTGGCATATATTTTGACTAGAATTAAAGTTGCTGGTTTGCAGATATAAGTTATGCTTGTGAGGGACACATGCTATGACCAAGGCTTTAAATGTCATGAACTGCATTTGAAAACTATTTGCTGTTATACCTCTTTCCTTCCCCTTTTCCTTTATATTTTACAGTTTCTATATTCCTACAAGATCATGTGTCTATAGTGTATTATAGTTACATATCCTTATATTTTCAGAGATTCTATGAGCATGGAGGTGAGATGCAGGTTGCTCAAGATGCACCATTAAGGCCCTCCATGGATATCTTTGCTGTTGGGTGAGCATTTGCAGTTACAAGCATTTTTATTAAATTAGGGCATCAAATAAATGGTGATTGTATCAGTTTTTTTCCCTTTTAGAAATGACCTCTTTTCTTAATTTCTTCAGTAAATAATTGGTGAGGTAAAGCATGTTAAAATTAGCAGGTCCTGCGTTTTATCGTTTATTCTTGAACAACTCAAAATAAAAATTTTGTTTTGTGAAGGTGCTGGTTATTAAAGTTTTTTCATGTGCTAGAGACTTGGGTTGTAATCCTACCTGCTCCAAGAAATAAGGAGTATTAGGATCTTGTGAGGTTGGATTACGATTGTCCTTTTACCTGATATTATTGACCGTAGATTTTTCCTTTTGTCATGGTGGTTGTGGGGAGGGAATGGTTCTGAAGAAGGCGTTGCATTGCATGAGGCTTTCCACATTGTGGGCTCTAGGAAGGGTCAGATGTATGTAACGTTCCCCTTCTGCTAATGAGTTTGTTTCTGTGGTTTGAACCTGTTAGTTCAGATGCATGAAATCTTTCCATGGGTGGGGTTTAGTGTTCTTTTCAAATTTTAAAGCGAGAGAATTCAAATGCCATTTCTTGTAGGAGTTTTGCCATAAATACATCTAATATCAGTTCAACCAATCTCTTAGGTCATGCACTGGCTTTCTGTATTTTGTTTTCTGTTTCATGATGTGATAATTGGTTTATGGTGTTGTTGCATGTATATAATAGGTGTGTGATTGCGGAGCTTTTCCTCGAGGGTCAGCAACTGTTTGAACTCTCCCAGCTTCTTGCTTATCGTAGAGGACAGTATGATCCTAGCCAACATCTTGAGAAGGTTCTGCCTCCCTCCTCCTCTCTGTACATCTGTTCTAATATGCCAACCAAAGGGACAAAAAAGGAAAAATATTGTACTTAATCTCAACTTGAAGTATTGACTTTCTTCTGGTTTTGTACTTATTCGAAATATATTTGTATGTTTCCTATTAGCTTTAAAATTTAAGTTTTCACTTTCACTTGTGTTGTTCTGCCTTTATGAGACTTCTTATAGCGTGAGCAAGAATTAATAAATCAGTGCTCAGGTTACTTTGTTTTTTCCTCTTAAATTTTGTATTGGTTCTTACTTGTGCTTGACAAGTTTTTTATTAATTCATCTGCTTTGTGAATACAGATTCCAGATACTGGAATCCGAAAGATGATTCTTCATATGATCCAGTTGGAACCAGAGGCACGACTTTCTGCGGAAAGCTACCTGCAAAGTTATGCAGCTGTTGTGTTTCCAACCTACTTCTCACCGTTTCTGCATAATTTCTACTGCTGCTGGAATCCTCTTCATTCTGATATGAGGGTAAGATATTTTATAATACATGAAGTAAAATTGGTTGTACCTATTGCTATTAACATGAGCCTGGCTGCTGTTTTATTTAGGTTGCGATGTGCCAGAGTGTTTTCCATGAAATACTTAAGCAAATGATGGGCGACCGGACAAGTGAAGAGACTGGAGCTGGGAATAGTACATCTGAAAATGGCGTTAGTGGTTACCCGTCATTAGAGACAGTTGAAATACAAAACTTGGACTTGGCAAGGGACTCAAGAAAGAGAGAAATGACCGATAAAGGTATAGTTCGTGATCAATACAAGCTTCTTGGTGATATTAGTACCCTTCTTGGGGATGTAAAACAAAGCAATGACTATTCTAGTGTCAAGTTGATGCCTGAAAGTGCACCCAGTTCTGCATTTTCCCAGGACATTAAGCAATGCAGCATACAATCACCTGGCGAGCTTCTTCAGGCTATCTCCAATGCATTTAGGAAAAATGATCATCCCTTTTTGAAAAAGATCACAATGGATGATTTGAGTTCGTTGATGTCTGAGTATGACAGTCAATCTGATACCTTTGGCATGCCTTTTTTACCTTTACCAGAAGATAGTATGAAGTGTGAAGGTATGGTTCTGATTGCCTCTCTCCTTTGTTCCTGCATACGCAATGTCAAGTTGCCTCATTTGAGGAGGGGGGCCATACTTCTACTGAAGTCTTCTTCATTATATATTGATGATGAAGATCGCTTGCAGCGTGTACTGCCTTATGTTATTGCTATGCTCTCGGATCCAGCAGCAATAGTGCGTTGTGCTGCCCTAGAGACTCTGTGTGACATTCTGCCTTTAGTTCGAGATTTTCCACCTAGTGATGCAAAGATATTCCCCGAATATATTCTTCCGATGCTTTCCATGCTTCCTGATGATCCAGAGGAAAGTGTGAGAATATGTTATGCTAGCAATATAGCTAAGCTGGCTCTAACTGCTTACGGTTTCTTGATTCACTCTATAAGCCTGAGCGAGGCTGGTGTCCTTGATGAAATGACTTCAGCACGCAAGTCATTAGCATCATCCATTGAGACATCCAGACATCAGCAGAGGGTGAATAATAATTCACAGCTAGCACAGCTGAGGAAATCCATTGCTGAGGTTGTTCAAGAACTTGTGATGGGCCCAAAACAAACTCCAAATATCAGGAGAGCGCTCCTTCAGGACATTGGCAATCTATGCTGCTTCTTTGGTCAGAGACAGAGTAATGACTTTCTGTTACCAATCCTTCCTGCGTTTCTCAACGATCGAGATGAGCAACTAAGGGCATTATTCTATGGGAAGATTGTATATGTCTGCTTCTTTGTGGGCCAAAGAAGTGTAGAGGAGTATCTTCTACCTTACATCGAGCAAGCTTTAAGTGATCAAACTGAGGCTGTCATTGTTAATGCATTGGACTGTTTGGCAATCCTATGTAAACATGGCTTCTTGCGGAAGCGAATATTGCTTGAAATGATAGAACACGCCTTTCCTTTGTTATGTTATCCAAGTCAGTGGGTTAGAAGATCAGCTGTCACTTTCATTGCAGCCAGCAGTGAGAGCTTAGGTGCTGTGGATTCCTATGTTTTCCTTGCACCAGTTATACGCCCTTTCCTTAGAAGACAACCTGCTTCCCTAGCTTCTGAGAAGTCTCTACTTTTATGTTTGAAGCCTCCTGTCTCCAGGCAGGTATTTTACCAAGTTTTAGAAAATGCTAGAAGTTCAGATATGTTGGAGAGACAGAGAAAAATATGGTACAATTCGTCAACACAGTCCAAACAATGGGAAAGTGCTGATGTGCTCAGAAGAGAGGATGGGGAAGTAAATTCTGTGAAGAGTTGGTCTGACAAGAAATCAAGTCCTGATATTCAGAAACACGATATTAATGCATTGGAGCAGCAAGAGGATGGTGAGGCAAAGCTGAGAGCTATTGGCTTGATAAGCAATGTTTCTAGTGTGGTTGACATTCGTGATCCCCTAAGCTCAGAAAAGTTGCAATTCTCAGGCTACATGTCTCCACAGGTTGGTGGCGTGAATAGCTTCATACATGATAAGTCCTCAGAGGGCATACCTTTGTACTCTTTTAGCATGGACAGGCGAGCAGTGAAAATTCCTCCTGCAGCTTCTGATTCTTCATTGCGTATGAACTCTCTTGGAATTGGTTCATCTTACATGCCTTGGATGGATCCAGTAAACAAATCATTTAGCTTGGCTAGTTCTGTTCCTGCACCTAAGCTGGTTTCTGGCTCTTTCAGCATCAGCAATGGATCTAAACAGTTCTACAGAGTGGTACATGAACCAGAAAGCAGGGAAAGTGATCAGACATCATATGTTAATAGTAAATTTCAAGAGATGGGATTATCTGGTGCAACGAAGGGAGGATCTTTTACAGTGGAAGATGCTTCTGCTCCAACTGATTTAACAGGATTGCCGTCCTTTGCTCGGACTGCATCAGTTCCAGACTCAGGTTGGAGACCTCGTGGAGTGTTGGTAGCACACTTGCAGGAGCATCGCTCAGCTGTCAATGATATTGCAATTTCAAATGATCATAGCCTGTTTGTAAGTGCATCTGATGATTCAACTGTCAAGGTGTGGGATTCAAGAAAGTTGGAGAAGGACATCTCCTTCAGATCAAGGCTCACTTATCATTTGGAAGGAAGTCGAGCACTTTGCACTGTAATGCTCCGCAACTCTCCTCAAGTTGTTGTTGGAGCGTGCGATGGCGTGATGCATCTATTTTCTGTTGATCACATATCTAGGGGCCTTGGCAATGTTGTTGAGAAGTATTCAGGTATTGCTGATATAAAAAAGAAGGATATCAAGGAAGGTGCAATACTTAGCCTTTTGAACTACACTGCAGATAATAGTGCTAGTCAGATTGTCATGTATAGTACTCAAAATTGTGGAATCCATCTCTGGGATATTAGAGCAAATGCAAATGCGTGGACATTAAAAGCTGTTCCTGAGGAAGGTTATGTTTCTTCTCTGGTAACAAGCCCCTGTGGGAATTGGTTTGTCTCAGGATCTTCGAGGGGTGTGCTCACACTTTGGGATCTAAGGTTCCTCATACCTGTGAACTCATGGCAATATTCTCTTGTATGCCCCATAGAAAAGATGTGCCTCTTTGTTCCTCCTCCAAATGTCACATTGTCTAGTACTGCACGACCCCTAATATATGTTGCTGCTGGTTGCAGTGAAGTTTCTCTATGGAATGCCGAGAATGGGAGCTGTCACCAGGTACATGGCAATTGTTTTTATTTTTTTAATACACAACCTCTGGGGTGTTGCATGGGTGATAACTTGACAAGACGTGTTCACACACTTTGTGAACATTGAAAAAGTGCAGACAAAAATCAAAATATTTGTAAATTTACTTGTTGGGTTTTGATGGAGGAAAAAGGTGGTCTTGATGATTAATTTTTGTAAAGGCTGAAAATGGTTACTTTAGTTTATTTTATTTTGTTAAGGAAGTAGTTGTTGTGGTCTCATACTGCTAAGTCTTAAGTTCTTTGTTGTTTCTGCAGCTAATCTGATTAGTTGACAAGCTTATCCCTATATGTCCAACACCCCATCTTTCCCTAGATCTGATCCTAACCATCAGAGTTTTTCAACAAACTAGCCTGAAGTGACTAGTATTGAAAAGGAAATTTGGCTAAGGTTATGTGATGAGCACATGGAGAGTCCTCTTGTAACTTTATGGAATTTTTGTCTTATTTATTTATTTATTTATTTTTCAGGTATTGAGGCTGGCAAATTATGACAATGATATTGAAATATCTGACATGCCATGGGCCTTGGCCAGACCAACCGGTAAGGCAAACCTTAAACCAGATATGAGGCGGAATGTCAATCCGAAGTATAAAGTTGATGAGCTGAATAATCCTCCTCCCCGTCTTCCTGGTATCCATTCAATGCTTCCTTTACCTGGGGGTGATTTGTTGACTGGTGGTACCGACTTGAAGATACGTCGGTGGGACCATTTCAGGTTATTGCTTGAATTTTCCTTGTTCTCCACCTAATCTTCATCTTATGGCAGTGAACTGATGCTGCTTCTTTATGACTGTAGCCCTGAAAGAAGTTACTGTATTTGTGGGCCAAATTTGAACGGAGTTGGAAATGATGATTTATTTGAAATAAAATCAAGTTTTGGAGTTCAAGTTGTACAGGTATGTTGAAGTTTTCTAGATTCTTTTCCAGTACAGATTCTTTGAACTTTAAGCTTCAATTCTTTGATAAATTTCCATTTATTTTCTTTTCTTCATGCAAATAGGATTTTATTGTGGAGGTATTTTCTAAAATAATAGGACTAGTAGTCTGTAATTCATTATTGCAAAAGATCATCTGAAACTTGGTATTCTCAGGTCAAATTGTTACTGAAACAATACAATAATCTGAATATTAAATTGTGCTTGTGAGTAATTGGAAAAAAAGAAACATGGAAAGTTTGCTTTTATTTTTGTCCTCCTTAATAAACAGGTGGCCATTGTTCGTCTTTTCTATGTATTCTTATCTTATCCAATTGCATCAATGGTTAGCTTATTTTCAGTTGCAACCAACATGAATGCTGTTCATCGTTGCATCTTTTGAATGAAAATTTATGGTATCGTATAGTTCATGTTACTTATATTATCGGTCAATTCCTATCACTCTTGTCTTTACGTATATCCTTTGTTAATTTCACAGCATTTTAAGTCACTTAAAAGTGTTGGCTGCTTACAGTTGATGTTATAATAGGTGGCTGAATACCTCTTTTTAATTTATTTCCTAAGCATTTTAGGTTTGTAATGCCAAAATTATGTTTCTTCCCAACAGGAGACAAAACGGCGAAATCTAACACCCAAGTTGACTGCAAAGGCTGTTCTTGCAGCTGCTGCTACTGATTCTGCTGGCTGCCACCGAGATTCCATCCTCTCTTTGGCTTCTGTCAAGTTGAACCAGAGACTTTTGATTTCAAGCAGTAGAGATGGGGCTATCAAGGTTTGGAAGTAATTTAACCTAAGCATTAAAGTGCTCTATTGTACATATGATATTGATTTTGTATATAGCATATTAAGACTAGGAAGTTAATTTTCCTTTGGTTTTATTCTCAACCACTTGCCTATACCATATAACTAGCAACCCTCCAAGAAAGGAAAAGAAAGCCCTTTTAGGATTTGTACAGTGATCAGTTATACACTTCATAATTTATTTACTGAAGGAAAATAGCTGTGGTATCTAAGTGTTCATAAAATTATCTTCGCAGTCATTTTGTACTCTTGCTTATACATGTAACCTTCAGAGTATGCTGCCTCATTTTCTGTTCACCTGGACCTTATTATCTCATTTTCTATTGGCTACTGGAACCATCTAATTGTCTAGATAACAGTTATGGAGGTTGTAGGGTACGGAAGGTGTGATTACATTTGACAATTGATTGGATATTATCCTTAAATCCCATGCTATGGTGGTATTCTTTGATAGTAAGATGATAATGAGAAAAAAAAAAAAGGAGCACAAAACCCTAAATATTACTCCCTCCGTCCCATTTTATTTGCATGGTTTGACAAAACACACATATTAAGAATTTAGTCAATAAAAGTTATTTTGTCTTTTTTTACCCTTATCTAATTGTCTAGATAAACAGTTATGGAGGTTGTAGGTACGGAAGGTCGTGATTCATTGACCAATTGATCTGGATATTATCCTTGAATCCCATGCTATGGTGGTATTCTTGATAGTAAGATGATAATTTGAGAAAAAAAAAAAAAGGAGCACAAAACCTAAATATTACTCCCTCCGTCCCATTTATTTGCATGGTTTGGACAAAACACACATATTAAGAATTAGTCAACTTAAAAGTTAGTCAATAAAAGTTATTTTGTCTTTTTTTACCCTTAACTCATTAAGATATTAATAAAAGTTTTTCATTTAATGAAGGATCATAAAAGTTATCATGGGAAAAATAATTATTCACATGTATAAATTTCGAAACCTTGCAAACATTTTGGGACATCCGAAAAAGGAATAACAAGCAAACAAAATGAGACGGAGGGAGTATTTTATTTTTGTTGTTATTATTATCATTAAGGTATGTTTTGGCTCTTATGTGAAAAAATAGATTGAAAGACCAGCTACATATTAGATGGCTCAATGCATCCTGGTGAATACCATCTGAAATTTGGTTCTCTTTTCATATAAACTATGCTTATATTAGATGACTGTTGGAATGTAGGCTGTGTGAGTACTATCTGAAATTTGGTTCCGTTTTCATATAAACCATGCCTATTGTATGTCTAGGAACTCAGTCTCTATCTTGCTATTTTTTGGGTTTTACATTTCACTGCATCTTATTTCATTGTGCTAATGACCCAAAAAAAAAAATCCGAGCAACAAAAGTCAACAACTAACATTAGTCCTAAACTCAAGCATTATCAAAAAAGTGCAATTGTACCGAAACCTTCAGCTAAGATTCGTTGCCATTGTACCCATTTGATCTAAAGTACACCATCACTTTTTTGCAATTAAGTAGAATTGACAAAGAGTCGTGTCAGAATTGATTTTGGAGACGAGTGATTGTAAAACATTATAGTTATAATATATTGTATTTCATTTCAATTATGATCAAATGGGTAGACTTGCTATGAATATTTAAAGGTCAGGGTAAAATGGTGTATTCTGGAAGGTTTGAATTTTTGACCATTAAGCCTATTTAATTTGGTGTTATGTCTTGTGATTTTATGAATTGGCGTTGACACTGAATGTTGCTTTGTCACTGCATATTGAGTTTTAAGAGTTTTTCATATTTTAGGAAAGTGCCATTTAGTGAGAGTATTATCATTTCTATTCTTTTAATCCTGAAAATTTCATGTCATATTCCTGTTTTGCTTTGGGTTTCTTATTTGTGGTGTTTTGTAATCTATGCCAATCCAAACTTCTTGTTTCTAGTGAATTTTTGGTGTGCTCTGCGGCAAATTGTTATTATGAGGGTAATTACCTAATGACCTTAATGTTTCCTCGTTTTTTTTTTTGGCTTTCTCCTGTCCTTTGCAACTATTTCCACCAGAAAATGCCTATAAAACAAGCGTAGCAATATGAGAACATTTAGTAATCAATGCATACATCAAATGCAACATAAAGTTGCACCAACTTGGAATGGTAGGATGGTTGAGTAACAAGGAACTGACCATGGATAAGTGGACAGAGCTGCAAGAGAAAGAGGTGGTCAGATAGAATATGTTTCTAGGTAATAATAGACTAAATAATTTGCTTAAAGTTTAGCCAAGATAGATTCTAATGATGGAATTGGCTAGACTTTAGTTGGGTCACAAGGCCTTGTTTAGGTCTTTAGCGTTGGTATTGTTTTTTTTTTATGTTCTGCAATACTGAGATAAAGATATCTTGAGTTTTATAGTTGACAAGGATTTTGGTGATGGAATCCAATCCATACAATGCTTGCTCAAACCTTTTATTTGAGTTAATTGCTGATGATAATTGCAAATCAGAAGAGAAATTTGGCAAGATAGCTTTTTAACTGGAATTTCAAAAACATCCACAATAGTCTTTATTAGTTCATATTCTTTGTTTGTGTATTGTACATATTCATGTTAGTTCACCGCTGAGGACTAGCGACACTTGTCTGACAGCTCTGGAGACTCTCCAAACTTCATGTTGTACACTTTGCCATGACTCTGCAGTCTTAAGCCTCTTTGCTTTTTCAATGGCATCATCAATACCTGGGAAGGAGTTTGATCCGTAGACATTATGCTTTGCAGGTGCATATATCTGCAGGATATAGAAATATTAGCTTGATCCTTCTTGGATAGTTGGAGCTGTGCTTTCTCTTTTGCATATATGCTTTGATGTTTTCACAATGGGCTTTGTCACAAAACTCGTCTTTTTGTGTATGCTAGATTTCAAAAAGAAATTGGTGAACATGGAAAACAACTTAAATTAGGGATTCAGGAATCATTTAAGGAAGCACGTACCAAATGCTTATACCATGGCCTACCGGAGAGTCCATCTTGGTCTGTAAATGCTCTTTCTGCCATCATCAGCCTGTCATTGATCTCTCTTACTTTTAGGTGGTCTTTCTTCAATATTGATGTCCAGCCTCTGCTTTCTTCTATTGCCTGGAAAGTAATACTTCTGTTTTAGAAACATTCTTTATGCCTGTCTTGAGATACAGATGCTTTGATTATACCTTTCTCTTCTTATGTATCTTGGTGGCTGCTTTGGTTAGCTCGTCAATGGACTTGAACAATGGATCAAGGCTTATGCCCTTGTTTGAGATCACATCTTCCAACTCCTTTGCGCTTCTCTGTCACATATTAATTTGATTTCTTGGATTAACTTTTGTCACTGAACTCTCAGTCGGAAATTGTATACAATGTTTGTTTACCATTTCAACTTAAAGATACCTGGAGCTCATATGCATAGGATAGATAATTAAAAGGTAAAAACTCCTCATCTGCTAACCAAAGAGCAACCAAACCCCAAACGCTAGCCACTGTGTTTTCAAGGGCAGACTTAAGAGCAAAGAAAAAATTGGCAAAATAAAAGAAAAGAAAAATATATGTATTTTCAGGCATAGTTCAATTGACATTTTAGACTCTTTATGATTCATAACTTGGTGCAAATACCTTATATAGCAATAACTACCTGTGTGTTGGTTCCTTTTATGTTCTGAATGGTTTTTGATATGAATTTCTTACAAGTTGAATTGCTTCAAAATTAATATTTGTGTATAATTGCACATTCTATAATCAATATGCTATAAATAAAGAATATTGTGGATTGTTTTTGGCTGGAGTAAGATTTCATATTTTTAGATCCTTATAGATAGAAGTTTGATGTCAAACCTGCAACATGTCTTTGAAACATTGGATCACCAAACTTCTTCATCCAGATGAAGTCATCATACATTGAATGGTATACTGGGTAACCTGTGGGTGATTGTTAGCATCAGAAAGTCATCATATATGCATTAGTATATGCGTGTGATCTGAAGTAAAAGATTGTACTGAGGGGGGTCAGAGGATGTAATATTTTTGTTACCTTCTCCATAAGACACATCAGCTGATGCAACACCAATATGTTGCACAAAGGCTGCATAATCTGATCCTGCACGGCCTAATCTCCCAATCTTCATATACAAAGTACAAATTAGTGGGTGTTAAATAGTTTCAAGTTACATAATAAGCTGAAAACATTCACATGATAAGAGTCATCTTCCAGCTGTAAGTTATGCTCTGTGCAGTATGATTGCAGGTAATAAAATGTAGTTCGTCTTGCTTGAAAGGTTCATTAGGATCACATTATGAAGTGGTAGAATGAGATTAGGTAATGTTTACCTCAGGAGAGCTGCTGGAAACAATCCATGATTCGTAGATGGTCTGTGATGTGTTTTCTGGGTCTTTAACCTTCACAAATAAGTACTGAATGTGAATCTGATTGTGATGAGTGAGAGGGATGACTTGGTAATATTGTACTCCAGAGAATCATGCTCATACAGATATCTTGTTTTATTATTATTATTATTATTATTATTATTATTATTATTGTTTTCAGTATATCAAAAAGTTTTTAAGGGGAAGGGGGTGCTCTGGTTTGAACTTCTGACTTCCTATGGTACAAAGCTGACACTTGATCATTGGCTTACCAGCATAATGGCTTTTGGTATCATTTTTGAAATTGCTTTATATAACAGGAAAACAGATAGAAGAAATATTTTCCTTTCGTGGCTTAAATATCATTACTTTATTGCTTATGCTTTCTGGTGATGCTACTTAGTTCTAGTTATTTGGATACCTGCTGAGTAGCCTGTATGAGCAGTTCATCAAGTTGAGGAGTTGCAGAGGCATAAAATCCTGCTCCATGTACTGCAGAGTCAACATTTAAGTACGCTACAGACCCTGAAGCTAGCATTTCTCTGTTATCTTCAACCCACTCAGTTGATCCTATCTGGAAATAACACTTGGTTTATGTCACACATACACACGCAGTTGCATTCATACTCAAGTGCAAACACACAAACACAGGGAGAGAGAGAGACCAGGCCATATTCCTCAGCATCCCAGTTGCACAAGACAATTGTTCTTCGTGGTTTCCATCCTCTTTTCTGTAGCTTTGCCAATCTCTGAGCGACCTACAATGCATATCAAAGTTTTGTCAAGGGCTTATAGTTCTTATGCTATTATTTACTCCTATGCTATTATTTTCTTTGATTGAGAAGATAGTTAATAAGGCAGCATGTATTGGAGCCACAAATACCTCTAGCATTGCTGCTGTGCCACTGTTGGGATCAACTGCTCCAAATGTCCATGCATCCCGATGATTACCCAGAAGGACAAATCTAGAAGTAATTGTAGCAGGGTGATTAAATCATTAGAAGGGGCATATATGTTTTGCTAATTGCTTGATCTCTTCTTTTATTTTATTTTGCTTTGGTGATTACTAAAGTACTATAAAGGTGCTTAAATATACAAATTTAGCAGACAGATTACATGTTCTAGCTGTTTAAATGTTTCTCACCGATCAGGTTCTTCTGCTCCTTCAATCACACCAATAACATTTTGAATTGTTGCTACCGTCTGCTTTCCCTGAAATCTTGTCGATAGGTGGAGTCATATAGAAGTTCTTTTTGATAGGTAGGCCTTTTTTAATTTGTTTGTCTGTGTGTGCGTGTGTTTTCAAGTGTTTCAATTGTATGATGCATGAGATATATTCTATACTGAAACTAGGTTGTTGAATACTTACAGTATAACTGAGGTTTAAAACCCCTGGCCCTGGTCCAACCCTGTAAACTGGACCATCTTCGCTTCCTTGCCAGTCCTCATTTGCTATTTGTCCACTGATTGATCTCATAATTGTTTCACCATCAGTTGCTGATATTGGCAATGAAGGTATCAATGGAACATATCCTCCCTTTTCTACTTCATTATCTGATAACCTCTCGCAACCCTGGATACTTGCCCATCCAGGCGTGGTAGGATCACCAGCACCATCATAAACAGATCCTACCTGAACTCCACTTGGTGGCATCCACTTCGCGTATGGAAACCATCCTTCTCCACTGTCTCCACCGCCATAGTCTTTCCTGTCTGTATAGATGACTGCCCCTATAGCACCGGCCTCAAATGCATTATGCACAATATCTCCTCTATAAATTTTTCCATACCTTGCTAATACAATAGTGCCGGAGACATTCAACCCCATTTCTTTCAGTGTTGTATAATCTTCTACTCGTCCATAGTTCACATAGGTCGCAGGTCCACTTACCGTACCTGACTTTGCATATGCATGAAAAGTTGGTAGAACTTCATCTGCTACATCTGCATATGGATCTCCATCATATATCTCTTGATGGGGATCGAAAATGATCGGCTTTTCTGTAGGTAGGGTTGTTAGAGCTAAAGAACGCGAAACAGGATAAGTTAGGGACACATCATAGGAGGCGATGTGTGATTCTATATTGTAGGAATTGAGTGTAGATAGAACATAGGCTGCATCCTCTGCGTTGGCTGGTGTGCCGGCAACATGTGGCCGACGGGTGAGCATGTAGAGATTATGCGATATTGAGGCATTGTCAGATAGGGATTCAGATATGTAGAGGGAGTGATAGTAGGATTTTGGACAAGTGAAGAGCAAGGAGAAAGATGTTGCAATGGCAAGGAAGACAGCGGTGACTGTTTTGAACATGACGCTTAGTTGTTTTTGGTAACTTAGAGAACAGAGGTTATACTTACTGCTGATTGTTGTTGAAAAGGCTATTGCAGAGGTATCTTTTAGATTTTAGCAAGAGAAAGCTGAGTCAATGTCTTACTGGAGATTGCAGAGAAAACGAGGAAAGTTATTTGTCCTATTATTCGTGTAAAAATTGTTTCTGGAGTTGATAATGATTTTAATAAACAAACTTTATATTCTGCTTTCAAAGAAAAATACGAGTACGACACCATTTGCTATTTTGTTAGATAGTGGCCATATACGATATCCTGTCATTTCTTTTTTCTTGCTTTTTGATTGATTTGAGACAGGGACCATTTCCTACCTTTTATTCATTATCCAAGTGGAGGACTGGATAGTGATGAACTGGACGTCCCTTTTTCAGAAATGGAAGGCACGTCAACATGGTTGGGATTCCGTCGTCTATCTAATGTGACTTGCATAAAAATGTAAGGTTTGTGGATTTTATCTTCTCTCTGAGTCTCCTATGCGTCTTATTTCTGCCTATTACAGATCCTTTTTCTTTTTTAATCTCCGATTTTGGTTAATCTTTCTTCCTTCCCCTCTAACATTGGGTTAGCCCAACGGTTAAGAGAAAGTAGATGTCATTGACATCTTATCATCTGATTGACAAGTCTTTCAATTCAAGAGCTTGTTTACTGTAAATTTTACATAAAAAGACAAGATACCCTCTCATCAATCAGCATAGGGGTGATAAGGAGCTCGTTAAAGAGCAAAATACCGATTGTTATGCAATCAATTTCAACAGCTTTTTGATGGAAGTAGATTACTCAAGTTCTTAGGTTTGATGCTCCTCTTCCTGCTTATCCATCATGTAGATAGAGCTTCAATATTATTGTATGCAGGATTTGGAGATCCAAATTGTCAATTTTATATCTTTTATTTCTTCTTGGCCTTCGTTAGATTATGTATCACATATTATTACTAAAGTCTATTAAAACTCATAATCAATCATTTGATAGCATCTTTTCCTGTGAATTGCATTTGGTAGTTGCCAAATATATTGTCTAGAAACTATAGATAATTTTTTTTTCTCTCCAAACTTATGTAGTTTACAAATTAGCGTTACCTTTGAATTGTAATAATGATATTTCTTTATTTGATTGGTAAGTATATATCTTTTTGTTTAATAAGGGTCAAATGCATATGAACTATTATAGTTTTTCATTGTTTGTAAATTTTATATTTATTAAATACTTTAACTTATAAAATAATTAATGATTTTGAAGAAACATCAGTTGAGGATGAATGTAAAATTTTCTTGGACCGTACTGGTCTCCGGGAGCATGTGTAATCGAGGATGGTGTTTGGACAGATGAAGTCACGGGACCAGATTTGATTTCAATTATTAATCGTCTTTTTGACAAAATCTACATTTTAATATCTTCCTAGATTTAAATTTAATGTTCATTTCTAAATTGATTTTACGTTATTATCAATTGAGAACAACTGTCTCAGTTCCAAAGGCCGATGGAGGGGGCGGATGGGTGGCCGTGGCCCCCATCCCATAACATATAAAGTTTTTTAAGATTGACCTTTTAGAAAGTAAAAATTTTCAATTTTACCTCTTGTGTATATATCTTTTTAACTAGCCAAATCGATAATTAAAAAATGATTAAAATATTAACTTAATTTTATTAGCTAAGATTTGTAGGTATAATGTAATTATTCGGCATACCTTAAGCTATGGGCTAAACAGTCTTCTGAGCCAGCCCATATATTCTTCTTCTTCTTCTTCTTCTGTTCTTTTTATTATTTTGTTATTTGAACTGAGCCTATCCATTTCGTCTTATAATGATCTCTCCACCAAACGAATGGGACCGGTACTGCTACAGTGACACTACTCAAGAAAAAAGCAGAAGAAGAAAATGCTACTTTTCTCACAGCCAAAAGGTAAATATAAATAAGGGAAAGATCCAAAACCCAAACACAAATAAATTCTCTTTCTCACATCGCCAAAATTCTCTACAACAGCTACCTAAATTCAGTCTCATCAAACATTTGTTTCCTTTATCCATCTCTACCAAGTGGAGCCTACCAATTTCTTTTACATTAACAGTTAATCACTCTGTGACTTGCCACAATGCCCTGAAATAATGAAGCCATGTTGAGGACTGTTGAACTTAAATTTTACTCAGATAAAGATATACGTACCTCAAACTTAAACTTATTCGTAATTTATAATGAAAAGAATTATACTTTTATAGACTCAAACTCGAACTAGGCTTATTTAAATTTATAATTAAACTTGAGCGGATTATCTAGATTTATAAAAATTTCTTGAAAAAACAAGAACTGGGTTTTCAAATTTTCAGTTTTGATTATCTAATTTGCAAGCAGAGACTTGCTAATTATTAGGCTAATAATTCTATGATAATTATTCTAGAACGATGATTTATTGTTAGGTAATGGAAACATATAAAAAAATAATAATTAAAAAGAAAAGAAAAGAAGAAAAACAACTATCACTCATCACCTATTAAAGAAAGAAAGAAAGAATATATTCACCTTCACACACTAACACAAAGAGACACATTCACGGGCACTAGAAATCAACAAGAACAAAAAGCGAAAAAGAAATTTTTTTTTTGAAGAAACAACGTTTTCTATAACCAGAAAAGCGCAATCAGTCTTTGTGGCTTAGATTGTTTCTCTCACTTAACATGGATGTCAGTGGAAGAAGCACCCGTGAACTCCCTTTCTCTCAAACCTCACGTCACTTTTCACCTAAACCCAAGTACTAACTACTATCAAACCTTATATAAACTCTCCCTTCAGTCTTCGCTTTCATTTCTCAATTCTCATTCCATATACGTTTACAAAAAAATAAAGGGAGAGAGAAAGAAAATGTCAAATTCTAAACACATTCCCCGCTTTTTCTTTCTTCTTCTTCTTCTTATTCTGCTTTTGAACTCAGGGCAGACGGTAGGCCATACGAAAGGAATTAGGCCAAAAAAGTCTGCAACTAATATACCAACTGTAAATCAAACTAGAGTACAATTCTCAGAGCAGCAATTCATGAAGTGGGTCAATTTTGTTGGTAAACTAAAGCATTCACTTTTTAAAACTGCAAAGAATAAGCTTTTCCCTTCTTATACTCTGACTGTAGACAAGAATCCAGCAGCTGGTGATTTTACTTCTATCCAGGACGCCATTGATTCTCTTCCTTTCATTAATCTTGTTAGAGTTGTCATCAAAGTCCATGCAGGAGTTTACAAGTGAGTTCTTTTCTTTTATTTTCTTTTTCTTTTTTTATGTTTTTATCACAACTTGTTATTGAGAACATGTGCAATGTGATATATGTTTTTCTTGAATTATTATTTTAGTAATTTAAATTATTGTCTTATGTTTTTTGGTGGTCTTGGTTTTGGCTCTGCCTCTGCCAAACAAATTGGTCTGATTATGCAGAATCATGGATTCTAGAGTCGTTTTTGTCTATATTCACTTTCATGTTATTTCCTGTTGTTAATTCAATTTGAGAAATGGAGGAAAGTGATTCCACCTTTTGTTTTATATTGTGTCGTTTTCCTTTTCTTTTTCCTCATCTAATTTGATGTTATTTAGAGTTTGAACATGACTTCACAATTCTATATTCGATTCCAATATCATCAAGTCAAAATTGCTGACCTTTTTTCTACCAAAAATTCTCAATTGATCTCTTTGAATTTTTTTTTTTTTATTTATGATCGGAATAATATTATAATTTATATGCTAAATTAGTGAAACTCGTGTCTTTTTTTTCACATTTTTCTTAACTAAGAAACTTGTTTATTGGCAGAGAGAAAGTGAATATACCTCCATTAAAATCCTTCATAACCATAGAAGGAGCAGGAGCAGATAAAACCATAGTTGAATGGGGAGACACAGCTCAAACACCTGGAGCTAAAGGCCAACCTATGGGAACTTACAGTTCTGCAACATTTGCCGTAAATTCACCTTATTTTATTGCCAAGAATATTACATTCAAGAACACAACCCCAGTGCCTCCACCAGGAGCTATAGGAAAACAAGCAGTGGCATTCAGAATATCAGCAGATACTGCAGCTTTTTTGGGGTGTAGATTTTTGGGAGCTCAGGACACACTCTATGATCATTTGGGAAGACATTATTACAAGGATTGTTACATTGAAGGCTCTGTTGATTTCATTTTTGGGAATGGCTTGTCCTTATTCGAGGTAAGTTCAGTTAATTATTTGATATTCCATTTATAATTAAACAGTAGTTAAGAATGGTGGTGGGGTTCCAGGGATGTCACGTGCATGCAATAGCACAATATACAGGAGCTCTAACAGCGCAAGGGAGAAGCAGTCTGCTGGAAGACACAGGGTTTTCGTTTGTGAACTGTAAAGTCACGGGTTCAGGAGCTCTGTACCTCGGAAGGGCATGGGGTCCTTTTTCTAGGGTGGTCTTTGCCTATACTTATATGGACAACATTATCATCCCTAAAGGCTGGTATAATTGGGGCGATCCTACTCGTGAAATGTAAGTTCAATAGTTAAATTGTAAAAAAAAAAAAAAAAAAAAAAAAAACTGGAAGACACAGGGTTTTTCGCTTTGTGAACTGTAAAGTTCACGGGTTCAGGAGCCTCTGTAACCTCGGAAGGGGCATGGGCGGTTCCTTTTTTCTTAGGGTGGTCTTTGCCTATACTTATATGGACAACATTATCATCCTAAAGGCTTGGCGTATAATTTGGGGCGATCCTACTCGTGAAAAATGTAAGTTCAATAGTTAAAATTTGTAAAAAAAAAAAAAAAAAAAAAAAAAAAAAAAAAAAATTAGCAAATTGTATGTTTTTTTTGTTTTTTTTTGTTCAAAAGAAATTTCGTTTCTTTGAAAAATAACTCTCAATCAAAACAGCCGTCACGGGGCATTATTGCTTTCAGTGGACGTTTTTTTTTAAAACAACTGCTAGCTAGGCTTTAGTGGGCGTTTGGACGGCGCCATAACATACACTCGATAGGTTTTAGGTGAGATCAGCTTTTTGGAACGCACGGTTTGTCCTCTTTGTAACCGAATGACCAAAATACCCACAGAGATTCCTCGCGTCGTCCACATGCTAATCCATGGGCAGAATCGTCAAACGGTGAAAAAGGGGTGGTTACAATTTGGAAGCGAGACGCAGACCATGTATATATATCGTCTGTCTTCTTCCTTGTTTAATCTTTACTACTGCAAAATCTACGTGTAATGCACCTAAAAAGACTGCACAGAAAAACCAGTCCACCTAACCTAGCCATATACATTACTGCATCTATTTGCGTTAGCTTTTAATTTAGTTTATGGCATCTAATTACCTAACCCTAAAGTTTCCTTTCCCTTCTCTATTGGCATTTTCAGTTTGTTTTAACTTATTTGGAATTGGCAGGACGGTGTTCTATGGGCAATACAAGTGCACAGGGCCAGGAGCTAGATTTGCAGGGAGAGTGTCATGGTCAAGAGAAGCATCTAATTACCTAACCCTAAAGTTTCCTTTCCCTTCTCTATTGGCATTTTCAGTTTGTTTTAACTTATTTGGAATTGGCAGGACGGTGTTCTATGGGCAATACAAGTGCACAGGGCCAGGAGCTAGATTTGCAGGGAGAGTGTCATGGTCAAGAGAACTTACTGATGAGGAAGCTAAGCCTTTTATTTCTCTTAGCTACATTGATGGATCTGAATGGATCAAAATATAAACTCCTAGTCCTAAATGTCCTTGTCATGTTAATTACATCTCATCTCATCTGTAAAAAAGTAAAACTAAAAACCATCTTAGTGTGAGAATTTTGGCCTATAATTTTTATACTTTTTTTTTTTTTTTTATTTGATTTGATAAATTGAGTTTGACAATGGGCCTATGATTCACTTAGTGACTTAGGCTTGGGCCTTTGTACTAATTAGTTAGGGTTTTTTTTTTTAATAAAAATAAAAAAATTAAAAATAAGGGCTACTAGTACTAGATGTTTGGAAATAAAATTTGATCTGCAAATTATTGCTGTTTAAAGCTGGATTCATTCAGTTGAGCTTATTCTATTATTTAGCTGATAAATTTAATTTTTTCAAGATTGGAATTTATTTTATTTGTTCATTTAATTAATCATCATCCAACTAAATGGTAGAACGATGTTTTAATTCATTAGGGAAATATATTTAATACTTAAACCAAAACACTTTTGGAATTGATTTAATATATAGGAGGGTACGTTAACCCAATTCCTAATTAAGGTCTGCATAAAATTTTTATAGTTTGTTTTTTAATTTGTATTTACAATGCGACTCCAGTCACCGTTTCCAACCCTCTATTAGATTTGCATAAACAGTGATACAGTTACTGGTGAAGTTACAAAAGCTTGATAAACATGTCTATCTAGTCTTGAAGGGTGGCGAGGTTAAAAAAGGCACCTCTCTTGTTCTTTAGCTGCACATAAGTTCCTCTCTCTACCATTTTCCCATCTGCAACAAAGGCAATGGAATCAAGCTTCTTGATCGTATTAAGCCGGTGAGCCACCACAATGGTACTTCTTGCCACCATTATTCGATCCAATGCTTCTTGCACAACTTGTTCAGATTGCACATCAAGTGCACTTGTTGCCTCATCTAGTAATAATATTGTTGGGTTCCTAATTATAGCTCTTGCAATTGCTATTCTTTGCTTTTGCCCTCCTGAAAGTTGCACTCCTCTTTCCCCACATTCTGTCTCGTATCCATCTTTTAGCGACCTGCACAATACGAATGGAAAAATCAGAAAGGTGGGTTTCTCTCTATTTCATTAGCCTGTTCTTGAAAATGCAAGCTTTTGATATGGAAGAACATAAACAAAAAGTTAGAAATAGATAAGTTACCATATGTCTATATACTTACGAGATGAATTCATGGGCATTGGCGGCTCTGGCAGCCTCCACCACCTCATTCTCGGAAGCATCGAGCTTTCCAAAGACAATGTTGTCGCGGATGCTGCCTGAATAAAGCACAGGCTCCTGGCTGACAAGCGCGGTCTGCTTCCTATACCATTGAACATCTAGTTGTCTTATGTCTACACCATCAACTTTAAGTGAACCACTTTCAACATCATAAAATCTTTGAATCAATCCTATTACTGTTGATTTTCCGCACCCACTTTTCCCTACTAGTCCAATGCTTGTTCCAGGCTTCACTTCCAAGCAAAATTCGCGTAATATTAATGTCTCTGGTCTACTTGGATATGCGAAATCAATTTTCTTCATTTCTATCCATCCAGTTAATTTTTCTAGCTTGGTTCCACTGCTAGCACTGTCCCCTCCCTGACAAAGAAATTGCAAACTAATTTAATCAAACAGTTTCCAAAAGATAAATTATATATCAAAACTTAAAAACTGTAACTTACATTATTGGAAGAGCCTGGAATTAGAGATTGTCTGTCAAGAATCTGGAACACAGATGCGATTGCAGTGGAACCTTTTGCTAAATCAGAAGTCATGCTTCCTGCCTCAGCTATAACCTTTCCAGTGCTTACAAGAATAAAGAATGTTTTGAACACATCACCAGCTGATATCTCTCCTTTTTCTACTAAAGTCCCTCCAAACCAAAAATCTAAAGCCCATGACATGAAAGTTAGGCATTGCGCAGAGCCCATTCCGATTCCTGCTAGCCATGATTTTTTCCTTGCCTCTTTTCTTGGTTCCTCTTGTGCCTTATCAAATAATTGAAGTACTTTTTGTACACTTCCAAATGAAGTAACAATTCTATGGTTATATACTGCTTCTGCGGCAACTTGAGTAGAATGATTTTGTGCTTTGACAAAATTTGTTGTCATGCTAGAAAGCAAAACTTTTCTGGTGTAGAAACATAGAATTGTAAGCGGTTGAACTGAGATCATAACAAGTGCAAGCTTCCAAGCCACAACTAGTCCCATGATCATTGCTATGGTAACTGCAGAGGTTGTTTGAACTAATAAAGAAACTCTATCTGCGACAAGGGATTTTACCATGGTGGCTTCATTACTCAATCTTGAACATAAAGCTCCACTAGAGTTTTGTTCTTCATCGAACCAAGCCGCCTCAAAAGTCAATATCTTTTCTAGCATTCTCAATCGGATTCTCTTCGTTAGCCTCTCACCCATATAACCAAAATTGTAGTGCTGCACAAGATTCAAGGTTATAGAAATCAAGGAAAGTGAGCAGAATATTAAGGAGTATGTGCGCATTCGAGCATGGACTTGTTCATGGCTTGGTGCAAAGAAAGCTGATATCATGCCACCAATGGTTAAGGCATATACAGGTTGCACTGCACCAAAGATTATAGCTGAAAGACTTCCTATTAGGCCTTGCTTCCATTCAGGAGAGTTCAAAGACAAAAGGCGAGAGAAGGAAGGTGGGGGGTGAGATACAGGCTTTTTTGGGCTGTCAATGATAGGTAGTGGTGATGCAAAGATAGCTGGACTTGATTTTCCTGTGCTTATCCGGCCACCGCTGCTTCTTGCAACTGAAGACAAATGTAGTTGATCAGGGTTTTGTTCATGGTCATCACAACTGAACTGCCCTTGTAGCTTTGCTAGGTTAGCATAGTGTCCATTTTTTCTCTGGATCAGATCATTATGTGAACCTAATTCAATGATGCATCCATTGTTAACCACTGCAATGAGGTCTGCATTTCTTATTGTAGCTAGCTTGTGTGCAACCACCTGAAGATGCATAATTCAATAGCTAGCTTAGTTAGACAATATTGAATGAGATAAATTTGACTAGCAATTCTAATAAGATCTAACATAATTTGATGCAAAAATCTATTACCGTTTGAGCTGCTTTTGAGAAATATTTCACGGGTTCTAGTTATAGGAAGTTTCATGACAGCTAAACAATACTCTCACTGCCTATTTCAATAGAATATAAAATGATTCTCCTCCCATAAAAGTAGTTTCAATCTTAATCTCAAATATTAGTAGGATTAGTGAGTAAATTACCAGTGTAGTTCTTCCCATGGAGGCTTGATCAAGAGCATTTTGGACTAGTTTTTCTGACTCAGAGTCAAGAGCACTTGTTGCTTCGTCGAGTAAGAGAATAACAGGGTTCTTAACGATGGCTCTAGCAATGGCAATACGCTGCTTCTGCCCGCCAGATAAAAGTGCTCCTCTTTCTCCAACCTTTTCAAATTAACCTAGGCATGTCAGATTTAATCTATGCTGAAAACGTCTATATATATAAACAAAAAAGATGTGAAATTTATTTACCTTTGTCTCATAACCTTCTGGAAGCTGTCTTATAAAGTTATGAGCATTTGCAGCCATAGCTGCGGCTGTGACTTCATCCATTGTAGCATCAAGCTTTCCAAACATGATATTCTCTTTAATTGATGTCCCAAATAAAGCATGTTCTTGGCTAACAAGACCCATTTTTCCTCTTATCCATTTCAAATTTAATGTTCTTATATCAACACCATCAATCTTGACAAATCCACCATTAGCATCATAAAATCGCTGTACTAAAGCAATGGCAGTGGACTTTCCACTTCCACTTGCACCAACAAGGGCAACAGTTTTTCCTGCTTCAATTTTAAGGCTAAAGTCTTTAAGGACAGTGGAATCTGGTCGAGATGGGTATGTGAATTTGACATGTTCGAACTCTATTTCACCTTGCATTTTGTCTAATACAATTCCTTTTGTATCTTCACTATCAATTTCTGGAACTCTGTCAATCCTGTCAAATATTCGGGTGGCGGCAACAGATGCTTCTGTGAAGTACTTCAAATCAGGAAGTGCAATTCCAAGGGATCTGCATTGCATATTTACTGCCTTAATTTTGACTAACAAACACTCTTAAAAGGAAAAAAGTTAGCTCCTGAAAGTAAAAAAAATAGAAGCTTTACTTGTTAATTTGATAAATTTGTTTGTTCTTTTTATGCTTACAAGGAAACAAGAAATTAACCAAAAGGAATCTAAATGTTCTTTTTAGTAGTGCTCTAAAATTATCTTTACTAGTAATGTTCTCCTTTTGACTGCCCTAAAAAGGTTGGTGCCTCTTGATTATAATTTAGGCTAACCAGTAGTATTTTTAATAGTATATACTTAAGTGGAGGGAGAAAAAAAACACTTTGAATCTAGAAATAGTTATAATTAAAGAATAAAAGCACAAACATGTTCATCAACAAATATGCTCATGAAATATTAAGCTATGTTCTTCTTTACTAATTAAAAGGGAAAGTGTTAAATCTTTGCATGCTTTCATATTATATGCAAGATCATGCAACAAATGCAACTTTAATCCACTTTACAGATAAATGAATATATATTTTCTAGAAATTAATAATGCCTTTTTTTGAAAAAAAAAATATTACATATATAGAAATTCTAACTTTCAATGGAATCATTACAAATTCTCATGATGAAATAAAGGTACTTTCAAAAAGGAAACCCACATTTTGAATGAGGGATAATTAATAATTAGTACAAGGAGTTTATCGACTATAATAGAGTTCCATATATATATATATTAATTATAATCAGCAAGAACAAAACCTAGAATTACACAAAAAAGCATAGTATAACCATGAATTAAAAAGAAATTAACTTTAAGGTGCTGTTCTTTCCTTTTTCATAATATATATAACCATGAATTAATTAGTAAAAGAAAATTTGAGAAGGATATACAATGAACATTCATTTAATTAACACTTATCTTATCATTAATAAATTTAGCTGCTTTTTAGCTAGTAAATAAGATTAAGCAAATAGAGATAAATATGTTTGAAAGAAATATAAGTATGTAAATTAGGAAAAAGAATATAAAAGTTGAAAGCTACATACAGTCCTCCTAATATGAAGGAAATGCCAGCAGCATATATCCTCCCTCCACTTTCTCCTTTGTACATAACCAAATGACTTCCATACCAAGCAATAAATGCCCATATGGCAAAGGATAGTCCAGTGCTTCCTACTGCGAGACCTTTCGCTATGCCTTGTTTGATTCCTAGCTTTGATGTCATGTCCAATATTGCTGAATATCTATCAACAATCCTTTTCTCAGCAGTGAATGCATAAACTGTCTTAATAGAGCTCAAGGCCTGCTCAACAATGGCGTTTGCTTTACCATACTCTTTATGAGCCTTTTTGGACAAGTAGAGAAGGTATTTCCCATAAATCATTCCAGGTATTATTAACAAAAGCAAAGTTGGAAAAGCTACTAGAGACAGCCTCCATGAAAAATAGGTAGAAAATGCAAGTCCTGATATGAAAACTGTTGCGTGCATCAAAAATATGGGCACCTGAAAATAATTTTAAAGCAAGTGAAAATTGATAAATTATATATATAAATTAAATTTCTAAAGGAAACTACATGCTTTTAAGTGATTAATTAGATCAATAAATTACATAATAATAAATAAAAATGTTGTACCTTTTCACTAAGTACTTCTTGTATAAGAGAAGTATCTTTTGAAATGCTATTTATGATCTCTGAAGTAGTTGCTTCCTGTGAATCAAAGAACCCAACTTCTTGTCTGAGAACAGCTTCCAAATACTTGTATCGGATCTTCAAAACCTGTCGCTCACTGGTTTTGCTCCAACAGTAACCTTCTGTAACCATCAAATTTATATTATATACTTGATTAGATTCAAACTGAAATAGAACAATTAGGGTATTCTAGCTAGGGTTCCATAAAATAATGGCTCTCTATTGAAGATTTCAATATTGTGTCTCCTCAATTGTATACTAGCTAATACCACCTTTAGCTCTGTGGATGCTTTTTGGAATTGCAACCCATTATTGTCATCTCATCTTCACACACACCTCTAGCTAGCACCTTTCGTCCTAAGAAAGCAATATATATATATAGAAAAAATAGAACTTTTGAAATTACCCATAAATGCCATCGCCATGACTGCTAATCCCAAGTACACAAAATATAAGCTGCACTGTTAACAACACCAAAAAGGAAATGTAAGTGTATCAATTAGTCTTAAAGCAAGAAAATGAAAGAGAGAAAGAAAGTTGACTACCTTTTCAACTTCAGACATGAAATTGGCTTGATTTTGTTGGGTCGTTTTATTATTACCATAGCCTAAGCTGTTCATTATGCGGCTGGCAAAGACTAAAAGACAGTTAGTTGACATGCCATCTCCAATAGCTCCAATAGTACCCATAATCATAAGCAACATATCAACCCAATCTGCATATCTAAAGATTATGGCTATGGACTTGCTCTCTTCCCTTCTGATATTCTTCTCATTTTTCTTTGGAGAAGCCATTCTTCTGATTTGTTTCCAATTTCTCAAAAGATGACTGCTTTTTTCAGTATCTGCTAGCTATAGCACATTAGAAAAAGAGAAAAGGCCAAAGAGGTATTTGTGGCTGACTCAAAGAAAATGATTGCATATCTTCTTCTATATATACAGGGAGAATGCGAGCAGTGATTTTCCATCAACCAACCCGTGTTTGTTTTATGATTATATTAATCATAGTATAATTGCTTGGGGTGGTTAAATATATTATATTATAATTAATGTTATAGTGGTGGATACTTTCCATAAGATCAAAGCATGATTAAACCTAACAAAGGTCGAGTATTTTCAAGAAAGATGACTAATTGGCCATTTTAATTTGTTTTTACTCCTTGCTTTTTCTTTCATTTTTGTAGTTTAGTTATATATATTGTGATGTGAGATTGCTTTCAAAAAGAAAATGTCCCGTCTTGTTGGCTTTTTAAGTTCACTAGTAAATTAGCAGTCAAGGCAAAACGCTTAAGTGGTAATCCAGGTTTCATTTGGCTTTTGCAATTCTTGCAAATGCATATATTAGAAAAATTACAAAGACTAATAAATTATAAGAAATTCTCATGGTTTTTGCACAAGTAATGTAAGATAAACAAAAAAAAAAAAAATGAATTAGCCCTATTTTTTTAAAGAAAAATGTCTTTAACAAGCTTAATTAATTAATTAATTAAGAATTAATCTGTAAAAATTGATGCAAAGAAATAAGAAAAGTAAAGGAAAAAGGAGAGGAAAAGAGAGATTATTCAGTTGGTTAAACATATTACTATATTTTAATCAAAATGGGTCAGCTAAGTTTGCATTCTGTCATCCCACTACCCACATACATATATGTATGTCTGTAGCTGTATTCGTTGGACTTTGAAATCCTTTGTGCATCTCTCCAAATGGGAATCGAAATTTTATATTATTTAATTATAATTTAAACCTCTTTTCTTACTTGCCGTTCCTTTTTCTCCTCTTCTTCTTCTTCTTCTTCTTCTTCTTCTTCTTCTTCTTCTTCTTCTTCTTTTCAACTAGTATCCAAAGAAGAGCTGTAATAGAGATCCTCTCTAAACCCTCCCACTGAAAGTATGATTAGACAAATTAAGCTAAATCGAAATGATGACTGATTAAAGCGATCTTCCCCAAAATTCATTTTCCTTTTTAAAAATATTGTTCAATAACTATATATAATAAATTAATTTCATTAGATAAGATATATAATATAATCTCTAACAGATTGTATAAAATATACGTAAGAGATTACATGAAATATGTAATCTCTAGTAGGACCAACATCTACATATTCTATAATTATACACAAATTGATGGAATAAAATCTAATAATCCCCAATAACCATATATTACAAAATCCAATAATGTATTTTTTTATTTATTTAAATTTCCATTACTAGGCAGGATCCATTATGTATAAATCATGTGCAATGTCTGTTTATTTTCTTATTAGAAAATGTTATCTTCATATATAATGGCATTCGATTCTTTGCACATAGAATAAAGTACCTTTTACCAAAGTTATTTCTTCATAAATTATTTTAATTTATCAATATATTACAGGATCTTTATCAATCATCATCACCCTGAAAGGAAAAAAGATCAATTCTTCTTGATGTATATAATAGGTAGGGTACTTTCTTTTATCAAAAAAAAAAAAAAAAAGATATATCATCCCCAATAACCATATATACAAAATCCCCAATAATGTATTTTTTTTATTTATTACAATTTCCAATCTAACTATGCACGAGCGGTAATCCTCCAATTTATGATATAAATCAATGATGGACCCTTTTTATGTTCTGTTTTTTACTTTTTTCTCTTACTTAATTAGAAAAAATGGTTAATCTTCATTTATATAATGGGGTCATCATTTTTACGGATTCTTTGTCCAATCCATAGTTATTATAAAGTACACTCTTCTACAAATAAATATTTTTTGCTTCGGTTAATTAGAAAGTCATTTTAATTTATCCATATTCTTATATATTTTAACAGGTATATCTGGTATATCCAATCGATCATCACCTGTGAAACAGGGAAAAAAAGAGTGCATATTACTTTCCTTGATGTATATAAGTACGGTAGCAAGAGAACCCACCAGGTTACTTTACTTTTTATCAAAAAAAAAACAAACATTAAAAAAAAGGAGTTTCCTAGATTCAATCTATCATATCATACTTATTACATGAGAGAAGTATATTAGAAATGGAAATTATTAGATATAATTACTTGAGTATTACTATTCGTTTTGATGGTATACTGAATATATTTTGCCTTAAATAATTTAGCCCTTCTTAATTTGATGAGCCCTAACTAGCCACTATAATGAAATAGGTTCAAGTGTGCCTTGTTTAACTGACGAACAAAAAAAAAAAAAAAAAAGATATATCATACTATACATGAGAAGTATATTAGAAATATTATGTATAATATATATTCTATTCGTTGTGATGGATTTGATATATTTTCATTAATTTATTTCTTAATTTGATGCCTAATTGCATATAAGAAAAGGCTGTTCCTTTTAACTACTACGTTCTGTACCAAATCCGTTTTTTAAAAAATAAAAGCTTTGTTTAGCTCATTTTTTTATTTATTTTTTGAAATAGAACATATAGTTATAACGTTATATACCATTTGAATTCCACAGTTGTATAGATTAATTTGCAAATGTCTATAAAAAACAATAATTTCAACCTTTTTTTTTTCTCTTTTGAGTGTGGATAATTTGTTTCATTTTTTTTTTTTAATTATTGGCAAAAGAGAATTTGTCCTTGATAAATTATTATATTTGAGTGCCACGTACCTCGGTCTGGACATGTGAAAAAAATATTCTTTAATTATCAATTATTGTACATTTCTGGGATAATAAATGAATAGAAATTGCTATCAACTATCAGTTGGTCCAGTGGAATGAGGTGTTGGATCCTTTAAACAACGTTCAGGATTCGAACCTTAACGTTGTAAATGTAAAAAATTGGATTGGGAGACATAATGAGTCTCTGCAGAATCCAAGTCTAAATTAATCTGCTATGCCAGAAACTAAATAGTTTAACAAAATAAAAAATAAAAAATGTTAAAAATTACATAAACGTGAATATATATAAGCCGGCTTTTCCGCCAAAATTTTAGGTAATTTAATAAGAATTGGATCGTTGTCCAAATAATCCCATCATTCTCCGTCCAACATTAGGCTACAAATCTCAAAGACAGTGCTAATACCAAATTAGTGGACTTAATAAACAATTATAGTTGCTGTGAGACAATGTGTTTTTCGTTAAATAAATCGCATGAAAGCACTACTTTCTTTCACTCTTTAGAGTGTGAACCAATTTTTTTACCTTCTTTTAATTTTTTAATCTTTTAGGTCATAATCAAGCCCTACGAAAATAATAATTAATCTTGGTTTTGTAGTATTTTTCATTTAATAAGCATGTGAATCACGTTTTATATATATATATATGGTAATGGTATTACTTAAAAAAAAAAAAAAAAAAAAAAAAAGATCATGATAGTCTAGCAGCTAGAATTGGTCACTTTTTTGAATTTTTTATCTATTTAGAATTATTTCTTATAACCTCATATTTTATCTCTTATATCCATGTGTATGGAGCTGCAAATTTAAAGTCAATAGTAAAGTTGCAATTGAATTAAATTTTGAAAATGCTGAAAAATGAGAAAGAAATCATTTGATTGGAGAGGGAAACTGTTAAACATGTGCATCAGTAGCTGATTATTCTACGGAGTTTCAGTAAGATTATCTAGTTCAGTTTCCTTAGCCTATTTTTTAGGAGTTTGTTATTTGACCATCTTTACTAGCTGTTACTGCTTACTAGAGTTTAGCTAAGTTTGTTGTTGTTTTTTCTATTTTTCCTGTTACGATGTTGTGTATTTAAGCAATGCATCAGTGAATAAAATAATCATCTTTCTCAATCCTTCACTACTATTAACCTTTTTTTCTTCTCAAAGATCATTAGTCATTTACCAACATATTGGTATTAGAGCTCTTTTTATTAAGGATCTGTACGTGAGCCAAGAGAAACCCACCATAAAACCTTAGGTTCCTAGATTCAATCCATAAAATGGATTCTGATACAGCACTAGCACCACCAGTGTTTAAGGGTGAAAATTACCAATTATGGGCAGCCAGAATGGAAGCCCACCTAGAGGCGAATGATCTCTAGGATGCTGTTAAGGAGGACTACGAAGTTACTCCCTTGACAAATAATCCAACCATGGCTCAACTGAAGAGTCATACTTTAAGAAAAACAAGGAAGTCGATGGCAAAAGCTACCTTGTTCGTTGCTGTCGCACAAGAAATCTTTACAAGAATCATGAACCAGAAGTCAGCATTTGAAGTTTGAAATTTCCTCAAAACTGAATATGAAGGAGATGAAAAAGTTAGAGGAATGCAAGTGTTGAATCTGATTCGTGAGTTTGAGATGCAATGAATAAAGGAGTTAGAGACAATCAAGGAGTATACAGATAAGCTTCTTAGCATTGCTAACAAAATAAGGTTGCTTGGTTTTGAATTTTCTGATTCTAAACTTGTTCAGAAAATACTTGTAACTATTCCCGAAAGGTTTGATGCTACTATATCATCCATGGAGAGTAGCAAAGATTTGTCAAAGTCACCTTAGCAAAACTAAACAATGCTTTACAGGCTCAAGAACAAAGGAGATTGATGAGGAGTGAAGGTTCTGTGGAAGGAGCATTGCAGGCTAACTTACAAATCAATCAAGGAGAGAAAGACAAGAAGAAGAGTTATAAGAAGAGCTTAAATCCACGTGATACAACTAGCAGCAGCAAAGGAGAAAAGAAGAGAGATTTTCCTCCGGCAAACATTGCGGCAAAAAGGGTCATCCTCCTTTCAAATGTTGGAAAAGACCCGATGTGAAGTGTGGAAAGTGCAATAAACTGGGGCACCATTAAAGAATATGCAAAAGCAATTTCCAGCAAAAGGACGATGCCCAAGCAACAAGCGAGCAAGAAGAAGAACAATAGTTGTTTGTAGCATCTTGTTTTACAAGCACCAGCTCAAGTTCAAGTGATTGTTGGCTCGTAGACAGTGGTTGTACCAATCACATGACCGGCGATGAAGAACTCTTCAGAGAGTTGGATAAGTCACAAATATCCAAAGTCAGAATTGGTAATGGTGACTACATTGCTGTCAAGGGAAAGGGAATTGTCGGCATTGAGAGTTGCACAGGTACTAAATTAATTTCTGATGTTTTGTATGTAGCTGACATTGATCAGAACTTACTGAGTGTTGGGCAACTAGTTGAGAAGGGATTCAAAGTCTTTTTTGAAAACAAGCAGTGTATGATCAAGGATGCTTATGACAATGATGTCATAAGAATTAAAATGAGAAGCAAGATTTTCTCACTTGATCCGATGGAGGGGGAACAAGTAGTTTATATTGCTACTACAACTAGCATAGAGACTTGGCATAAGAGGTTAGGTCATTTTCATCACGCAGCAATTTTGAATATGCAAAAGGAGTTGGTATGTGGTTTGCCTCACATTGAATCCAATCTACCAATCTACGAGGTGTGTCAATTTGGTAAACAAGCAAGACTTCCTTTCCAAACAGGAGCCTGGAGAGCTACTGAGAAGCCGCAACTTATTCATACAGATGTGGCCGGACCTTATAAAACTCCTTCACTCAATGGGAGTAAATACTGCATTGCTTTTATTGATGATTTCACAAGGATATGTTGGATCTATTTTCTCAGGTTTAAGTCCGAGGTTGTAGGTGTGTTCTTAAAATTCAAGAACTGGATTGAAAACCAAAGTGACTATAAAATTCAAGTTTTGAGGTCAGATAATGACAAGGAGTATACCTCCAATGAATTTGATAAATTCTGTGAGAGGGCTGGAATTGAGCATCAACTTACAGCTCCATACACTCCACAATATAATGGGGCCAGTGAGCGAAAGAATCGAATAATAATGGAGATGACCAGATGCATGCTTTATGAGAATGATCTTCCGAAAGAATATTGGGTAGAAGCAGCAAATACTGTTGTATTTTTGCTCAACAGGCTTCTCACAAAAGCAATCAATGGAAGGGCTCCTTTTGAGGCATGGTATGGTTATAAGCCACAAATAAAGAATCTGAAAGTATTTGGCTGGTTGTGTTTTACTCATGTGCCGTAGATCAAACAAGGCAAGTTAGATAAGAAAGCTGAGCCTAGCGTGTTTATCGAATATAGCTCAACATCTAAAATTTATAGAGTTTTTCAACCTGACACAAGAAAAATTCTAGTAAGTAGAGATTGAACTTCATGGAGAAGGAAAAGTGGTGCTGGAGAGTGCGGAAAACCAGCAATTTCATGATCTTCAACATGATGAGATAGTTGATGATCCTTTTGTACAAGGCACCAGATCACTTACTGGCATATATCAAAGATGCAATGTTGCTGTGCTTGAACTAGCAGGATATCAAAAAGTAGAGAAAGATCCTAAATGAAGGGTTGCAATGTAGGAGGAGCTTGCTATGATAAAAAAATCAGACCTGGGAATTAGTTGAAAGGCCTCAACATCAAAAGGTGATTGGAGTAAAATGGGTGTTCAGAAAAAAGGAAAATGCAGATGGCTCAATCAACAAATATAATGCAAGGTTAGTGGTAAAAGGGTATGCTCAAGTTTTCGGAGTACATTTCTTTGATACTTTTGCTCCTGTAGCGAGGCTCGACACAATCAGAATGCTACTAGCCATTGCAGCATAAAGGCATTGGAAAATCTACCAACTCGATGTCAAGTCAGCCTTCTTAAATGGCTTTCTAGAGGAAGAAATTTATGTCGAGCAACCTAAAGGCTTTGCTGTGAAAGGAAATGAAGAAAAGGTGTATTTGTTGAAGAAGGCGTTGTACGGCTTAAAGCATGCTCCTAAGGCCTGGTATAGCAGAATTGATGAATACTTGCTCAAAATAGGTTTTGTCAAAAGTCTTAGTGAGTCCATGTTATACGTTAAAGATGACAAGAATAACTTTATGGTGGTTTCCTTATATGTGGATGATCTTTTAGTCACTGGCAGCAACTTTGAACTTATACAACAGTTCAAAGAAGATATGATGCAAGTGTTTGAGATACAGATCTTGGAGAAATGTCTTATTTTCTTGGAATGGAAATCAAGCAGAGACAAGGAGAAATATTCATCTGTTAACATAAGTATACAAAGGAGATTCTGAAGAAATTCCACATGGATAATTGTAAGAGCATGAGTACTCCTATGTGTCAAAAAGAGAAGCTATGCAAGGGTGATGGAACTGCAAAAGTGGATGAGTCCATATACAGAAACTTGATTAGTTGCTTGATGTATCTCACTGCAACAATGCCAGATATCATGTATGTTGTAAATGTTCTTTCAAGATTTATGAATTGTTCTAATGAGTATCATCTCAAAGCTGCAAAAAGAGTTCTCCGATATGTCAAGGGAACTTTAAGTTTTGGTGTTAAGTTTTATTTGTCATAAAGTTTTGAGTTGCAAGGCTACTCAGATATTGATTAGGCTGGGTCTTTGGACGACATGAAGAGCACATCTGGTTTCTATTTCAGTTTTGGTTCAGGGACATTTACTTGGAGTTTGAAGAAATAAGAGGTAGTTGCACAGTCTACCACTAAGGCAGAGTTTATAGCTGCAACAACAGCTGTTAATCATGCTCTATAGCTCAGAAAAATTCTGAGTGATTTGTACTTGGAACAAAAGATGAGCACGAAAGTTATGGTGGACAATCAAGCAGCCATCGCCATTTCCAACAATCCATTTTTCCATGGAAAGACAAAGCATTTCAGTATAAAATTATTCTTTATCAGAGATGTTCAGAAGAATGGAGCAGTTCGACTTAATATTGCAAGACTGAAGAGCAGTTCACAGACATATTCACTAAACATCTTGCCAAGAGCCGATTTGAAGACTTGAGAGAGAAGCTTGGAATTTGCACCTACTGATACAAGGAGGAGTGTTAAACATATGCATCAATAGTTGATTATTCTGCTGAGTTTCAACAAGATTATCTAGTTCAGTTTCCTTAGCCTATTTTTTAGGAGTTAGTTATTTGACTCTCTTTACTAACTGTTACTGCTTACTAGAGTTTAGCTAAGTTTGTTGCTGTTTTTATATTTTTTCTGTTAAGATGTTGTGTATTTAAGCAATACATCAGTGAATAAAATAGTCATCTTTCTTAGTCATTCCTTCACTACTATTAACCTTTTTTCTTCTCAAAGATCATTAGTCATTTACCAACAGAAACTCCAATTACAAAACAACTTATCGACTTTCTGCAACCACATTGGGGCCTCACCTTCCTTAAATCATTTACATGGGTTGTTGTTTTAGTAGATCTTATAAATATATAGGGCTGTCTTTTCTTTATGCATATTTCACTGTTTCTATTTAAGCTTATGAATATTTTTTGCTATTTTTTTTTTTACCAAATTTCATTCATTATCCAAGGAGAACAGTTGAGATTTATAAATTTTTTTGTTTAAATTTCATTTGCTATTGATGTAATTTAGAGAAATTTTTATGTTAAAGATATATCCTTGTCTCTTTCCGTTTTTATGTCAAATTCTTTTGGAAGGATTTAAAGTGATGCGGTACAGTAGTTCAAGTATTTAGTTGTGCAATGGGAAATTGTTAAAGTTATTTTTAATTTTGATAATCTTCGTGCCTTTTGGAAGAGTTTTAGGATCCTTTTATTTTTTAAACTGTAATTTGTCAATTACTAATAAATTATATACAATTTTAGTAAATACATTAATAACATTTTTATAGTTTTATATTTAAAATTCATCCAAATTCATAACATTTATTTCAAATTTAGTTTCATAATGTATCTAAATTATTATGAAAAAGTATCAATCATTTATATTATGTTAAATCTAGATATAAAAAGTAAAATCAATATTTTTTAAATTTCAAATATTATAAGAGTTAATTATTGTTATTAATAAAAAAATTTTCAGTATAGAATTGCAAATTAAAAACTTATCAAAATAATTCAATGATAATAATTATCAAATAATATGTACATTCCCGCACGCGAAGTACGGAATCATGACTAGTTAATTAATATATTATACTAAATCATAATATTTTTTTAACTAAAATAAATTCATTTATTAAAAGAAGAGTACATAAAATAAACTTACTAAATCAAACCTATTATATAAGTTCGAAAAAAACTAGTATTAGTGACTTCTTGACAACAACAGCTTACATATAAGTTACAACTGAAAGTGACTTGTTAACCGCTGGTTTCGAAGGGGATAAAATCATACCTCTTGATGAGTATCCCTATAATGAGAAAATGAAGAAACCAATCTTTTTCCAGCAAGGCATCTTTCGAATTTCCATAGTGTGATTGTGCTTCTACGTTGAATTTATAGATAAAGTCACTCATCCCATTTGGCAATGTTCTTCCTGGTTAGCATCCCTATACTGTGGACCAGAAGAGGGTGACCTTTGTCCAGTAAGAAATGCGAAAACCTGCTTCAAATTTCCCCTAGATGGTCGAGCACTTACTGCAAATTTGCATATAAAAACAAGTCGCCTTCGCATCTCCCACTTAGTAATACAGGTATTGTGAAAGGATTCGCCATCGTCAAAGGTTCCTATTGAGAAATCAGAAAGTTCGAAAATGCTTGAGAAACTGAAAGCAACCTTCTAAATTCTTCTGATATGATTGAAGGAGCACACGAAACTGACAGGTGACAGCAAATCAAATGAAATTGACAATGGTATCCCAATTATATGTCGGTATCATAGAAAATCCATTGGCCTGCAAAACTTTGCTAAGATGAACAATTCATCAAGAAGGAAAGTACAGGCCCAAATAATACATGCTGGGAAAGGCAGTAGGAAATGTTGCACCAACACCGAATCAGACAACAAAAGAAAGGGTTAAAGATGAACTTTTCCTCCATTTCTCAGGCATCAGAAATTATTTTATCTTTGTGGAATATGCATGCATCTTACCCGCGTCACTGAATAATGATGTCAAAATTGCCAGACAAACACATATGCTGATATCTTCCCCTGCAAACAGTATATAATAAATACATCAGCAGTACTCGAACCATGCGCAGGCGTCAGATGGAAATAAAATTTCTATTCAATTCTTCCAGCAATTCTAGAAAGCACTGGTATATTAATATACTGATTCAATAGTTAATTAGCTCTACAAGCGCCAAAAACAATAAACCAACCCAAGATGTGACAATCAGAAACTAGAAAGTGATAATTACAAAATGCAAAAAGACAAATTTGGAATGCTGCAACTTAAAAATCAATAATTTCATATCTCTCCACATTGAAGCCTATCAAGCAGTGCGATTCCAGTAGGCAAGACAGCATTTACAGATACTTACCATTGCAGCAACAAACTAGAAGTTTATTCCCCTTGCTAAGATTCACTTTTGCAAAGTTCACTGCTGCAGGAAGATTGCTTAATATGGAAAATCGATCAAGTTTTGAGCTCTGCACAACCAAAAAAAAAAAAAAAATTCAGAAAAAAAGGAAAATAAAAAGTGTTGCATTGATGAAATAATTAAATTGCCATCTCTTTCCTTTCATACGCACCACCATAGGAAGATGCAAATATGCTTCACTATCTTGTAGACAGACTGAGCAAGAATTTTGATCACAGTTCAAGATACAATCAACATCAGACACATGTGCAGCTGCAAGAAAAGAGGGAAGAGAGATAGGAAGGATATAATTGAAAGTAGGCGAACAGAAAATTAATGAGAAACATAAGGGTTACTGCCTGTGTACAGATGGAAAAGAGAAATAAAGAAGAAAAGGGAACACCACATAAGGCCTTCTTGAAGAACATAAGACCCAAAATTAGTGGAACATTTAGAATTTCAACCAAATGTGTTACCAGATGCTAAATTGTTAAACCCCAGGTGAATAATATTAAGAAATTCCATCTTATTATTCCCTGAAAGAAATAACTAACACAAAGGAACTTGAAATTTAAAAAAGATAGAGAAAAGAAAGACTGATAAAGATAAGCCTTAAAGATTTTCTTCACGTGAAACACAGGGGAAAGCATACATAACAAACTTATTGAACAAATTGCAAAATTTTATGTTTTAATTTTCTGGACATCAGAATAAAAGATTTTGTACTTCATAGTGTATTCCTATGATAATAAACTCAACTCATAAATTAGCTTACCGAGTTGAGTTGTACCCACTGCAAGATTAGTAGAGCCTAGCCAAAACACTGCCTGATCTTCATCACACGACTCCAGAGTGCCATTGTGGTTATAAAGATTCAAATATAATGAATGTTCTATTTCAGAAAGATCAGAAGTGCTGTCTGACACCCTAGAAGGCTTCACAGTCACCTGAGGAGCAGTCTGTCCCCTTTGAGCACGATACACTCTGTCCTTCTCAACAATATCAGCTACCTTTTGGTTACACAGATCAGGACCTGAACTTATTATATCATATGCATGATGCCAGAAAAGACTAGGGGACAGACACCTTGCCCAACTTTCTTCATCATCTCCAGCTCCTGCTATATAATTCCAGCTAAACTCAGATGTAGTCCTATGCTGATAAATGCTGCTTGAGGAAGACGCTGAAACAAGTATAATAGGCGTGAAATCCCAGGAATCATGATCCGGTACTTCATTCAACCAGATTACAGTCTTTTGCGATATCCATAAAGGTCGAAGAGGCTTTTTCAAGCATGATGCGATTAAAGCAATATCAGCTCCACTATCTTCCATCTGTTTTGTCCACTCTTCTATACGGTCCTCAATAGCTGCTTTCTCTGTTTCAGAAACCCAAAGGGGAAGATGCAAAGAACAGTCCCAATTCTGCGAAGCCAGTCTTTTATTTTCAGCATCATCAGAGGTATCCATCTCCTATCAGAATGCGAGACGACAAATGCTGAGATGAGAATGTTTATAAGTGTTTTGGCCAAAGGTACAGACTTTGAAAAAAGAGCGGACATTTCATAAAACATCACCAGTAAATGCCTAATAATTAAATGTCATTAAACAGACTCAGTTCATTACAGAGGAAATTGACATAATAGAATCCCATAGATATTGATGCACGGAAGGACTCAAAACAGTTATTTCAGCATCCACTCCATCAGAAGCAAAAAGAGACTTACCTCTTCCATCATCGTCCCATTATCACGCATTTTATTAATATGGTTAAGAATGGAGCGATTCAAAACACAAGTCCAAATGGGGATTGTTTTTGACATGCTATCCGGAAATCTCTTTCCTTTTCTAGTCGAATCAACAATAATACACCCTCCTTTCTGTCCTACCATTGAACCAGAAAAAAAAAAAAAAAAAAAAATCAAATCCAGTGGTGGGAATTTTGCTAATGAAGACTGTACCATAGTTAAAGTCTTAGATAATGAGTATATGGAAAGAATGTATGTTAATAAAGTCAGAGTTTTTTAAATGTCTCATATATATGGATAACAGGTGATCTTTAATATGTAAATAAAAAGAGTGTCAATTGAGATCTCAGTTATTTTATACATTGAAAAAACAATTTTCTACACTAATGTAAGAAATTGACAGCCATATTAAAAAATATACTTATTCAAAAAATTAATTACATTCCAAGATGATGAGAATACGATTCTAGTTCATATTCTTATACAGGAAAGAATATAATGGATATGACATTCCCGAACACGCGAGAAGTACAAGGACATCATCAGGTGACAGATATATTTGATTTGACAACGGTATAAGGATACTCAAATACAGTATTTAACTAATTATCCAATAATATTTTTATTTTACCCATACTTACAAATCAACAAGAATGGTCACCATTTATTAAAAAGAAAAGGAAGGGTACATAACAATAAACTTACTAAATCATTACAACCCTGTTAAAGAACTGCCTAACCTAACATTCAAAATTCCTATAACCGCAAAAATTATATCAACTAACAGACCACATTACTTATTAATATGGGTTAAGCCTAATATAAATAGGAGCGAATTATATTACAAGAATAAGGACAAAGCAATACAGTCTCCAAAAAAAGGTATACTTAAAAGATAATAATAATTGACCAAAAAAATCCCTAAATCTACCGTATGATTAAATACTAGCTCGGTTATATTACACTTATATTTCCTACAGCCGTTAGTGTTCACCTATTATAAAGTTCATTACCCTAAAATCCTATATTTACAATCAGTTAATCTTACTCCCCTTACCTATTCTGATTACATCTTAACCAATGTAGCAGGACAGTCACGAGAATGGATACACTAAAAAAATAAATATAATATACAAATTAAAATACAAAAAACTTGTGAAACAGATCCAAAAAAAAAAAAAAAAAAACCTAATATATATTAATAGCTGGAAATAATCTACAGCCGTTAGTGCCTATTATAAATCATACCCTAAAACTTTTTCGTTTCTTCCTAATAAATTATAATAGCAGAGTCAGAGTGGATCCTAATATATATTATTAATTATCAAAATTGGAAACATTGTCAAAAGACAAACTTATCACAATCTTAGCAAAAGCGACTATTATATAAATATAGTAAAATTTGGTGGATTATAATTCAATAAAAAAAAGTTAATCAATAATTTAGAATTTCAATTATTTTTCGCCTTTTAAACCTGAAAAATTAATTAACTAAATGACACATAAAGCAATCCAATTAACAGTGAGTCTACGAAATTAATTAAGTTCCACTGCTATATATAGAGAGAGGGGTTAAGAATTGAATCAAGTGTAGTTATCAACTGCTGATATAGTTAGTGCTCTGTGGTCTTATGGCTTTGGTTACTGAAGAAAACGTAGATGAGCTACTTAAAGCTCAAACTCATATGTGGAATCATACTCTGAAATTTATAAAGTCCATGTCTCTCAAGTGCGCAGTTGAATTAGGCATTCCTGATGTTATTAATAACAACCATGGCCAACCCATGCCTCTCTCTGATCTTGTTTCTGCCTTACAGGTTAACCCTGCTAAAACTCATCATGTTTACCGTCTAATGCGACTTCTTGTTCATTCTGGTTTCTTTTCTTTACAAGAAGAAGGCTATTTGCTTACCCCATCCTCTGTTTTTCTTCTAAAAGACACTTCTTTCAATTCAATACCTTTTATCTCTCTTATGCTTGACCCGATTCTAATGGACCCATTTACTTGCTTGAGCAAATGGCTTAAAAACGATGATCAAACACCATTTGTAACTGCCTTTGGAGAGTCACTATTTGAATATGCAGGGCATGACATTAGGGCTAATAATATGGTGAATCAAGCTACGGCCAGTGATAGTATTTTTCTTGGTAAGGTGGTGACTGTTAAGTGTAAGGAGGTATTTGAAGGGTTGGATTCTTTGGTGGATGTTGCAGGTGGCACTGGATATATGGCTAGGGCTATTGCTAAAGCTTTTCCAAATATAAAGTGCACTGTTTCGGATCTTCCACATGTTGTTGCTGTTGCTGATTCGCAAGGCGCCGAGAATTTGAATTTTGTTGCAGGTGACATGTTACAGGCTGTTCCTCCTGCAGATGCGGCTTTGATCAAGGTATGCTATTTCTTTTACTTTTTCTGAGCTTTTGACCGAATTTGAATTTTGTTGCAGGTGACATGTTACAGGCTGTTCCTCCTGCAGATGCGGCTTTGATCAAGGTATGCTATTTCTTTTACTTTTTCTGAGCTTTTGACCATAATATGTACAATTAACTTTCCATTTGTTTATATCACTTGTGTTATTACTCTTTAATTTGCTAACGCAATTGATTTGATAAATAGTGGGTATTGCATGACTGGGCTGACGAAGATTGTTTGAAGATACTGAAGAATTGCAAAGAGGCAATAACAAAAAATGGCAAGCGAGAGAATAATAACAAGGTCATAATCATTGACATGGTGATGGGAAACCAAACTTCAGATGATGATTGGACTGAAGCTGAGCTGTTGTTTGATATGGAAGAGATGGCATGTCTCACCGGCAAGCAGAGAGATGAAGAAGAGTGGGCAAAACTCTTCTTTGATGCTGGTTTCACCAAATATAAAATTAACTATGTGCTTGGTCCTAGAGCTCTTATTGAGGTTTATCCTTGACCAATTTCCTAGTTAACTATCAGAGCTTTGTGTTTGTAAACAAAATGGCTGTGGCCATAGCCATAACAGCCTCAATAAAGTTTGTATGCCCAAAATAAATAATTGTACCTTTTCAATGCAAGCGTTTGATGAGATTTTTTTCTTATTGTTAATAAAAGAGATTTCCCTCTGTTCTTTGAGATCGGTATGGTTTTTTAAGGATTGATTTCCTAAAAAAACAAAAGAAAATTCAAAATCACAGACAAAATTTTTTAGCCCATAAATCACATTCAAGTTAGCTTAACGATCTCACGAAACCAATTTCCTGAAATTTTCTCACCATATTTTTGGGAAAGAGCTGTTAGTCAAAGCCACACTTTTAGCAATTGTCAGCAATTGGAGAGA